GCCAACTAGAGCTCCACCAGGGAAACGAACTGGATCTGGAGAAACAGGAATCGGACTTACGGTCGACTTAACAAATAAGTCGAAACGTAACTTCATCCCACCCGATCAGCAGCCGGAAGGCCAACAAGTGGAACCGGCGGCCGAAGCCCCAGTTGAACCGGAAGCTCAACAAGAGCAAATGGACGTCGACGTAGCCGACCAGATGGCACAATTGCCGCAAGTGGAAGTGCCGATCCGAGAAGACCCTCGCTACGATCGAGCTCGACAACAAGGAATCGAGGTCGTCATGCTACATCCCACTGAACGGACGAACCACATTATGAATGTCATGAACTACGAGGAACGCTACCGACCACAAATCTGGCGGATGGTAGAAAACCTTCGTCAATTCCTCGTCCGATCCGGATATCAGATGCTGTTCGAACAACATCAGTGGCGAGCTGACATCAACATGAACGCGCACACAGCGCCGAATGTTGAACACCCGTACACCAGATCGAACGCGTTGCCGTCGATGACCGATCCGGTCTTGCTGAACGTACCATTGTACAGCCCGGATGGAACACGTGCGAGCCAACTAGGAGCTCGGGAATACTCCCATGACGAGTTGGAGAGTGTTGCCCAGTTCGTCATCACGAACGCACACCCAGCCTTTGTAATCACCGCGGCTCGGGCAGCACTGGATTTAACCCAGTATCTCCCGGAAGGAGAAGTCGACATGGCCCAGGACGGAGTTACGGCATTCCTGCGGTTCATCTTCGCAGCTCGACTCGGCAATTACTTTTGCCATTACACCTTGTACGGACTGTACTACAACGAAGCGATACCAGCGGCTGTGGAAACCCTCGTGGCCCAACTCGGCACACCGATGAGAAGTGTTATCCTAGCAGTCTGGATGCGCGACTTGCTGTACACCCACGAACGGTATGCGACAAAGTATGCCTTTCGTGAGGATCACATAGATCCCAGCGACGACGCGACCAGATTTATTAGCTGGTATCGACGGAAGAAAACTTTGCCCAGCGGATTCAACTCATCGCCCTACGGACCTTGGATGTCGGATGACATAGCACCCGGCGCACAACCGTACGCGCTGCGACTCCGCAAACAAGCAGCCAAGGAATCGAGAAAGGGCAGAGCAGAGCGCCCAGGCCAGGAAACAGATGAGACCGACGAGATGTCTCAACGGAGCGGCCCGGCGACCTGTAAACCGAGGGACCCAAACATACGGCCACATAACCGACCTGGCCCGGACGACGACGAAGAAGAAGATTACTTCGGCGGCGATAAACCCGTCGAAGTCCCACTTAGTTAAGGTCGAGTTCCCACATTGGAACTCGATCCCCCATTCGGAATAATTATGGGAACTTAACGCCGAGAAACGGCATGGTCGAGAACCGACCTTCCGACTGAGAAACAGTCTAGCTGAGAAACAGCGCCGTCGAGAACCGACTTCGGAATGGACACTTTTCTTTAGTTCTCTTCATGGAAATCGACTAACCATGTACGCGGCGGACGTCAACGACGACTTTGCCAGAAAGCCGACTACACAAGTCGGCCGGATTCTTTGGTCGGACCCGGAAACGCGTGGTCAGACCCGGGTACTTCGGCTCCCTCACCGTACCGGTACGTCCCCTAAGGAATCCTCTGGAATGAACTGGGCAACCGACCCCAGTTCCCCAGCACGGCAAAAACAGATCGTAACCACATCTGCTAACACAGCAGATCGCCAACCACGTTCTGCGACCATCGGAGCCAACAGACGCCCCAATCCGCGTTACATGGAGATTACTCCGGCCAACTGACTCCGGAGAAGAAACCGAGAGGATTACGCTAACATGGCGCGGAACACGTCGCTGCGCGCGTTCCACGCCATGTTCGCCAAGCACCCGTGGCCAACTTCGGAACCGGGTAGCCGAGCAGCCTTCACCAGTGTAAACAGCGGAAATCCTTCGGCCGAGCCGCCAACAGCGCAGGAAGACTCGGATTCGACTAGGTACAGGAGCCGACCACAAAAGTCGACTTCGTACTTCGCCCATAACTTGGAGACATAATGGATACTGCTGTGCAAGTCGACCACAAAGGTCGGTTGTGCAAGCCGATCACAAAGACCGGTTTTGGAAACCCAAACGGTTCGACCTGCAACGACGCAGAACGTTGGAACCACGACTCGCTACCTTTAAACGATCACACAGATCGACAGCGTATACGGTAGCCGACCAACGAGGAGTCGACCATGGACGGAAGCTGGCAGTAGTTACGTGGCAACTCAACCGGATTCTCCGTTTGAATCCAGACCTACAGGCTCTGTACCTGGAGATCAACCGCAGTCTCCCCCGGGCGACATCGGGTAAACCAGCCGATTCACCGGTGACCACGACTACGCGCGTCCTTGAACGTGCTGCCATTCCCTGAAGAGGAACAGCGACGGTGATTTGGATACTGGTGTACCAACGACTCCGCCGCGACCTGCTTCCCCATGTCTTCAATGGAACATCCTAGGCGGACCGTGTTAGAATACGCGATCTGCACCCCCTAACGAACCCCGCTGACAAAGACCATGCGGCCGCAACAAAAGTGGCAGCATTGCCTTTGTCAGCGGCAAAGAAAATTCCCCTCGTGGACGTGAGTCGTCTACCCCCAACAGAAGCGGCTAGGCGTCACAGGTTCGCGACAAAACAGAATGGAAGAAACGGATCTGACGACCTCAGGGACTTGCATGTGCATGAAGTTTGAACCAAAGAGTTCGTCTTGTCAACCGGGGCCACAAAGACCCTTAGTGTTGCGAGCGAGCGCAGTGCATGATGAAACGCCAGTCAACCGGCCAACAGATGCCAAGGAACCCCTACCTCGCAAGACTCGGCGACCCAGCAGCAAGTTATTCGGATTGACCGACCTCAACAGTAGCTCGGATCCGACCTGGAGTTCATGTCAGAAATTACAGAAGGAACGGAGTTGTGCTGCCGAACATCCTTCTGCCAGTTCGAACTGACCGTAGGATGTCCTGACACCAGGGACCCGGTCAACTGTAGCCGAACGCACAGAACTCCTAAAATGAAGTGACAACACCAGATGGAGGTCGGGAGCAAGCGACGACAAGTCGGAAAATTAACCAGAAGTATGAAATCGACCTCCTAGTGGAAGAACTTAGCCTCTCGTCGGATAAAACACAAAGTTTTTCCGACCTGAGGAAGTCGGAAAATAGCCGACCTCCGAACTTGGATAAGGATATCCGACCTCAAGCCGAGGTCGGAAGTGACTGCACAGAAGTCGGAAGGATACGACAACAAGTCGGCAAAGGAATATAGAAGTCGAGAACCGACCTCCCAACGGAAAAATCCGACCTTCGAACGGATGAAGACTCAGTTCATCCGACCTTCCGAAGTCGACCATAACTGAATACAAGTCGGAAGTCGGAACTCCAGTCAACACGACGAAAGAGGAACGACAACTGTCTACAATGGACGAATTCGACTTGAAGGAACTTGTTTAGCCCCACATGGGCATGTTATTGCAGGTCAACCCTAGTCGACCACTGACGGATGGGATGACCGACCTCAACAGAAGGTAACTCATGAATTCCGATCGGACCTTCGAGCCAGTTCGACTCGGATAATCTCAAAATTAGGCTCGTGGTAGCAGATTAAACGGTTGTAACCGACCACTTTTTGAACGGAACTGCTGTACATGACGACCACACAGGCCGCATGACCGACATACAGTTTTTCCGACCTGGACCTTAACAATTCGGGACATAGCCGAATTTCCCTAGCCGCCGGTCGACTTACCGGTAGGCCGACCTTGGTCAAACCGACCTCGGTCCTAATTCCCCATTCAGAGAGGATGCCTCGGCATTTGCACCTGCAACAGTGCCTCTCTATCCCGAACGGACGGATACGAGTCGGAAGTAAGTGTTTAACCGTGCTTATCCGACCTCGGTGAATGTAACCGGTTACGACGGGTAACCCGGGAACTGATGCCCCGGACCCAACTTACCGGATGAAAGTGGACAGGAGACCCCGTGGACGTCATCCTAGTCGGAATAGGACCCCCGGACAGACTTTTGTATTTTTTTAGTATTTCCCTAACAAATGGAATTGTATTTTTCTAGTTCGATCTCTTTAACAGATCTGTTTTGTAACCCCTTTTGCTCACTGGAATTGTGATTAAACTTTATTTCATACTTTCTTTCGCGCTGCATAAACTTTCATTACATTTTCTTTCACATTGTTCTCCGCTGCCAACAGAAGCAAGAAGCCAGCCAACCGAAGCATCACCGGTCCAACAACGAACATCGAGCGGCTTCCGGATTTTCGGCCGTGAGTGGCTTCCACTCATGGGTCCGGAAGTGAACAAGGGACGGTCAACCAGACACCGGACTCCCACTGTTAGAGGACGCGTACCAGCGACCCCACATTGGGTCCGACTGGAGAGTTGTGCGGTACTGGTGCGGTACCGAGTCGGAGCATCCTTCGCAGGAGCTCGGATTCCCGCCCAGAGGCATGTCAGAGGCACATGACTGCGCCTGGTGCATACGGCCCACCACGGTCGTACTTGCACTCATGCTTGCCATATCGCCTCTCTCGCTGTACGTACGTGTGCTGCTGCACTGCACTTATATCCGCTGAAGCGGATATACGCGGCGCACACACTGAGCATACTTGCTCTCTCGTCCCTCTCTCGCTGTATGACTCAGCGTACGCTCGCGTTGGATTGAGTCCAGTCTGCGCATCAACACACAGCTGATGGCACACACCACGTGCTTGCCGCCAGTTGCTTCTTTCACGCCTTGACAGACGCTCAAGAACCCACTTTTCTAGCAATCACTTGCTTAGCCATCAGTGCTTTGTTCTTGCTTTCCTGCTATTACGCAGCATTGTTCCCCTTTATTTGTACAATAAAGCTCACTCGTGATCTCCTCGCGCTTGCCTGTTACAAACCCTAGAGTATGCTCTGTTTTAACAATAAATGGATTTTACTTGTCATTGTTGTGCTCGTACCTGAAGTCGCTTACTCCACACTGCAATGCCGACTTCAATGGGGATACTCAAAACCATAACACCCAATCCAGCAAATGCTGATGCACCCAAAACATTATGCAACAGGTACATGGAAATGCCGATCTGAAGTGGCACTTCCCATAACTGATTTATAAATGATGATAAATCCATAATCCGCTGCGCGTCCACCGAGATCAGGTTAGTCGGCTGGAATTGTTTTGCATTTGCTTCACTTCGTGTAAACGGCCCGGTGCGCAAAATCTGTAATAAGCAAGACATGTTTGTTCAACTGCCTGGATTAAACGATATTTATAGTATATTTAGGAATATTTCTTTAAGTGCAAAAATGCAATTCAGTGTGCACGCATGTGGGAAAAAACTTTTAACAAAGTCTAACAAAACTGACAAGAAAACTGCCGTTTTGAATTCGTTACCTTTCGGTAGACCGCGCTCATCAACGCCGTGCGTATTCGTAATCCCAAAATATTGCACCGATGGAAATAATGTCCAATAGACATGGTCTGGATCATGGAAGCCATCAGCAACAACGCGGCAAAAAGATAACCTTTCCAGATTTCATCCTTAGGATGTTTGACAAAGAATATCAACCGGCGCAATAGTTCTGGCACCGAGAACAGCATGGCATTGTAAATTAGTTTCAGAAAGCAGCTGAACATAAGCTCCATCCAAAATGCTTTCAACAACACCGTCCCTAGCGGAACAGAAGGCGCGCGTGCTGCATACCGATCCCAGTGTTTAAAAAATATAGCCGACACGGTTTTGGCTTTCTCCTGTGAGCTTAATAATCGCCATAAATTATCCACAGTGAATGTTGATTTCCAGCCGCGATACACGATTCTATAGCACAAAGAAGAATATGAGAACCACAATAAACATAAAAGTAGGTTTAGTATAAAGAAAGGGATGTTACCAGTTTATCACATGAAAGACTGTAAAACGGCTGCGTGCGAAAAAGGGCGAAATATATTCTGTATTACATATAAGAAAAATGATTATTTTAGTGTTAATTTTGCAGCTTACAGTAAACACTGGCCTTCGGCTTTACAGAGCGTATGTCAATTCAGCTTCGCACACTGTAAGCACATCAACATATCTATACAATAATACCACTAGCAAGCCAAGCGCATTTCATGCGTTCCCACAAAATATTTTTATTAAAAAACCTCAAAATTTATTGTTGTTATGTTAAAATTTTGAGATTGTAGACTTGCCGGTTAAACCACCAGAACAACAGCTGACTGAGGAATGGCGAATGCCTTTCCGGCGATGCAAACTACGAATTCGACATGATTAAAAACACAATATTAAAACTGCTGTAATTGCAGTACTAGTGCGACTACTTACCGTCTGAACATCTTTGTTGAAATGGCAGGAATACGAAGAGAAGGAGGAAAATATCAGCAGCGCAAAGATGAAGGCGCTTTGTATCATTTTAATAGCCACGCAGAATTTTTCAGTTAAACTGTCAACACCCTACAATTAAGTGGATAATATTGTTCAAACCTACAGCAGATAAGAATTTTATAACAAGTCCACTTGTATGTATGTATACGAAAACCTACAAGGTCAATGAGAAGTTTTATCTGTGTCCGGAGGATCACACCTTCCGTAACAGCCGTCAGCAACCAAAAAATAAGCAATGCTCCATTAGACGCGCGCCGCTTCCGCCAGTCCAGTACCACATAAAATATATACAAAACCTGCAATGAGGCGCAGACGAGTAATTATCTACAAAGTATACTCTGTTATTTTTCTCGACTGCTGCATGGTAAACTGCATTCGATCCAATGTATGCAGTTCTGTTACAGATAAATTGGTATACATTTCAAAAATTGTGTCACTAGGATTGCTGACACGGCAAATAAGGTTCGTCAAAACAAGCGAATTCCTGACCGAACTTACATAGGTTAATAACTGGATTATGGCCATAAAAATGTCGGCGTATTGGTGGACGGGAACGTCGTAACCCAGTACGGGTCGGGATCCATACACCGCCAGACCATAGAAGGAAAAAATCAACTCCATAACACTTGTTGCGCACAATACACTTCCCATTGTCTGAATTCGATAAAGATCAATAATTATGTATATTAATTTATCTATAACTTATGATGTACGAGTAGTATACTAGCACATAATACCATATTTACAGTACCACAGTGCGCATGCACCACCTGTAGATAAACCAAATGCAACACTGCTTACCATCTTTGTCCAGAACAGATACGTTCCGGTATCTTTCCCTGATGTTTTCTTATGCGAAATAATGCACAGTTGTATAGGGAAGAAAATCCACAAAAATGCGCATGGAATAACAGTAAGGATTGTCTTTTGGAAGCAGTTCGTAAAGTTCGGATCGTCGGTATACCAGGTCAGGTTGTTGTCCTGTAATTAATATCACGTAAAAGCGTGCGCGTATAAACTTACTGTGCTTACACACGATCGAGTACAATCTGTGCATCCGGCGCTTTGCCCACAAAAACATGATTATGATACTTTTTCGTAATATTCAGATCCATGTTATACGTTTTGACGCGAATTACCCATAGCGGAGAATCACAAAACACGGCCGCGTCATCATCAGGGTCCATCATCGGAAACACCAATGATATTCCAGATACTTCCCGTTGTACGGATAAGAATATCACTACAAATGTACAATGACACTGCAGTCTTTGTAACTAAGCTTAACGAAATAATTTTTCTAAACTAATCCACACGAAAATTTTTAATAATAATTCTGGAGACAACTAAAGAAACTTTGCTTACTCATACTGGTGATAACCCAGTGCCGACTCCAAGTTGGCCACTATAACAATGCGATGAGCAGTTTTAATTTCCCAAGTACTGCGCATTGTACGCTAATTTCAAGATGACCGCACTTGTCAGCAACAAATTCCAATAATTTATGCCACCTCTTCTCGAAATGATTAAGTGCTCTTGACAGAGTAAAATATCCAAAAAAACAGTTAAACAGCAGCTGACCGGAAGATTACACCAGCACTGCACATTTCCGGCGTAAAACATATAGGGCTGCAATCTGCCACCAAATACCTTCGACTGAGACGTCCTGTGTACTTCAAGAACGATTTAAAATTACTTATAGACATTGAAAATAATTCGGCAACGAATATACAACCCACTGCCTGTCTTTACAGATTGGGAGTTAGTGTTTATAATCTAATAATCGTAAAATGAAATTCAACAAAACTTTAACGTTCTAAGAACAATTTCTGACGGGCGTTTCCCGCTTTACATCCACAAAGGGCTTAACATACAGTTATTTATTAATGTTATGTTTTTCGGCATCCTGTGTTATGTTACGTTATGTTAAACCAGTGTTATGTTTTTGATAGACTGCGTACGTTATATGGGCAGTGCCTGTACCTATACTAGGGTAGTTCGCAGTTCTTAAGATAAGGTCATATTTATATTTATATTCGCGTACAACGTACCACTAGTATATATTTTGCCATGTACTGCAATCATGCAACAATCATGATCTGCAATTTTTCATGATATTCGGGAACCAAGAGTATTTGTATATTCAACTCTTTTTTGCAAACCAAGAGTATATTCAAATACAATAATTCTTTTTCTGAATGCAAGCAGTTTTGTTGTAATTATAAGCGATAGAATTTGAACGATGATTTTGTTGTCGAGTAGTTATCATGCGTGGACCGGGAACAGGACCACGTAACCGGAAGACTCTTTTGTATAAAGTATCATACCTAACGATAACTACTTACGTACAATACATATAGATATAATAGTGTCTGCGAATTGACCACTAATATTGCAACTAGGCTTCGTTAGAATATCGTTGCAACAGCATGCAGCACTAAAGCTCTCCAAAGAATAAGAGCAGAACCTATTGTTAAAAACAATAAAACAGGAACCTGTAGATAAAATTGCAGATAGACACATAATAGATATAAACATATCCAAAGAATTTAGAAGGATAATATCGTTCTAAATTGTTATTTACTAATAGTATGGTGGAAAAATTAAAAATGTTAGCGTAGTTACATATTTCTGTCCAGTAATTGTACTGTTCTAGTTCTACATCTGTGCCGAGCCAAAACTGTACTCAAGGGGTTAGCACAAGGGGAGTGCTAACCCCTTGAGTACAGTTTTGGCCGAGCATAATTTTGTTATATTTATAGAATTTTAATATTTATTATACAGATACAATACACGTACGGAGTATTATACACCACATTCCTGTTATCATGTACCAGAACTTATGTAGCTTCTACGATTCATATCTTTACAGCAAAAACTTTTACATATTATAAGTTTGTCAGTTATTAATTTGAAACTACATGTTAGTACCATCGACCGCGCACTACGATATTTAACCTTAGGATACTCGTAATTATTTGTACTTGACCGTATCTGTATGTACGTACATCATTATATGGCAAAAGAGGAAAGAAACGCAACATGGATATGCAAACGTTCCGAAAAATCGATCTCGGCTAGTTATAATATTTGAACGATCTTGTGCGGAAGCACGTCCCTATACATTGAAAATTACAAGGAAGTACGAGAGCGTAGCAGTGACGTACATGTACATGTTAATTGTTAAGCTACAGCGAACCTGTCTGGAACAGAACGCGAAAAGTGCGCCGTTTGTGGCGGGGTGCAATACCGGAAGCGAAGCTGCACAGCGGTGCAGTTTTTGAAGTTAGACTGGGAGTCACCCAAGCATGCTTTGCCGATCTCGTGCGCTTGAATGCTAACCAGGAGTTTCTGCAGTGATCTTTAAAAATGCCGCCTCGGTCCTATATGATAGCAACATCAGGATCATGGTCTAATACCAGCTTAAATAAATTTATTATGATGATCCAGTCTGATGCTGTTGTAATTTGACCATATGCATTTACGCGGTTTGTTCCTAATTTATAGACTCGCTTCCCATTCCTTTCCGAAAAATAGATCTCACATCTCAATCGATAAGTATCATACACCGTACTCGTGGTGTATATCGTGACTTTACCGATCGACCAACTAATTTAATTGTAAGCACTAAGCCACATTTAATATTTGCCTTCTGTAAGAAACAGACTTACATACCAACGCTTCCCGTGTTTAGCTAGGCACGATTTTTTGCGACTGAACTTTCTTCTTCGCCTTATTACTTCTGATTTTTATGAGCCATTTCGTGCATCGATTATTGTCTGTCTTTAACAAATTTTTCATTGCACTATTTGATTTTTTCATTAAGTTAATTTGCTTTGTGAACTGTGATTACTAATTTCAATCATTCAGCAAGTACACCAACAGGTATATATATAAGTAAGTGTTTGTGCCGGTATTCGAGTACAACTACTAAATTAAATTGTAAGATTATTGTACTTTTCCGTGACTTCGTTTAAATAACAATTATTATCGGTAACCTCTATTTTACTATATTTAAAATTTGCAGGTGTTTAACTAAGGAGAAATGCGCTAAACGGAGCCGGAAACTCCTTTGCACGTTATGGAGACAGCAATATCATGCGGGCATGGTATGGGATTGGGTTACAGCGCAGCGGATCGCTGGCGCTTTCCGCCCTGGATGGCATTCTCCCGGCGAGGCCGCCCGGGGGGCACTTTGCCTATTCATTCGCGCAATCGCGACCTGATCATTCCGCCATTTGGTCGCGGCCGGCCGCACCGACCGCGAGCGCGGACGATCAATTCGGATTTCGAAATTTGTGATTGCCCCATCGTCTGCTACCTGTCAATGGCCATCGCGCTCATCTTGATCGGATGTTTACTGACGGCATTCGTGCTGGACGACACATTCGGTCATTTGAATTCCATGATCAGTCAGTTGTGGCTGGTCGGACCACTTTTTATATCTTCCGGGGTTGTATTCTTCATCCGCATCATATTATTCCTGCGTAAAAAACAAGCGCAAAGAAGACAGCGCGAGGTACGATATTGTCTATCATTTGTTACTTTCACAGTGTGTATTGGTGTAATTCTCGTCGAAGAAAACCGCTAATGGTTTTGTTGCAACTGAATTTCGTTATTTCTTTCGCCAGATTACTTAAGTAAATTCAATTGCACGTAAGCGGTAAGCCTAAAAAATCCATAAAAACACCTCACATTTGTTTGCCGGTATTAACTATGATTAACTCTAAAAAAAGTAAGCGGGCCGCGGATAATAAAATTTAAATTGTAAGAAAAAGATTTCGCAAATTACTGCACGAGTCTTAGTGTTATTTTGACGTATGCTCGGCGATGTTTATCCCTTGATGTATCGCATTACAGGAACTGCGACGTCGGCGTCGCAATGCGCACAGCCACCGTGACGCCACGGCTAATCCGCGCGATTTAGAAGCCCCTTGTAGTCGACGGTGAGGGTAAAGCAGTAATCGACGCTCTTAGTAAACATTCTTCAATTGATTTCTGCTGCTGTGCGTAAAATGCACACATACATGCCGACGACAAAAACCAATTGCCGTCTCTCTGGGATTTTGGCTTATTCACATTTCATAACAGCACCGCGCCGGGTGCTCACTATATCCTGTAACTATTCAATCATCTTCCGGCTGCTATTTTTGTACCGTAGCGATTCATTCTCATCACTCCCGCCGGACTACGAAGCGGTTGTCAACGGTGTCGGACCGCCATCTGTGCCGCGGCACCACCAGCTGTACCGGCACGGAGCCGGCCGTCGCAATCCAGCGACGGGCTTCTATCCCGGCACGCCCCGCTGCTCGGCGGCCATGGCCTTCTTGAACTTGGAAGAGCCGCCGCCAGCGTACGAAGATGTCGTCCGTACGGTGATTATCATGGATGAATCGGCATGTCCACCGTATCCGGTCGAAGCCAATCAATGCCTGCCGGAAAACATTTCCACGATCCAGCGCGAAGTCTGTCGATTGTCCTGTTATGTCAACGGAAGTACAAGTAAGGACGCATAACGTACACAAAAGCTGACAGTGAAGTAAATGATTCCTGTTCTTACCATCTACTGATCAAATTAAATGTACAATACGATTACATTTCTGCTGCTAACGGTAAAATGTTTCCGTTTTCCACGTTGACATATAGGATATTGTTATAACAAACTACAGCCGTACTGCGGTAGATTATCGTTGCGAACATTCACAAACAATTATATTACAGCCGCATGACCGGTTGCTACATATTTGATTTATTCCCGTTCCACTTTCCAGTAATAGGTATAAGCAGACGGTAAGTGATTGAATGAAATGAGAGAAATCGGTGTGGTTGGAACTTCGTGCAATTTTCATTCATCGTTGTATGTGCCGGTATTGATCGCTTTATATTTGGTCGGTTATGATATTCGATCATCGTTAGTGGAAAATTACATATATCGTACGCACTAGGCAGTCGCAGATGATCGCATAATATTTTTGACAATAGACAGCAAAAATATTGACCAAGTGCTTTTCTGCTTTGCAGCTGATTCTTCAAAATCATAATCGAAAGTGAAAAGAAAAGGTCAATGTGAAACGTAATGTCGAAGCCAGCAACCGTTTTCAATCTTGCCCATAGGATGGCAACATATATCGTTTGTGTTCACTTTTTGACCAAAGACGTTTTCGTTCCTAAACGCGCGGACAATATAATGAAGGTATCCTGTCCGGCAAGCCAAAATGTCGGCCATTTACGAAAAAAATGATTCGAAATGGACAGCGCGGACGGCGCACTACGGTAGACAACCTCGATTGATCCAGTTCTACGCCAGTTCCGACCGTTTCGATATGTAAATTAAATTGTGACACTGTTGTTTTGGATTGTATCAATCTGTCCAGTCATGACTGCAGTCTTGTCAAAATATTAGTGGTTTTAAGTCAAGTTTCACATGCCAGCTTTTCGTTATACATTATTAGAATTAGTAAAAGCGAGTCGCTCGAGTCGTTTTTATAATGCACGATGGCTCGAGCGGAACTTACCCTATTTTTGTCGCGATAATAATATTGTACTTACCTAATTAGATATCTTTATAACAAAAATTTAATATGCACATTTACCTTAATTTAATAGTGCCGTAGCGATAAAATACAAGGCGACAATAAAACCTGACAATTCTATTTTTCTTACACGCGTTTTCTCGTACAATTTTATGAAATAAGATCAAAAGTTGTCGGGAGAGTAGCACCACGAATACATAAAGGCGCTGAACCACAGTATAATTTTGATCCAACTCCAGTACTTCCAAAATAGCGAACCATACTGTAAGTATGACAAAAACAGTGGGCTAATATGGTAAGTAAATAATTATATAGATATGAGCTAGTAGAGCACAAAATATTTGATACTATAGAAAGCTGCAGTATTTTGCTCAACAAGACTTGGCAAAATGAAATGGTTAACGTACTACAGTTTAATAAGTATCGAAATGCAAGTACAAACGAAGTATCGAACAGACTACATATAGCAATTTTCCAATTTAACTGATTTGTACAGAATATTGTGTATCTTGTACAGTAGAAAAGTAGAACGAAATTCATACATAGAACGAAGATGCAGTACATAATCGTATCATGACCGTCAGTGGTCCGTCAATCGTAGTCAAACTCTACTCTGTGCTGCAAAGGGTCCTTCCGAAATTTTTTCCAAGAAACTTATGATATCGTGTGTTTTTACCTTCAAGACTTTAGCTAACAATAAAGCGAGTTTGAAATTTCTGTTACCTGGCAGATTTTTTAGTATCGTACAGAGAAAGTAAGTAGTAAAAAACTTGTTTGCACAGTTATACAGCGGCATTTGACTGACATCACGCACCACATGATTAATTTTAGTAGTATCGTACATAGCAAACTCGCTACAAAGTAAGTACAGTACTATAATTAAGTACTTGTATTCGTCTACTCGCTACAGATTCTATTCCTTCCACTTCTGCACGTGCATAGATGACGTGCGTCTATATAAGTAAACATTTTGCATTTGCCAGCATCAGAAGGCTTTTTGACTTTGAAAAGGCGATTGATTGTCTTTGGCAAGTTTAGTTTCTCTTTCTGACTTTCCCACATTTGTTTTGGAATATCTGTTTAACGTTTCACAGTCTAACTTGATCTGTGATAATCTGGTGCTTTACACAACTGTACCTAAAAAACGTTATCAATGCAGCTCTGGTCAAAAGGTGATATGCATTCCGCCACAGTGTCTCCTGAATCTTCTTGATACTGTACCTGTTGTCACAGTGTTGTGCAAATTTGCTCTTGCATCACTTCTGTGCAACCACGATAAGCTGACACAGTAGTATTTTTTCGAATCTAGTTTTTTGTGGTTTACGTGTTTGAAAACTCGCATCCCATTGCCGCAAATGTCTGTGGGCTGATCCCACGGCAAACTGGAGTCGTGGAGTCTTTCTAGTCTTTCCCTTGTGGACGCTGTGGATCAGCAATGGTCCTTGGAAGTTTCCGACCATGTCGGAATTATGCAGCACTTTTCTCGGTGGGCTAATCCGCATTTCGGTTAACTGTTCTGCATGAAATAAATCTTGCGAGTGAGATTTTTCATTTTTGGCTTTGATGGACAGATGAGAAAGCGAATCCCGTCCGGATGTAGGTGGCTGAAGAGTGCTACAGCTGCCAAAATCATCGCATCGACCATGGATCAGATCCATCCCACTCCGGCTCCTGTATTGTTGTACGATGAGGATGCTGTGCCTGTGTTCCAGCCAGAAAAAGTCGTCGTTCTCTCCAAAATCACGCGCTATGAATTCGAACGCAAACGCTATCCCCATCTTAGCGATCGTCAGCTGGCTGAAAAGGTAAACGAACCACGAGCGCGGCAATAAAAATCCATGCTCATAGTCATGGGTGTAAACTGTAAAAACCTTTAATGTGTGTTCTGCTGATAGAGTAAAGTTATTGCTGCGCTGGTTTGATGACTTACTCTGATATGTTAAAGTTGGAAACTGGATAAACGTGAAATTTTGGCCGTGTTTTAAATTTTCGTCCGGCTTTGCAGTTCTTGGAATTCTTAAATAATAAGTTTGGTAATAATGATATCGTAACTGTGTAATCATTGCAGTGACATTATTTGTAATTACGGCGGGTAATTAGTGGAGTGATGCAAAATCGCGGAACTATTCGCATTTCTTCATACATATCTGTAAAATGTTTTTGTTTGCAGTTAGCACAAAAGGGCTCCGATTATTATACACTGAGAGAACTGAATGCCTATCACAAAAATCAAGCTGACAAAATCGTTCGCACATTAAGGTACGTACATGCATTTTTAAACGATGATTATTCATTCTCTTAGCACATTAATTGTTGAACCTTACACTCGTATGGGAATTTTTTCGACTTCGGTGTATTGCGTGATGCGTTGTATAGCGTTTTGGTGTCATAAATCCTTCTCAGGAACATGGTCATTTCATTTCATTTTAGGAACAAAGGTATCGAAACCCATATTGTCAATCGCTACGAATATGGACCGGAAGTGATTGATTGGGCGGATGCGATTATTAGCGCCGGTGGAGACGGAACGTTTCTGCTGGGCGCTAGTAAGATCCGCAACTGCCAGAAGCCATTAATTGGCATCAATACTGATCCTCGCAGGTAGAAGTTTATTTGATGTGGCGAACGAACTAAAATAGATTTGTTGTATTGTTTGGATTGTTTTCAATTTTTGTCTTGCGATGTACAGATCGGAGGGTTATTTGTGCCTGCCAAAGGCAGCATCTCTCAACTTCTCAGAATCTCTGGACAAACTAATGAACGGCCAGTTCAGGTATACCACAGGAAATAACTTGAATTTGTTTCACTTGCCCACAGAACTGTAATGCTTATCTTGTATCGCTTCGTTGCACAGATGGTTTTATCGGCAGCGTATACGGATACAGCTGTCCGGTCCCAGCGCCTTGGAAACTCCTGTGGAGTTACATGAACAGGAGCTGAATTTTCCTGAACACCGCTTTGCGGATTGGGCTGTCGAAGACGCTGTTGAATTTGCGGATGCCTCGCGAGAATGCAGTAGGCGGGATGTGTCGGTTGCTGGATCGAGAAGTTCTAATTCTCGCCTATTGCCGGAAGTGGCCTTGAATGAAGTGTTTATTGGCGAATCGTTATCATCGAGGTAAAAAACGAAATCGAGTGTGTGCTCATTGTGCTGTGTTATTAATGCTGTGTCTGTTTGCTAACTCTAACCGCGCTTTTAATGTATTCTGCTTTACAGTACTTTCCTCTGTAGGGTCTCGTATTATGAGATTTCTCTGGATGATGCCCCCAGTGTAAAACAGAAGAGTTCAGGCGTTACCATTTGCACTGGAACCGGCTCAACATCATGGTCATTTAATATCAACAAACTGACGGAGCAGGCGACTGCTTCCATACTCAAAATTGGTAAGCGAATTAGTTCCTACTTCCTAGTAACTTCCTACGACCCTTACCCGTGCAGAATTGAAGTTCCTTTATTTTGTTTGATATCACTGTTGTGTATATTCGTGTCCATTTTTTAGTACGTGAGTCTAGTGATCTTCCCGTCCCAACCGAATCCGAATTTGTCAAAAGTGTAACGAAGACGTTCAACGACGAACTAATCTTCGATCCCAGCGATACACGCCTGGTCTGCACTATACGGGATCCTGTGTCGAATTCCATTTATGGTACCAGTAATCCGCGCGGCTTTGTGAACAAGTATGCTTTTTGTAAAGTTGTACATCACAGTAAATTTGAGTTATGTGTTACGTGAAACGATGCGATTACTGAATGCGTATGATGAGATTACTGAATTAATTCGCTGTTGGTACTTTTTTTAGAGTCGTCGTAAAATCTCGATGTTTCGATGCTTCCCTGGTAATTGACGGTGGCCCATCGTATAAATTCAATGATGGCGCAGAAGCTATTCTCACCACCCACCCGGACGATGCGCTGCGAACGGTTCAGCTCTTGTAAATAGTCTGCATACGTTTTATGTGTGCGTATATATTTATGGAAAGTACAAATGCAATATTTTGTTGAATTCTCGATAACAATGTTGCCTCTAGTGTTGTGCATGTACAGTTGTATATTTCGAGTGGATGACATTTGCTCACTATGCTGGTATTGTATTTATGTTAACTGGAGCTTTCATTTTATACGTAGTATTAATGTTAATAGCACAATGGGCGCAGTTTGCTTTGCATGCAAATTGAATTTGAACAACGCTTCGTAAATCAGAACACAATAAAGAGTAAAACTTAAATTAAACAAGATACCACCGAATGTATGCAATCATCACAAAATCCTTACCAAATAAATTAGAGAAGCGTTCAAATGTTACACACATGTCCAAACAGCTGAGAAGCACATATCGCAAATGACACAAGTTTACGGGTGGATTACTCACTGATGCCGGGTATACATTCAAAAACTGTTAACACCACTAAAAGAGTACATAAATTCCAGACTTTCACACATGAGGAATGCTGCCAGTTGTCCCACCCTTGTTCACACTTTTGTAAAAATATTATTTTAGAAGATGGGAATATAATTATCGATTTTGGCACGATGGCGCTGTGCTACACACTCCGCAATCCACACAATATTTCGGCATTCTTGTTCCTTGAGTTTGAACAAAGAATAAAACACTCCATAGTGGAACTGCTGCATGAAAGCGTTGACATTCAGTTTCACCTATATGTCGAAGAAACCCATTAGTTTCCAAAGCGGCAATACATCGTTTTGATTCAGAGCAAAAAACTGAGGTAACTGCAACCTCACCTCATATTCAAAAAACTTGTCCTCCAGAGTTTTCTCGCCTCCTCCTTGGCCTTGCACACCAATATCATCGAAAATCTTTTTGTACTCAGCGAAACTCTCAGCCACCATCCGGACTTGATCGTAATCCGATGCTCTTGTCAATCCAGCAATTCCATAAGGGAATAATTTGCCACACAATGGGTACAGGTTAACGCGATCGTCTTTTGTCAGTTCGGTCCCGAACGAGTTGATTGTGATTGTGAAGCACCGGCGATCAGCTTCGAACTACATGAATAAATGATACCATATAAGTATACCAAAGCGAAAACGGAGTTTTCTTCAGTTTACGAAATACAAGGAAGCAAGCACACGGATGTCACATGATAACCATGCTCATATTAGGTTCCAAATGCATGCAAAAATAGTATTCTGCGCATAGTATTGATTTTTGCATACATTTGGAAACTATGCGCAGAAAATAAAACTAGAGTATGTAATGCAATATATTTACGATTTTTAAAACTTTCAAATTTGAATTACAACCGTAAGTTCTTACCGCTAAAATCTCGCACATAACTTCCTCCGTAGTGCCGCCCAACTTTTTGCAGAAATCGTAAAACGATTCCAGATATGCCTATAATGCAAAATCAAACTACGTACTGGAATCCAGCAGTCATAATCACGAAAAGCAATCCCGACCTTGTAGAGCTTGTTACGGATAATTTCGATGTTCATTTCATCAAGATCCTGCTCGGATATACAGTCAGCGAAAAACGGTGCCAGTGGGGTATCGACGATGACTGCGTTGTACAACTCAGCTGTTGTCGATGCGATATTCAGTGCTTCCATCTGCTCGAAGCTTCCCAGTGGATGACATTTGCTGATGAGCTCGCCAATAGGACGACCGTGTAGGCTTCCCGTGATTAGCAGCACAATGTTGTCAATCATATAGGAATACCTGAATGATAAACCTTCAAGTGACTTGAGCCTTGTAATTTTGTCGCAAGCGCCAATCGCGAAAATTATAAGCATTAAAATAGTATAGCTAAATAAATCCTATAAAAAATTTCAGGTTTATTTAAACATAAAGTGAAAGAAAATGTTCTGCTTTTAATGATTTAATTTAGGATGAAATTTATATGGAAAAAGGCGCTATGGGATCAAATTCCATATGAACGGAATGCACTCACGTGATGTAGTCTAAAAAGGTGCTTAGTGGTTCCACAGCCTGATTTCTGATGTGGCGAAACTCCTGCACCATTTTCTCTTTCAGTTTTTCATCGATGACGGCCACTTGGAGTGGACTGGGTTCATTGGCCAGGAAGTTACCATAGTCCGTACTTTGAAGATGGAGTTTCAGATCTGCCACAAATTCACATTTGCTATGACTGCCAAACCCGCTACGCGTTATGACAGCAAAATGTCTCACCATCTATAGTTTCGCATTGCACTAAATTTAAATAATCCGTTCGGTTAAGGATGCCAGCCTTGAAGCCACGGATGAGACCTTCCAGATAGCCATCATCGATATTGAAAACGACTTCAGGGAAGAAATGGCTGAACATGTCTGCTGAATATAAAGCAGCGCTTCACCAAATGGAAAGAAGCGAACACACGATCACAGCTGGACGAAAACCGATAACTCCTCTGAATCTGAAGTTAACTCCAAAACAATCGAAATACGCAAATAACTTCAAGCAAATCAAAGGAATTAACGCACCCTACGGTCTATCACGAAACTGGAATATTCGTAACATCTGGTCTCTGGTGTGACTGGTGACTAGCGAGTAGAAATGCACTGTTTTCCCAAATGCACCAGGACACCGAGTGATCCCAAACACCCTCAGCAGCCAATATCACATGGACCGGGTTGAGCCGGACCGCTTTAAACGCTGCCCACGTTGAACATAAGCATCCGTGCGATTAAAATGCCCTAAGCCGATAGAAAGGCGGCGGATACATACCCGTCCTACCGTACTGCAAAAGGCGCTGACCGGAAGCGATGAAAAATTTCGTAGTGGAAAATCGGGAATCGTCCAATCTAGCATCCAGATTTTCAGTAAAAAATTACTGTTACTGAATAAGTTTTTAAAAGACGCCACAGATGTCGCTGGTTTTTTGCTGTCTGCCTTTGCGAGGCGATCAACTTCCAATTCGCTTCGCCGTTGACAAATAAAGCGCTGCTGCTGACTTCCCTGTTATAGTGTGATATTCTCGGTGGCTCGGCGCACCACTCAACGCATGGGGAAAAAAAAAGATGAGAAATTATTAGTTACAGTAGTTTTAAGCAGGACAGGGCCGCTTTTTTTAAATTTTTTCTAAATTTTGCTATGGATTTATGAGTTTTGTGGATTTATGATTTATAGTTATAAATTTTGGGAATCATGAAATCTTGATGCACTCATATACAATGCGGATTTTTCGTAAGCTTGGTGTGAAAAGCTAGTGAAGCTGGCAGTGGCCAGTGATGATGCAACGCCAGCTGAGATCCCGGACCGTTTTTTGTGTTGATCCTTGCAGATTCGTTGCGCTCTTCAGCGTCATTTTTTGTTAGTCTTTATCTAAGATGTTAACCGAATTTCTTCGGGCTTCTCCGAAATGCCACTCCATCGGAGGTTTCGGTCGACGGTACCATGTATTGGCCCATCGTCCTCTGCGCATCGGCTCTTCCCAATCCGTCCTTATTTCTCCAAGTCCATACTTTTCTCCAGTCGTAAGACCCCTGGGAATTAGATATTTCGGGGTGGCTACCATTGCACGGCAGGTTCTGAAACTCCGTTACTGGATTATTGGGGGCGCGGTCGGCGGCGGAGTCGCCCTGAAGGATAAATATGAAAAATTCAGAGAACAATTGCCGGAGCTTCCTGATTTTTCCCAGTATTTTCCCGACGCGACAGCTGAAAAGCTCAATACCATGTGGGATAGGATCCGGCGGAATGCGGAAGTCGGGGGAGGAGCTGTGGCGACGTTCGCGCACGACGGACTGGATCGAGCGAATACATGGTTGTTAGATTTGGAGAAACGATTAGGCTCACAAATTCGGGACGGAATTGGCGAGCATCCGTCAGATGAAGAAGGAAATCCGGAAGGTAGAAAAATTGTGCGCCACATGTTTTTTTTATGTGCAAAAATCGATAAGCACCCATAAATATGGGATACAAAATAAATTTTAAGATAGTGATAGATTACAAAATAAACCATTGCGTGATTTACGTCCTCTGAATATTGCCTTATTTTTTTCTAATTTATACGAACGTATTCATGTTTTCGTGTGCTGATTTTGAGTACTTCTAAACTTACGGTTAGTTATTTTTATTACGCCCTGCGTGTACTCTTACGTTTGCCGGTATTTTGATACACGAGGAATGCATTCCTTTTAAATTTCTATTAATTTTTTCGTGCTGGTGAGATTGTCTGTTCTTGTAGGATATTCGCTTCCATTTTTCAATGCTATGGGAGCAGGAAGCATAAGTTTTCCGATTCCGTCGTTATGTAAGAGAATCATAATCGTTACATTGTTTTGCTAAGAAATGATTGTTTGTACTGGCAGATGCCGACCAACCAACGACCATCACCGTTCCCGTTCCACCCATTGCCTCGAGTAAACCGGCGCCGACCAAAGAAGTGCGCGAAGAGCGCCGGAAAAAGGCTGACAAGGAGCGCCTGGTGGTGGATCTGGAAAACGAACTGCGGCGACTCCATGCAGCCGGCCAGATGGCTATTGACAGACTAGAACAGGAGAACCGTGAACTCCGCGACACTTTAAACGAAATCCGTGACGCCAATCGTGATCGCACTGCTGTGCGGCCGCCATCAACACAGAGCCCCATTGAAATGTATTCGGAAATTCTGGATCTGCTCTCGTCATACGATAGTGCCTTTAATAGTCAGGACCATTTGCCGCGGATTGTCGTGGTGGGTGATCAGAGCGCGGGGAAAACGAGTGTACTAGAGATGATTGCTCAAGCGCGGATTTTCCCCCGCGGCGCCGGTGAGATGATGACACGGGCACCGGTACAGGTGACGCTCAGTGATGGACCAGATCGGATTGCCCGCTTGCGGGATTCCAGTCGAGATTATGATTTGGATAGCGAACGGGATTTAGTGGATTTAAGAAGGGAGATTGAGATGCGGATGCGGGCCAGTGTGCGGGATGGGCGCACCGTCAGTAAAGATGTGATATCTCTATCGGTTAGTAATACTTTATTACTTAGTAATAGCTGGTATTTTAGAAAATAAAATGATTATTTGAGAATTTGTTGAACTAATTTTAGTTAATAGATTTTGGAGTTTAATTTCTTATTGTTAGTTATAATTTTTGCGATGCGCTGACAGAACAAAAAAAAAACATTATTCTGTCTACTGTCTTAAACTGACGGGGTGTGCTGTAGGTGAAAGGACCGGGCCTCAGTCGTATGGTATTGGTTGATCTCCCAGGAATAATAGCGACTGTTACGGCAGACATGGCTACTGATACCAAAGATACTATTTTCTCCCTCAGCCGCACCTACATGCAGAATCCGAACGCTATCATTCTCTGCATTCAAGACGGTTCCATTGATGCCGAACGGAGTAATGTCACCGATCTGGTAAACTCCATCGATCCGGAGGGCGCGCGTACTATTTTTGTCTTGACCAAGATAGATCTGGCGGAAAAAAGTGTCATGAATCCTGAGAGAATAAGAAAGATCCTTGAAGGTCGCTTATTCCCAATGAAAGCCCTGGGATACTTTGCTGTGGTTACCGGTAGGGGAAATAAAGACGACAGCATTGAAGAAATTCAAAAGTACGAACAAGAATACTTTCGGCGGTCGGCGCTGCTAAAACAAGGAGTATTCAAGGCCCATCAGACCACAACCAAAAACCTGAGTCACGCCGTGTCGGAACGATTTTGGCGTATGGTTAAAGAGACAGTAGAAGCGCAATCTTTGAATTTGAAAGCCCAACGATTTAATTTGGAAGCCGAGTGGAAGAATCATTTCCCCAAGCATCGCCCGATGGATCGCAAGGAATTGTACGAGCGCTCGCGAGTAAAAATCATGGATGACATTATGACCGCATGTCTAACAGCAAACATTGGTTGGATTAAGATCATAGAAGAGGATTTATGGAAGCGGTTTTCTCCGTATTTATTCGAGAATATTTACTTTCCAGCTGCGGCAGCGGAAACCCGTCCCATGTTTAACACCATCATTGACATCAAACTGCGCGAATGGCGGGAGAAGAATCTGGAGCAGTTATGCTTGGCAGTGGGATCAAATGCTATGAAAAATGAAATTCGAAAGCTGGTAGAAGCGGGAATGAAGGAGATTGCCGACCGCGATTCCATCTATGATGAAATCAAGAGAGGCGCCGTCGAAGTGGCCTTAGATAGACACAAATGGGAACGGCAAGCCATCGACAGATTGCGGAGTCTGGTTATCAACGCGCTTGACGATCATTCCATTGCGACCAATCTCATCTGGGATCATGCTGTGGAATTCTGGCAGAATGCTGTATCGGAAAAGCTGGATGATTTACAGAAAGAGTTCCGGGAACAGTTGGGACCGGGATTTCGAGAGCGATGGTTGAGATGGAAGTCACTGAGTCAGCATCAAAATGCTGCAAGAGAAACGCTTCTGGAATTAGAAAAAGTTCAGAAAGCGCGAAGTGCTCCTATAATGGCGGATCTGAGTGCGGATGAAGTGAATGCCGTGAGAAAGAATTTGGAATTGAAAAAAGTCGTCGTGGATAACGAGACCATTAAGATATTGTGGAGTTTACTTAAACGACAGGTTTTTTGAAGGATGCCTCAAAGCGCGCGGATTCCTGCCGTAATGCGTTTTATCAGTACAAAAAGGGATCTCTGGATGATGAAGTCAATTGTGATGATGCGCTGCTGTTCTCCAGAGTACGACGGATGATCAGTCAGACGAGTCGGTCTTTGGCGCAGCAAATTGATGAATCGGAAGTCAGACGGTTTGAGCGCGAACTGAAGCGCACGGTTAATGAATTTGGTCAGACGTCAAGTAGTCTCCAGAAGTATTTCAGTGGGAAACGCGTGGATTTGGCGGAGAAGCTCAAGCAAATACGGCAGATTCAAGAGAAATTAGATGGTTTTATAACTGTTCTGTCTGATGAAGAGAGAACCAAACGCACTAGGTTTGCGTTCAGCTTGTGATGTGTTTTCGATTTTATTAAAGTTACTTGATTGTTGTACTTTCTGGTTTTTATCGAAGTTTTGGCATTCTGAACTGGAATACAGTTTGAAGCCGTAAAGGGCGTTAATCAATAACGGCGAATAATCATTTAGAAGAAATGCCTCTCCAGCAAATATCCCGGCCACATCTTCCGTTAGCTTCGGATAAAATACTGTAGTAATTACATCACATGGCATAAACTCTCATAGACCAATAAGACCATCAGAATCTTCGGTGGAATTTGTTCATGATTTTCAGCTATTACGTACAACGCACTGAAAATATTTCCGCTTTACAATTTCACCGCCACTTTCGACTGTCACTCTCCTAATTTCCAAGTTATCTGTACATGAGAGAAGCGAAGTGAACTTCACGGTGAATATGAATACGGATGTTTAATAAACGGGTTGATAATTTGTGCAAAACGTGGGAATCTATTTTACCGCAAAAACAACTTGAAATTTTCAACCAGATTTGTGGTAGGTAACAATTTTTCCAGGCGAAATATATATTCTTTAAAAGATAGAAATCTTGTACGGAATGGTACACTCAAACCTTCAAAACACTAAAATAGCTGCATCGAAAAACGATCAACAATCACAGAATCAAAATCGGCAGGAAAGGTATTCACAAACGAACACACGTAATATCTTATTAATGTCATCCACCGTATCGTAGTGAATATTGGCAATATTGTCCTCGTACTTGTGCCACACACTGGGGAACGGATACGAAATTAAATGCACAATTTTAACACCCTTCTCCATGAACGGTCGGTGATCATCGTCGATCATTCCAACAGGAAATCCACCGCGATCGAAGTAATTATCAAGCCGTCCCCACTGTTTAATTAATCGTAGCTGCGCCAGCCGATCTTCATCCTTCGATAACTGATTGTACAAGTCACCCGTCGACGAAAAGAAATTCCGGAAATTGGTATCCGTAGTACCAATTAAATCCAACAACACAAACACATCCATAGAAGAGAGTTCATTCATCGACGCCACATCCGGCGCAAATCGGTTGCGCGTACGCGACCAACTATTCGCCAAGTGACGAGCCCCATACAAGGAATCCGTCGCCGACCACTCCCCGAAAGCTTCTTCGCCATCCATGAATAGTAACTGCAGCGTGATATCCTGTTTGGTCGAGCGGTTGTCAACGCGTCCACGAAGGGCGGTGGCGAGATCTAGTAACATGGCACAAGGGACGGCGGAATCCGTAGCGCCCACGAATTCCCCACGGGAATCAAATTTGGAATCATAGTGGCATACCAGAACTAGACGTCGCGGCGCATTCGGGTCTAAGGTGGCTATGATATTTGTAAAAGTGCGCCTGGCGTGCGGAGCCGGTGGTGAATCGTCGAATTTATCCAGTTCAATCGTGTATCCCAGGTTCTGGAGCGTGGTTATTAAAAACTATCAAAACAGGGAGCAATAATTACCAATTTACCTTAGTCATCACAGGAAAAGTTTTAAATTCTGCCTTGAGGAAATCAAGTGTCCTTGAAAAACTTAGGTATATTTAGTATTTACTGTCTGCGTTTTTCGGGGTGAGCACTGTGCAAGTTTCTTACCGCTTTCCTCGAGAACGCTAACTTTTGCCAGATTAATCTGTTTTCCTGCATAATCACCGTTTTCAAACAACCAACGTGACTGCAAGCAGCAAGTGCCGGCAACCCACAACAACTCATTATTTACCAAAACGTGCACAAAATACATGCAAAAAAAATTAACATTCCGAAGTGCCAAAAAATTATACAGAGCGCATGACCTACGCAAGAACGACTTACGCAACAGAGATGCATGAAAGATGAGACGACTACAATTTACCAATACCTCTTCAAATCGTTACGAAATTCGAACAAAACAATTCTTGTGCAAATATTTATACAGTTACATTCCAGCGCAACTTGAACGCGCACTCACGGTCACTAAAAACTACAAGCTAACAATCGATGGATGGTCCAAATAAGAACAAAAACAATAGCGCAGCATATTTAGCTTTTTCACAGTTAGGAAGTAAACTGGCAAATTTGTTACTGATTATACAGGGCCATTATGATATAAGCTGAACAATATTTTAGCAAATTATGCAGTACCCAAGCAAAACAACATATAATTACATCATTAATTACATATCTACACGTAAATGCATTCATCACGCAAGACTCAAAATCAAACTTAATTTAAGCGCGACAATATTTCAGTTTCACGTTTTAGGAATTTCATGTATGTGATCTACAAAAATCCCAAATTGGTACAGTTAGAAAAAAACGAAAAAGAAGTACTGGACTAATAAAATAAGTAAACATTTCGCAATGTACTTAAATGCAGTTTCTTGCTAGTATTTCGATTGCGCTCTGCATAAACGTTTCCAAAATTTTTGAAAACAGTTAAAAAGAATGTTTTCCTACCGTACACTGTAAAATAACAATAATACAATTTGTGGATATTCCGTCCTGTAAACAGTAAAAAGGTTTGCTAACAGCTAACCTGTTGAACTTGCAGATTTCCCTGAGTTCCCGAAACTCTGGGAATTAGAATAGGTTGCAGTAATCCCAAAAATCGCTCCTTGTTCGATAATCCCGCCAAACTCCTCAGCTGATCATCGGAAGCCGCGGTCAGCGGACTGCTGGTTTTATCAAAAAACCATTGCGGTGGATTGCCCAGTTGCCGCTTGGCCGCGGCATTCTGCCTGGCGTCCTGGGCATTGGAGGAATTGCTAAAGGATGCGAAACTCAGCAGCTGGAACAGATACGCCAAGGCGCTATCAGAAAAGAAGGATGTTGTATTCATAATCACAGCAGTGCAGGCAAATTACTACAGTAAAATATGAAGCAACGTGGCCACAGAATTCATCACGAAATGGCGGCAGCCAAAATCAGGTCCGAAAGTGCGGAGGAAAAATGAGCACACATGTTGCTAGCTACGTGTTGTTGTCAATGTATACTCACAGAATCGAGAAGCCCACAATGACGATGCGCCGTAATGATAGTCGCCACATGTATCCGCGTTACCATAACTATATTTACTCGAAAAACTACTGCGATAACAATGGAGACATATGAATTGGCAAAAATGCTTGTGTATGCGGCAAGCGCACTACTCTAGTGAAAAACACAAATGCCTTCAGCGCTCAAATGGTTTTTTAACGAGTGAAGCCATAATATGCGCTAAACCGGAAAATGAATGTACTGGGAAACAACAGCAACGACAAGATTAATATCGCCGGAGTTGAAACTGTCCACGATAAAACTTACTTCCTTAGAGCAAATGTTCTACAAAAATTTGTATTACAAAGTAGATTTTAAAATCTACTGAAATGTTTCTTTTTGTTAGCGTATATTAATTAGGACCGCGTAAGCTAACTGGAATTTTAACAAATGAGGGAAACATGTCTCAGTGGGACAATATATGTAAATAAATATATGTGCATGATTAGCATGTTGCATTAGCTATTACTTGACACACTTCAAATTCGAAATATTTGCAGGTCATCTGACCACCCAAAAAGTTTTGAAGATTTAAATTTTGCACGTTGTTTAAAAAAAAGTTTAATGGATGATCCGGGAGTATCACTCATTGACCAGTAACGAAGTTGGTTTTCTTCCACACTGGCAGTGAGTTGCACTGATAACTGTGTGAACCACCTTCATTTACGACAAGCCAATCTACAGAGTAGAACCGCAAAACATTAATTCAATTCCAAATGAGTTTTTTTGAATTACAAATCAGCCGTTTCAAATAACCCAAGCATCATAGCAGATAATTCTACAATTTAAAACGAGAAAATCAGCAGTGAAAACCAAGATTGAATAACAATCACTTCAATGAGCTATCCAATACACACTGGGATTACCTTTGGACACCAATTGCAAAAACTGGAAACGATGACTGTCATTAATTTTAAAAAGCAACAAAACGACAAAAAGGAAGCAAAAAAGCGTCCCCGCAGCGAGCGAGCTGCACCCAGGGGAAAGAGACTCGAAAAGCGTCTTTGGTCCATTGAAACACGAACAGCTGCCACGACGAAGAGACTAAAAAGCGGAATAAAAACCATCCATTCCCAACTCCGCACAAATCACAGACAACAACCATTGTCCGCGGGGGCACGACACAGAGCCGTCGCTCTGTGCCCACTGGACCGTCATGGTATAGCAGTCATTTCCACAACGGAAGAGGTATATCAGGGATCACCGAACGCACATCGCACAAATTCACCGCCCTTGAGAAGCGCCCATTTCCGCTGATCAAACACAACTACAACGTGTGGTGCAGACGAGCGTTGGCGCTAGACTGACCCGGCACTCCCACAGAATGCCTGCGATCGGTAGCGGTGTTGATCAAATCCCGCAGTTCGCGCTCCAGAAGTTCTCGTGCCTAAAATATTCGGCAAATTATTTTTAGCAGTTGCGCATAAAAAAATGCAGCGAAAAGATTCCAACACGTACGAAACGATTTTGCGTAGGTATTTGCAGCGCTAAGGCCAAACTGTTATGATCAAAAGCCTCATCCAGCGCTATGACGGCGCCGTGAATTCCGGACTCTTGGAGATTTTCGGCAAATTCCTTCAAGCCAATGGCCACGATCCACTGTATAACGCGGTCATTCGACCACACAATCACGTCTGAAATGGCAAGAAACCAATGACAAGGAACATGCAGATAGCATATAACTTTTTACACTATTCACTCCAATATTAAAAGAAAAATTTAATCAATGAAACGCTAGCGTGGAACTACAGAAAGCTGGCAATGAAACTGAGTCAAATTACCCTTTGGTTCAGTTTCGCAACGTTTACGGCGCTCTTCTAGTTCTCGACGATTGAAGCCTAACCGATCCAGACAAGCGATTCCGTATTGGAAACTTGTTCTACAATGAAAAAGAACAGCATGAATTAAACCATAAATATCCTAGGACCACTTAAACTACCGATGGAATCCATCGACCATTTTTAATTGGCCGCGGAGATCTTTCTTAGTGAGATGATCAAGCATCCGTGCATCAACCAAACATTCCATGAAGGTCGACCGGTACTGCGGCAAGCCCAGCGACGGTAACCAGTAGTTTCCCACCCATTCGTGGTTCATTCCAGCGAACGCGGCCCTCTGAAAAGGGAGTTGATCTCAGTCACCACGAAATGTCGCAACGACGTAAGGAATTCAATGCGCAATATTTATATAACAGCTAACTATTGTCAATTACCGTAGTCTTCGTGGCAGATGGACTCGTGATATCGACCATTTCCTGAATAGCGAGACGTAGTTTCAATCGGTGTAACGGATTAGCAATGCCGATCTCCCGCTGCATCTCCGTATCACTTAGAGAGGCCATGATCGCGCCACTCTTCACATTTGACTTGCAGACTGACACGTACCAATCCGGCATCCCCACCCAAACCTAAATAAAGAAACGAAGCGAAGTTTGTTTTGCACAGCGCACGTACTGAACAAAAGGTAGATCCCAAAATACTAAGAAAAAAAAGTCAGGCGCAAAACCGTACCTCCAACCATGCGACAATGGTCGCTCCATCCCACATGACGAATGGGTCGCCTTTATTGAGGGCTGCAGTCAGTATATCCACCCTAAAAATTACTTTGCTTGAACTATTGTAAAAAAATAAAGAAATTCTGCAAACTACGGCATTTATCAAGAACACCAGAATACAGGTAATTAACATCAACGAACTTCTTTCTTTTCCTGCGATCAAAATCCACCGGTCCGCCTGGACTCGCTCCCGGCAGCCGCTCCAAAGGCCCATTCGGCTCGGCGTCTCGTTCCGGCGAAAAGAGATCCACATCATTGTGCGCAATGTGCACCAGGCTCCGTGATCCACCAGCAGCAGCCTGCTGATTGGCTGTCTGTTGCAAGACTTTCTTCTCTTTCTTATTGAATAATTTCCCAAATGAATTGCGGATGCTGCGTTTCTTTTGCACGGGAAAGCCCGGTTGCACTTGTCGGTGCAGGGAATCCTGGCTGGAATGCCCGCTGCTCACCGGACTGGGCGTATCATGAGAACTCTCCATATTCCCGCTGCGGTTCAAATGATTCGCGTACCTGTAAAAAAATAATGGAAATAAATACGAAAACCTGCTAAAAAATAGATTTTCAGCTAACAAAGGTGTTCCCTTCGCGCTCGATGTTACTAAAGTTAAAAAATGTATTTGGCACTCACGTGACTCCACCATCAACAAATCCTAAACCGTGTGTGTGTCCAGAACGATCGTACATCGCCGGTCCACCGGCGACTCCATTTACGCTTCGCGGGAACGTGTTGGATTGTGGCACATTAACAGGATTGGACGGCGGACTTCCCTCATGGACAATGGTATGAACATCATCAGTTTCCTTCCAGTCCTTCTATCCGTCATCAACGCAACCCATCAATGAGCGCAACCGTACTAAACACAAGACACAAACCTCGATCTCCGCTAGCATCATGACGGGATTGAGTTTCTCATGTCCCGCCCCTCCGTTACCATTCGAGCCGTAAACACCGGTTGTCTCCATTTCCTAAACAAGTAAAAAAGCCCAATTTCCATACTTTGTTAGCTCTTCACTATGAAATTCAACGCCAACGATCCATGGAGAATCCTTATCAGCGCAACTTACGCCACGCGGAAGCCGCTCGGGTGATTTACGTCCAATATAATGAAAATCGATACTGCCCACTTGGCTTTCGAGTTCTTCCGTTCGCAACTCGGCATTCTGTTTTTCTTCCTGGATCATCCGGATTTCGTGATTTATAGCATCCAGCTGCTGCTGCAGCATCATTGCTAAACTCTGCGCATCAGTTTGACCGGACGGCGATAACATATCGCCACTGGCGAATAAATGTCGCTCATCAAAATCGTCCATATGGGCATCAACGCAATCAAATGCATGCTGAACATTGGCTAAAACATGGGCTTGCTGGACTTTTTCCCATTCGGCCTCGCCGGTCGTCAGCACTTGAATCTGCATTAAAAAATCATGTTTTGCTAATTCATTTGCGATGCTAAAAATAATTCGAAAATAGCAGTAGCATTAACCAAAATTTGAGTTCGACCTTTCTCCAAATACCGCCATTAACCGGCTCCTTACGATTACGTAATATTCTCATGCAGACAACGTAGGATTTCAATTTGTATTTAAAAAATTAGTAACAAGAACAGTCAAATTATGTTATGTTGGTCGTATTCTGCAAATACCTTTGAGTGTTCTCCATCAATAATTCTTTGTCGACCCGGTGCATTTCTCCTGAGCGATCCCATACCATTTTGAACGGAATAACCCATCCCATCAGTATATCCATTCATGTTGTTCGGAGGATTGCTCCTCGAGGATAAATTAGTAATGGTCGCTTGCATCTGTCGCATTTGATCGTCCATACGTTGCTACAGTAAACAATTAGCACCGTTTAATGCATACTCACACAATCAATCCTTTGTAACCAGTCACAAACCTTTGCAACCACAGATTCTTCCAGCTCCGTCTTTGTTCGCTCCAGTTCAAGCACCAGAGCATTTTTCTCCTCCAGTGCCTCCATTCGCTCTTTCAGATGAGACTGCAGTCGATCTTTCTGTTCGGCAACCAATTTCTCCACTGTTTCCGTTAATTTGGCATTATGTTCCTCATTTATCTTCTCTCTTTGTCGACCCTACGCAAAAGAACCGTAATGACTATGTTTCTGTACAAAAGGTTGGAAGCTACATATTATTTTGACCAGGGTCAATTCAATGAAGCCCACAGCAAAAAAATCTGCCCGCTCAACCATGGACGAAATTACTGCGGACCAAAGCACTCAAAATAAGCCAAATTCACAAAGATAAAAGAAACTGGTTTTATTCTCATTACCCGTAATACATCGGCTCTCTTTTCTTCCAGTTGCGATTCCAGTCTTCGCATGTTCTCCTCAGCCGAAGCGCCCATCTGTTTCTCCTCGCCATCTACATCGCTATCCCCGTGTGCTGTCAGCGCTTTTTCCGCTAATTCATACATTTGCTGCAGACTGTGTAGTCTGTCGTTGAGCACGCGTATGGAAGCTTCCTTAGAGACAACGTCACTCTCTAATTTAGTGGTGAGCTCTTGTAAGGATGCAGACTCCTGCTGCGTCGACCGATGGCGTTTCTCCAGTCCGCCTATTCGGATTTCTAGGTCTTGTTTGGCGGCAGCAACCTGCGGCGGTTAAAACAATGCTTACAAATTCGGCGATCAGTTTTAAACTAGAATAAACTACTAGCGTAAAATTAAATGCACGATGACGACGGTATGCTGTCAATATATCCGACGGTGCTGATAACAAAGGTACTAGTACAGTAACTAATCTTTAAAATACTCATTTCAGTTCGTACCTCGGCATATTCACGGCTTAATTTAACACTGTTATCTTTAAATTTGGCTAGCTCTTCTTTCTGCTGCGCTATGTAGCTTTCCAGCTCGGCAATTTTTCTTGCTGACTGTGACTGGGCTTCCAGAAACGTAGCCATGGAGGGAGAAGGGGGCAGACCATCCGGTTTCGAAGTCGACGCTTCGGCGAGAGTGGGGCCATTCCCAGCAACCTTGAAACACAACCATCAAATGAAAAAACAAGAAATACAGTACAGAAGTAACCAAAAGTATGAAATACAGCTTCATGAAATGATTGCAGTCCACTACAAGCAAACCATACATGTACTTAACCTTTACTACACAATATCAACAAGACAAGTCGCAGCTTTTTTTACAAATCAGTTCACGTAGTTTACACTTTTAATAAAACAGAATTGCAAAATCTACAATAATACTCACCTCCAAATGCGGTTTCGGTTGGTCCAGAGCACTTTTTAACGTAAAAATCTGTAAAAGAATTCATTTTCACCGCTTATAAGTAATGTGATTGGATTAAGTCATACCTCTTTATCCCGCACTATCAACTCTTCTTCCAGCATCTCATTGCGTTCTTGTGCCACCCTCAGCTTCTTTCTGACCTTCTCATCCAAGGCTTTATGGTGCTCAAAGAGGGATTTCAACGCTTGCAGCACTTCCTGCTCATTGGACGCTTGACTATTGGAACCTCCACCCGCCTGGCGTCGCACCACTGTAGACCGGATGGTGCGATCATAGCGGGAGACTAAACATTCCAGATGTTCCAACAGCAGCTAATAATAAAAAAATACTTGTTTTTATTCGTATAACCAGGAAGTATAAATTCGGCTAAGGACAAACCTTGGTATTGTTGCGTTCGGCCTTCAATTCCTGGATCTCTTCATCACGCTCTTCCAAATTCAGCCGGAGATGATTAAGTTGCTTTACGAGGACAGCCACATCCTGTCAATGTCAGGAAATACGCGCATCCTTAATTCGCTCGATAAATTGATTTTTTGCGACTCTACCCGAACGTTACGAGCTTTTTGTAAAATGCAGACAAATACAATACGGCAGAATCCCAGCAAACAACCTAATGCGTATTTACATATTTAGAAAAAGAGAAAACATTTAGTATCGATGACAGGAAATCAAAAAGTCGAAAAAATGCCAGAGTTACTAGAGCAGCGATACAGTACCTGAGGAAGGGAGATGTCCAGCTGGTGTTGGAGTGACTGCACCTCTTTTTCAAGTTCGCTGATGCGCGCCTTGGCTTCGTTCAGTTGCTCCTGCGTATCGCGCAGGGCCTCCATATACTTATCGCGCTCATCCAGCATAGTGACCATGAGCTGCTCAAACTGTGGATCTTCGCCGTGACCACCTTCGTCGCCATCGCCAGCCGCCCCACTGAAGGAGCTTCTGCTGCTCACACCGTCCTCGTTAATTGTTGGCATTATATCCATCATTTCCATACTGCTCCACATACCTAACAACAGAAAATGTATCATGTAGATATACAACCAACAGGGATATCATTCAAATCACAAAAACTAAGCGTTTCCGGTTCAACAAAAAACACAAACCAAAACCGCTTCCAGCGTTTCAAGGGAAAGAACGTATGAATATTTTTATTGTATCAAAACAATATTATTACCGTAATTATCAACGTGATTTCGCCGATACGACAAAATCAGCCTAGCCAGCCGCGTTAATATCTGCACTGATTGCATATGATCTCTTTTGTTATGTGAGTTCCTGCATTCTTGATTTTTTCAGTTTTCAATTGCAATTATTGTGCTTTTCTGGAAAGTTAATACCACGACGGATTTTGCCGGCAGTAAGACAGGTTTATTGTTAATTATCCCAATAACATAATTACTCGTATAACCTAATCATTCTTAGGCACAATTGCATTCTTGCTACCGCTCCGAATTAAAAACTGTTGTTGCACTATCTGACTATCATATCATTCATACTCGTAGAAAGTAAAAAGAATTAGTGCTATTAAATATAAAAAAAACATAATCACCTGAAACTGCAGCGAACGTTCAGACAACAACCTTCAAAAATCTAACCTATCATCAGTCGCAAAACATCAAAGGCATCCCCGCGGGCAAGGGAGCTTACGGGTACACGTGATGTAAAAATTTCGAAAACCCTCGCAAGCTGTCAGGAACCGAATTCATAATTAAACAGTATAAAATATAAAGTAATCCAACTCAAAAGAATGCGGAACTGACAATTAAAGCTAAACGTCTGCCAAAAGAGCCCAGTAATGCATGAGTAAGTCATGCTTGCGCATGTCTCCAGTGTCTGACAACTTTCTTGCATACCGTATTGTGTTTTTCTATTACGACTACGCCAAACGAGCGAACGAACTGTAAACAGAAGAAAAACTCCATTTTGCCATTGAAGTCTGTTTGGAAATAATCTGGGTCAAGTGCTTTACGACATCGCAAACTTGCAAAAAAATGTCACGCTCCACTAGCAAACCGTACACATAATCACTTACTCAATTAGAACCAATTCCTCCCCGTCTCAATCGATGATAGTTAATTAATTAATTAACACTCAAACGAATCCACGCAACAATAAGTGACTCCAAAAAAGGACCGCAGAATGGCGCAGATAAATACGAAAACATAGTTGTATGGAAGCACTCCAACATTATCGGATGATGTGAATGCGGACGGATCCATAAAGTTTTACAGTGTTATTGTCATCACTGTGCGACAAAAAAACCTTATTCATCCGGAGATTATGGTAAAACATGGGAACCATCACGGAATCCCCCGATGCTGGCCATCTTTGATCTGCTCTGCAGCCTGCACGCTCCCTCTTCTTTGGCAAAGGGAAAAATGCAAAGTTAATTAGCAGAATGTCGCAATGAATCAAATCAGCTTATCACAGAAAAGCCGAAACCACCGAAGAAGGACGATAATCATCGGCTGCATGTGCTACATGATATGCGTGATGCAGTGTTGTGCTTATTAATAATTTGGGATAAGCAGCACATGGATTAATAGCAATTTAATCTAACCATATCTCCCACATCTGCATCCAGGCTGGCTGGCACCAGTCGGATCAATTAAAAATTTCCGCGCGAATAAGCGCAATGCACGTACAAACACCATCACATGGCTGTAATCCACAATGATAAGTTGTTTGATTTGTCATGGTGGAAAATAATGGCAGAGAGAGGAATGAGAGAAACAGGATAGGAGTAAAAGATCCCTGAATGGCTTTATAGCGAAAATGGAGAAAAATACATAAAACTTGATGGTCTTCTACAGTTCACAAATTACAATGATAGCTCCGCCCATAACACTCTGTATCATGCAACGATATCCCCGTTCGAAAGAATATGGAATGCTGTGTGTGGCACAAGGAATTTTGAAGTACCGCTAACTTTATTTGTTTTGTGAAGTGCAGCGACGCATCGCCCTGTATCGGTTCATGCATCGCAGCACCAGAAATTACAGGGATACTGCAGTACCTGCCGCGTTGAAGAGAAATATCTACATTACAACAAAACGCTGCGCGGATGCGTGTCTCACCGTTGCTAGCCGGAACTCACCGGAAAAACTTACAGGACGACAGTGTTTTCCGCCGTTTCCACATAGGATGCCAGTATCCTGTGTCAATCTACATTAGGTGAACTTGTCAAATATCATTTAAATGGAACGCAGCTTTCCGGACAGGCTGGAGTGTCATGATGACGAATCATCCCCGTTCCCTTTCGGTTTGTCTGCCCCATTGGAATAATTTTTTTCTTTACGACGACGTTGTGGCCGACACTTGCTTAACGACCGGCTTTTGTGATTTTGCCTGTTAAGCTTTTCGCCGTTAGATAACAGTGATTGTGCGTCTTTTGTAATGGCCAGTGCGTAGTGACAGCTGAGCCAAACATCAAGTATTCCGTTTCCGGCTAGCGACATTATGCTGTTAAATGTTAATCGCTTAACTAAATTTTAATTAGGCGGTTTACGTACACCATAATAATAATATACTGTATATGTCTTTATTTATACGCTAAGAAGAGCTAAGAAAAAAGAACTAAGAACTGCACAGCAAATAAACTTAATAAAGTCCGTAGCTGCGGCTGGCACGTGTACGATACATCATACTTCTATAGAATTTTGGATACTCGTACTGTTAACCTGCAAGTTTTTGCTTCGCGATGGGATAATTATTATATCTTGTGAATTTTTTACGATTAAGACCTATGTACTCTACGTAGCATTTTGCCTCTTTTCACATTTGACCGCATAATACTTTATGTGCATGTAGCACTAGCATTCTGTCTACAAATATAATCGTAAGTACTTATCGTTATGTATAATATACGTACATTAGTGCATAGCTGCTATGCCATAGCATACAAAGTTATTACAAACAACGTCTTTAAGCCCTTTAAATTAGTACAACACAAGTACAGTACGTATTGTACAATTATTGTATTTGTACCTATGAAATTCCCGTACCTCAAAATACAAGTTCGGCATTACAATAATAATTATTATGATAACAATAGAATTCTAATCAAAGGCTAAAATGACCGAAGAATGACTGACCGATGCATGGGTGTGTGGGTCAGAACAAAGCCTCTATCTATACATGAAGTTAAGAAATGAAAGGAAAACTTCTTACACTTATTAATTTGAGCCGGCAAAAGTTCACGATACAGTATTTTAAACCGACGCCGCATTCGAAACGTTTTATTGTCATTTGTCACCACTAGTGAGTATTGGTCCTACAGATCAAAATTCTGTTTTTGAAATATGATGTATCATTTTGGAAATTCCAATCGATTAAGAAATTATTGTAAGTACATACGTAGTGTCGTGCGTATTCATCGTCAATTAATGTTCGCAGTAAATGATTTGTTGTAGTAATTGTCTACCCTGGGCCTGGTCTATTTGGAGTACACGTCATTAAAATCTCAGCCTCATGCCTCAGCCAATGGCTGCAACCACGGCTTTTTCAAGTGATGTTTAGGTCTTGAATCATTCTTGAACTTGAATCCCAGTACAGTATGAATCGCACGTATAAAAGATGCTTTCACGTTGTATACATTTCTCTGCTAAAATAAAACCATGTAAATTTCTGGTTTTTATTCGTTGATCTCTGATAATTAATTGTTGTGGGATTATTTTGGATTACCCGGACATTCCGACCCTACATGATCCAATTGTTATTGGGGATGCTGTTTGTTGAGCCCCATCAATCATGTCAGATAAGCGCAAACTGCTCGGTACGTCCTGGGTTCTAGGCCACAATTCGGTGGCTTGTGCGTTAAATAATTCAGTTCATTCTAAAAATATGGCGTGCTTGTTGCTTAACAGCGGAGGTCGATCGCACCCTCAAGAAAATCCAGGAGGGAATGGAGATATTCGATGAAATATGGGCAAAAGTGGGCCAAATATATAGATTGCGAGGATCGTAGTGCGGTGGCTAACGTAATGTTGTTTTTTCCCACGCTCAGGTGCAGGAGGCTCCAACCCAAAGCCACAAGGAGAAGTATGAGCAGGATCTCAAGAAGGAGATAAAAAAGTTGCAAGTACGCTGCTTCTTGTGTTGTCGTCACACCGCGAAGCATGGCCAACAAGTGCTTGTGCTTTTTTGCAGAGGTTGCGAGATCAGGTTAAAACCTGGATCGCTAGCAGCAATGAAATCAAAGATAAAGATCCCCTTTTAAAAGCCCGAAGAGACATTGAAATGGTATGCAATTCTTTGCATTCTTGCTGCAGAATTTTGGTTTTTTCTTGTTCAATTTTGCTTTGCCTGTGGTGATTGCATGGATTGCGGTTGATTTTGTTGTGTAGAAAATGGAAAAATTTAAGGATGTGGAAAGAGAGACAAAGACGAAAGTTTATTCTAAAGTGGGACTGGCCCAAGCGGCCAAAATGGATGTGAACCAGAAGAGGAAACTGGAAGCCAGAGCGATACTTTCTGTATGGATGCAGCATTCTGTCGCTCAATATTTATCCTTTGCGGTGCCGTCATTAATTGCATCGTTATAGTCATTCATCGAAAAAATGAACATCGATCTGGAACAATTTGAAAGTGAAATGGAAGACCTTGAAGCTGGTGCCAGGAAAAAGAAGCTGGAAAAAGAGGTATGCGTAAGTATTGACTTTTAAAAAAATGTGTTAGTAACAATTGTTTTGAGAGGCAAAACATTTGATTGCTGGATTTTGCTGCAGTTATAGGGCGGAGTTTTTAGCTGAAACGTTTGTGGTTACATTGTTGCCTGTTTTGATTGTATCTGAAGCTCTGCTTTTGCAGAAGCTGGAAAAAGTGGAATTCCTCAAGCAGATCATGGAATCCCACCGGAATCACATCACTAAAATGGAGATCATGCTAAGGATGCTGGATAATGACAGCTTAGATGCCGAGCAGGTGTGCGGCATCGCGGACGATATAAAGTTTTATTTGGACAAAGCGGATGAAGGCCAGGTTGAGGATGTGAACTATGTGTATGAAGGCATTGAACTGGAGGAAACAGGTATTTGTTGCTCAAGTGTTGTTGGGCGGTGGTTATTCGCTGACCAGTTTTCATTACCCGCTCTGCTTTGGCTTGCGTTGTATTACAATTTACTGAAACACTTTGAATCAAGAAACGACTTTTTATTATGGTGTTTTGTGATTTCATTATGCGTTTAACGTAAAATGGACCGAAAAAAATTGGATTTTTTGCTGTTTATTTGTACTTACTTATAATTAAACAGCGTGATAAATATGTCTGTTTTTTATAGTGCCAGAGTCACCTCCAGGAAGTCCAGAGCCGAGCGTAACATCGAAAGATTCGGATGATACGAAAAAGAAACGGCCTTCTGAAGATGTAAGATTTTTGTGACTTTTTTTTATTGAAAACTCTTAACACGACAGAATCCATATGAAAATTCGGCAATAAGTACTATTTTTATGTTTTGTTTGTTTACATAAATCCTTAGTTGACGTTTTCTTAATTTTGCCAGACGACGACGCCCCAGCCCGCTAAGCAAACCGCTAAAATGTCCATACCTATAAGCTCTACTGTGACGCCATCTAAACCGGTGGATGTGAAAAACGCCGTTGGTATATCTCCACCACCGAAACTAAGGTGAAAAGTAAAAGTAATTCGTTAATTGTAAACCAGATTTGGATACGTACTTTTAAAAAGTTCAACTTTACTTTACCTCTGTTTCAGCTTTACTTATGTCTTGCTCGCATTGCAGTCAATCACTTCCAAATCCACCGGCACAACCACCTCTTTTACAGGCATACGCTGCCGCAGCCGGTATTCTACATATGCACAGTATTTGAAAATGCTGGCAGGGTTTATTTATTTGGACTATGTTGTAGCCAAGGCGCTACCTCAACCAGCGGTGAAACCACCGCCGCAAATAGCCTCTCCTGCGTTAGCCGAAGAGCCAGAGAGTAAGAAGACCGAACCGGAACGACCGGCTGCAGATTCTCAGGCCTCAGCGGCCAGCGTCACATCTCCGCAAGGTACAAAATAATCTTCAGGATTTTTGCTTAAGTGTGCAAAAAATACGTTTTTTATGGCTAACATGGATACGAGTACTTGTCGTTTAGAAGATAAAATTTGGTTATTGCTTTTATGTGGTAATCCTGTAAAGTGATTCTTCCAGGTTGAGAATCAGGACTGTAGAATGGTATTAATTTTTATGCTTTTAAAAATAAGCGAAAATTCGTTATTGCTGTTAGACGCTTCCTCACGGCGGGCTTCTATCGATCCACAAATTCAGACGCCCGTTAAGCCGTCAACTCCCCTCCAGTTCCCACTCTCTGCCTCTCCTCGGCCTATGGGCGCCAGCTACGCCTCCTCCATCAGTGGCAGCAGCGCTCCTTCCACACCTCAGCCTTCCCCGATGAAAGATCCCTGGAAAGATATGATCCGGCCTCCGGCGAAACCACCGTCAACCAACGGTGTCCCACCACCTGCCGCACCTACGATGAATTTTACCGTGCAACCGGTCCCGCCGCCAGTCGCTCCGCCGAGTATTACACCCGTCAGTTTAACCCGTTCCGATCCGTCCGCGGCTTTCATGTCACCCATGGATACCAGCGTCGAGGAGAAGCTGGCGCCCTTTAGTCGCGGACATTCACGGAATCCATCGGAGGACTTTGATAAAACGGATATATCCGCCGCGATGCGAAGTTCAGGGCTGATGGAGACGCCGACCGCGCTGCATGTCCCGTTGATCACCAAGGCGGAGTTGGAATCGCGGATTTCTCCTATGATGGCCATGGCACCATTAGGACCGGAGCGGGCGACCAGGGATATGCTGCTGCAGCATAATTGGCTGGAGCAGGCCTTCCACAATCCCCCCAAACCCTGTGACTCGGAGCGGAGAAAGTAGGCAGTGAATATCATGGCTGTGTCTTGATCGTTTGCAGACTAAGCATGTGAAATGATTTAAAGGGCGTTCATTCCATGCGTACACTGCGCCATTCCGCCGGGATGGCCGCGCCAACCGCCGATGCCGCTGGTGTGCGATATGAAATTCTATGGCAATTTAAACAGTGATGCCCTGTTTTTCATCTTTTATTATCAGGAGGTTTGTGGTCGTGTGCGTGTTACGTTTCTGGAATGGTATTTTATCACACTTTTATTACGGGTGTTCGCTACTTTTGTTAATTTTTGTGTTGTTTATTTACACGTTTTTCGTAGTTACATTAATTTCGTTGCAGTACTTAGGTAGATTTTGGCTGTTTTATTAGTTTGAAGCAAAAAGTAATCTTGGTTTTTTCTGACAGGGAAGCTTAGCCCAAATTCTTGCGGCTAAGACACTGAAAAGCAAAAACTGGAGATTCCACAAGCAGCTGAATGCGTGGTTTCAGAGATTAGACGAACCGAAAGTAACAACCAGCGAATACGAACGAGTAAGCTTTTCGGTTTCGTCGGCTTTTTCGTTATGCGGATCGTGGGCTTTTTCGTTAAGAGTTACTTGAGTTATTGCGTTGTGTGTTTATATCATTTCCATTTGTAGGGAAACTACAAGTACTGGGATTTGGATAGCTGGTCGGAGAAGCAGAAGAATGATTTTACCTTTGAATATCGTTATTTGGAAAACGTGGATCTCAACAGATGGCCCTACGTATGAAACCCGCGTCACTCTTTTTTGAACGTATCAGTGGTTGTTTTCTTTCATACACACACGCGTTTTTGGTGGTATTAATTTTTAAGTGCTCCGGTTCAGCGCGGTATATTTATTGCGGTGGGCCGAGAGCCGCGTCGTTATTTTTTTCGTTTTGTTGGCTGTTGCTTTTATTCTATTTGCAGATAACTGCAGGATATTGACTGTGCTTTCTGTCTGTGTTCGTATCTGTATTGTGCTTGGGCTTGCTGGTTTTATGGCTGTATATACAGTAATATATGTTGTGATTATTATTCCCTGAATGGTTTTAAAACTGGATTGTTGCATGCAGAAGTATTCTTGATAAATGAAAAAAGGCATTTGCCGTAAGTTCTTGGCTTATGCTTCATCAGCGTGATCTTATTAGAATTCGCACAGCTTTAGTCATGTGTAATAATGATATGCAAAGACGGATACGCCGAGTAGCGTAAAGCGACGACCTTTATTATTCCAGTAACATGAATGGATGTATCGAGTATCTGTAGTTACTGTCCACTGTGTCCTATTGCAATCTGCTTTAATTAATTACAAAACTTGGGGTTGTCTTAATAAAAAATCTGTTTTTGCCAGATAACAATATTTTAAGAAGGCTGCTGTGTTGTGGTTGTTGTGTCAGAATCCGGTCCAGAATTCGCAGCCACGGTGTCATAAATCCATTTCTTGTGATGCATGACATTGGTGTAGACGCTTGGCTTATGCGGATGCCCACACTTCATTCCCCAAGATACAATTCCGTACAGTTTCCACTGTGAATCACCGTCATCGCAAACGAGAGGTCCCCCTACATCCACAAAAACATAAAGAAGCAAATTAAATTTTGAATTCTAAGTGCTGCATTTAGATCGGAAAACGGTTTAGAATCGTAAAGGTCACGATTGGCGTACCGGAATCACCCTGGCAGGAATCGTAGTAACCCAAACTGTATCCAGCACAAAACTAAAAGAACCCGCATAACTGTAATAATATGTACTGACAAGGTACTTGCATCTAAATATGTACACTATGCTGACTGCAGTCTGGACGTAAATTTAATGCTGAACTTTACACCCTAAGAGGCAATAAATTTACTATTCTTATTAAATATACCGGATTACGTTCTGGGTGTCTGTTAGATCCTAACCAGTAAGGAGCCTAACCTGGCGATCCGTTACGATGCCGTTACTACCCGCAGCCTTGGCGGACATGGAGCATTCCTGGTGCGGCATAATTTCGATGGCGATTTGGAGAACGTCATCTGAACCAGCTCCAACTTTAGTGGCGTTAACATCTGAAAACAATCCACTTTAATACTCAAAAATTCAAAAGGTCACGATTCATGTTTTAATAGAACTTGTACTTGTATATTAGTACTTGTATGTGTCTGTACATTGTACAATTAGAAATATTATATTCCACATATTTTGAGAGTACGTAAGGCAGCATACTTGGAATTTGTCCAGAAAACAGAGTTCCCCATCCTGCTACGTAGCAGACCCTTCTTCCATCTGGAGCGGTTTCGGCAAACGGGCGCAACCGAACGGGTTTTTGCGGCAAGCAGGCGGTGTTGATTTCCGGTCTCGTAGCGGGATCCAGCTCCACAAACCGGTCCAGTTTGAGGAGGGCGATATCGTTATCCATGCTGCCTGAGCCTTCAGGTTTATTGTAGTCCGGGTGTTTAATCAGTTTAGTGACCTTAAAGTAGTTATTTTCCGTGGCTTTCGCCAAATTATCCACACCCAGAATAATCCGCAGCGACGGGATCATACTTTCGCCGGCTGGCAGACAATGGGCCGCGGTCACTACCCACTGGTCGGCAATCTGTTAATGAAGTCAGTTTAAAAACAATTTTATAGATTTATAAACTAACATATTTTAATTAAGGGTTTACGATTACCAGTGTGCTTCCACATTGTTGTGGTGGCTTTTTGCCGGTCATCAACATGGCGCCTAACCACGGCCAGCTGTTATCCCACGGACGATTCCCATTAACAATGCGATTCTTGGTTTCCGATGGTTGGTTCTACAGAAAGAGAAATAAATTTTAGCCTTTACGCTGCATTAACCGCGGTATCCTGATCTTTTTCAAATGAGGAATAAAAGCCTAAATCTGTGTTAATATTTGCTGAATATTGTATTTCTTGTAGTAGTAGTTTAACGCTGCTCAAGTATCAGTAAGTTTGATCAAGTGATAATTAGAGTAAGCTACAGCAAAATTTGATTAAGTAGTGCATACGCTAACGACTTAACAAAATGTCAGTCATTGTTAAATTCTGGTTCGTTGTAATTAAACGCTGGATCGTAAACGCAGTACTTTCGCTTTTCCGCAGGTGAGATCCGGCACGTCGGCTAATATTCCGCCACCGGCTGATCCCGTTATGACATTTGTCTCCACCGCACGCAGGTTGTACCGGATCTGGAATCCCGTTCGGGCCATGTTGGGCAGATCGTTGGCATAGGGGTCCACGCAGATATCCACGACTATGAAAGCCGCCTCGCTTGGGAAGACAACGGGCTTACCGGAAGTAAAATGTTTCTGCATTATTGCTGTGAGATAAATAACGATTAACGGCACGATACATTCGTGACTGTAGTCTGCAGTAACAGAAGTTGATAAGTATTTAATTACAGTGCTTTATATTATATATACTATGTCGATGTACAGCGTGACAAAATGTCTACTTTTTAATGCATTCTCACCGTGATAATCCACGCCATCTGTAAAGAAGTCAGATTAAGTACTGTTGTAATTAAAGATATTTTGATGAAACTAGAATACTTTTTTCTTGCATTTTTCGGCACTATTCACCAAAACTGCAATAATTTAATAACTGGGAATATGCTGCACCGGCAAAGGTTTAAACGATATTAGTAATATCCGACTGAATTCTTTAGGGGCAACATACTTTCTCCCAGCTTTTTATATTTCGTGACATTGCAAATAAAGTTCATTTTGTCCGCCACATTCCCATCGGCGATAATGGCGTAGTCCCATGGACGAAGCGCTGCCGGTTGTCCAAGATCCCCAATTGTCACGTCAAATGTCTGGTTGTTGATGGAATTCAGAATGTACCGGCACTGATAAGCCGGGGTGTACGGAGTACTGGGATATCTACAAGATAGTCCTTATGGTTAGACGTTAGACATCACTAAACACCATGCAAAAATGTGCAGTTATGAGAGTATAAGTTGTATACTGAAAAACTGCGTACAGATACAGACACATACCCTTCGTGCGAATTCAAAGATCCACTGTCTTTTGCGTCAATTATTTTATGACAATCCGCAATTTTGGGTACGCTTTTAGCTGTTGGCGCAACTGAAAAGCACGGTTTTAGTTAACTGGTCAATCATTTATCGCACATCTTTGTAATTCCATATTACGTCTCAAGTCGGTATAAAAGTACAAATTACACTTTCAAGTACAAATTCTGACCTTTTAGGAGACAGTGAACTTGGTCGCAGTTCCATATCACAAAAACAGTGGCCAAGAAAGCAGTAAGAAACATCATCGCGTGGGCTCGCTAATTTACGGCACGTTGGACAAAACCGGATGTGGATCACTCCGGAGCAGTCATAAAATTCCACAAAAATTAAGGGTAAAAACAAATTTATTAGTCCAGGCAAGGTATACGACGTTTTGGGTTCATATCAGCCGTAAGGTCATGCGCACATGACGAGGTAGTACTGCGCAGTGGCACTTCCGTTTAAGGTTTTCTGATTTACTGAATTCCACAGAAGACTTGCATGTACAAGCCATAAATGTATCAAATCTCGTACTCATGTGCATAACTTTCTGGAAAACGCGTTATAGCCGTAAAAAAAATCAGCATTTGCTGATTATGCAAAGGAAAAGTTGCTGACCTTTTGCAATGCTACAAGTACAAGCACATGTCGACTACTGGAAATATTGTACGTACATCATTGTCACTTAAATCGGACGCCGTCGGTTAAGTTTGCTGTTCAATTTTTCACTTCAGCAGTCAATGATAAAACAAACCTTATAATTAAGTTCTCAACTTTGTGACCTGCAACAATGCCGGGAATGTGCAAACTAATGTGCAAAAATCCGTGCAATCTGGACGTGGATCGGAACGGTGCCACACTAACAGCTAACGATAATATAAGTACATATATTTTTTCAAATTACGCAAAGGTTAGTTAACATAACAGAAGCCATAAAACTGAGGAAAAGCGTCATCCGAGGAATGGTAAAAGAGCTCAAAGATCAGCCTTAATTCCGCCATTCCTTCATCCATCCAGCGAAGCAGTCGTAAAAACTGGAAAATCACCATAAAATGAAAACGATTAAAATTGTCATCTAAGCAGTCGTGAAATCCTGAGCGTTTCCTCCAACATCAGTCAAACGGCAACGTATTAAACAACAAACTCAACAGTGCGAGCCTGAAAGGTGCATACAACAAAAAGAAAAAAAGATTCCCCAATAATAATATTTCTACTCTTCATCCATTTCCTCCGTTTCCGCCTCCTGTTCGTCCTCCGGCTCCTCCATGGTGTTGTCCTCCTCCGCTTCCACCTCCTCATTCTGCGGCAGACTGGTCGCGGAGACGCGCGCCGGTGACGCTTTGCGGCTCTTCTTCTTCTTACTCTTGCTCTTGGATTTGGACACCTTCACGTTCTTCTGGACGTTATCGAAGAGCTCCGGATGCTCTTTTCGCATATGCTCCTTAATATCCTTGAGGGAATTCTCGTATTCCGCGATGCAGTTATCCACCGGACACTGCAGGATGAATTCGGGATTGGGATGCGTCAGACGGTGTACCTGGGTGAAATGGCGCCGGAAATGGTACATATCATTGGCGGAGAAGTCGCGGTGAGCGCACTCGGGCAGGGGACAGCGGGTGCGCGGATTCGGTGTGCCGGTGATCCAAATTCGGGTCACCTCCACCGTGTCCTCTTCTTCGTCATTGTTGTTCTCCGTCTTCGCCACACGAGCCACTTTGGGCTCTTCCCTGTAAAATGAAAACGCTGATTCTGCTTTTTTCGGTTACATTTCAAATTAACTGTCGGACTTAACCTGATGCAAATAAAATACTATCATCAGTGCATCTTATGATTCTTATCTGATGCACATACTGTAAATCCAGTAAATGGGAACAAAGTCACCAAACTAACCCATTTTAAAATCTGAAAATATTAATAATAATTGTGTTCAAATAATTGCGTTCAAATAAAAGTAAAGCAAAGCCACAAATAAAAACAAAATCTGGGAAAACTTTAAAGCAAACAATACCTAGAGCAAACAAAAAAATACCGCATGCAAAGGCTGTGCATACATGACATGTTTTTTTGTTTTAATAAGAATACGTACTCGTAAGTCACGGCAAGTGGTAATAATAGTAACGGTTACACAGTACAGTAATAAGTAAACAACTACGACAGACATGTTTTTTGTTTTAATAAGAATACGTACTCGTAAGTCACGGCAAGTGGTAATAATAGTACTTACGCTTGTACTAAGTAAACAAATACGCAACTGACATGACATGTTTTTTTGTTTTAATAAGAATACGTACTCGTAAGTCACGGCAAGTGGTAATAATAGTACTTACGGTTAGCTTGTACAGTACAGTAATAAGTAAACAAATTTACGCAACTGATTTGGTAAGTACTGTACAGTGTGCAACCAGTAGAGCATAATAATATACTTCTAACTATCCATCCTAACGTTATAAAGAATCTCTAGCTGTTTTTTGCTTCGACGTCTAATTTTTAAAATAATTATGCGATACGTGCTTTGGCTACGGGCTCTGTCTCGTGTTAACTGGGAAAACCAAACGTTTTACTTACGCTGCAACGGGCAGCGGTGCCCGCCGTTTGCTCTTCGGCTTGGGGGAATGGGCAGCAGGTTTGTACCTGGATCCCAGACTGCCATTACTGTTACTCGCGGGGGCTCGTCGTCCACCCGATGTCTTCGCAACCACCGGACTGCTCTCAGCCACCGCGGCAGTCCCCACTCCTTTTTGGCCGATCAGTTGGTTAATAGTGTTCTGCTGGTCTTTTATGGTTATGGCCTGCTGGTACGTGACTTCCGACAGGCGTTTCACCGTTGCCAGATGTTTCTGGCATCCTTCGCATTCCTGGCGTCCGATATTCAGTTCTGTCATCGCTGTTGAGAGCCCCCACTTGATCACACAAATCAATACGAGTGCTCTTGTGTTCCGATTAAAGCAGATGAACACGCCTTGTAATTGAGGTCGCGCACCTGAAAGATGCTTTCTTGACGATGAAGGTCTGGATAAAGAAGTAAAAACACTTTTTTCAAGGATCAAACCAGCTACAGCAGAGCTTCTTTGGTGGAGGGACTTCGACTTTGTTCCGTGGAAAATTTTCGCGAAGTGAAACTGTGAGCTTGCACACTGCCCTGCGTTTTGTAGTGCAGGCTGGGGGCGACTCTCTCAGTGATTCATGAGTAGAACTCAGGCTCGTTAACTCAGACAGTTTGCCAGGAACAGGCCACCAGCGCATGCTTGAGTCTAGCTTTTACTTGGCTTCAATCTTGGATTCAAGCGTCAACGCGAGAATGTGGCAAGAAATTTTATGTACTTACTTTTTAACTTTCGTTTTCGGTTACTAATACAGTAATACTTGCTATTAATAATTATGTTCACTGATTTAATACTTATCATTATTATTATACAGCACGAACATTATTGTGCACATTAATGCCATCATGATTTTACTAATATGAGGGCAAGCAACAAAAACATTTTCCTCGTACTAGTAATTATGAAGTAAAATAAAAAGACAAATATCTGGTTTACCGGTAAATTATAACTGTGAAATTCATTTATGAGCTATTCATAAACAAATCTGACTGTTGCCAGCTACAGTACTTTATCGTTTATCGCAAAAACACAACCCACAATGAAGATATATACTGGTCTAGGGAAGAAAATTCTTGAGCAGTTTATAGTAGTTTTGGTTTATGGCTTACGCTATCCTCAAACATTTACAAAGAATAAACAGGGCATCAACAATCGGCTCTAAGTGAACATCGCATTTGCCGAACCGTCCCTGCAGTTGCAGACGAAAGGATAGCATCGGAAGCAGGGTTAATGTAAGCACGCTATGGCATCAGAAAGGTTGCCTGTCAGCCGTCAGGCAAATGCGCGCCCTCGACCAGGAAGAACGGTTCGAGTGACGACTGGCAGATTAAGTAATTATCGACCCAATCCCGAGTTTCAGCCCCAAGATATCCCAAGTTCGGCTCCAATTCTAACCTGTATTTTTTATACCCTGCACATTCTTATGGTAGTCTCAAGCTGTGAATTACTGTAACCGGCAACGTCTGTGCTGCTGCTTTACAGTACAGATAGGTACAGGGACTATAGAAACATACCAACTGCTTCATAAAAATCGACGACGCGTTAAGTATAGAGAACATTTAAAAATTTCAAGTGCCTATACATTTAAATATAAAGAAACATTGCACTTGTACAAGCAATCGACAAACCTATGCAGAAAAAGTGAGAAAATAAAAATCAATCCCAGTGGATTCCCAACTACTTATGCCGATGCGCCATTAGATTCTTTAACTTTTTCCTTCAGATCGGCAATTCGTCGTTTAATCGTTTCCATACGGATCAATCTGAATTACACCACATATTAAAGAACAATACGAGATTCACTTAAACAGCTTTAAAAAGCTTCAAAGTTCTTACTGATCCGTAGCTTGTTTGTGCATCTGCTCATAAGAGTTGCCGGAAATTCCAGCAGCCGACGTGACAGCGTTATGCAGTTCCTTTTGTCTTTGCCGATAGACCAGCTTTTCTTCCACCTGGAAGTACAGATCCATCATTATACGAGTGCTGATTCATGTACTTACACACACTTTTGCCGTTTTCAATGCTATTGCCAATTAAAATTATCTGCTTTGTAGAATAAAAAGCTAAATTCATGTTAGCCCACAAGTACTTACATGTAAGATTGTAATTGTAAGTATAACTACACTTCTTTGTGTGCACGCATGAACTTCAGCTTATGAAATGACACAACTACGAAAGACGAAGAATATTCATATTATTCATTCATACCGTCTTTAGAAGCTCTTCGATATCCCCAATTTTGAAATGCAATTCATCTAAATTATTTTGCAGCTCCATCTCAGCCGTAGTCAGCGCCGGATTCCAATCGGACAAATTGCTTTGGAGAGTGCTCAAACTAAAGCAGCAAGATTTTTCTCACGTTCAATCCATTACTGCCAAACAAACTTTTCCTAACCGAGAATCCGTATCTTCCATTTCAATCCTAACGTAATCACACTGGTTTGAGAATTCATGTAGTTTTTCCGTCAGCTCTGCAGCTTTTTGGTCCATTGCACTAATCAGATTCGCCAAATCACGTCTACGAGCTTTTAGACGTTCTTGCCTGCAAACAATCGCTCTAAGATTTTCGAAAAACAGCAAAGTACGACATGTATGACACCTTTGAAAATATTGAAGCAGATTATACCCTATGGTAAATAATTTGCATAAAATGCGCGTTTACGCGGCAAAACTCGCGGCTGTTCAGCTATTTTCTGCTTAACTCGATCCTATGTGTTAATAGACGGTAAATCCATGTCAGACGCGCGTGAGAGGACAGACGCGTGGTAACGCTTAATATTGCTCTGACTGCCTAATTTTAGACTTACAATTAGAGCTTTTCTTACTTTGTCACGTGTTCTGCATTAACAAATACAGCCCAAGCATGTAATATTCATAGACTACTACTTCTATTTACGAGTGCTTAATCTTGACACTGCAATGCAAAAATCGAAAATTCGCAAAAGAAACTAAAACTATATAATTACCGATTCCGGATAGCTTGCGCTGCTTTGGCTTGACGGTTCATATATTCTTCCGTATAAATCGATACGCCGTGGTCCAAAACTTGTTGCAAATCCTCTGCCGACAACTGATCAGTGTTTTTCATACTACAAACACATAAACGAATAATATAAATCGATACCAATGCATCAGGAATGAATTCGTATCGCATAGTTTCTTCTTAAGGAATAAGAAGGAAATACGATAACACTATTTGTTTAAGAAACAGGACTTTTATTACAAAACTTTCACATTACTTGAACACGGGCAAATTCCTTTCCCGTCTCAGCAAATTTTGGATCAGCTCCGAAAAAGGCACTTCAGAATTTGACTTGTTCTGAGTTTTTGATTTAAAGTCCGGAATTTTCAAGCCACTTTTTCCAGACGATGCATTAACACTAATCAGATACATACGTTACAGGATACCCTTGAGACAAAAAGTAACAAGCACAATCATAAGAATTTCCTACCATATCGGCTGAATACTGACTTGACCGTTCGATGCAACGGACAACAAGGAACATTCATTTGTGTCTGAAGTGATTAATTGAGCACCCAAGAAAAACAAATCATTCCTGCAAAAATCATATTGTTAAAGAAACTTGACAATCTCATTTTACTGGAAACTGGAGAAGGGGCTTACGATGTCTCAAACGGATCCGAACTCAGAATTGTTCGCACATCGGAAGAACGAAGTGATTCCAAATCCATGTTCTCTGAAAAGAATATCAATGTGTACAAGGTTCCGCTACTAGTGAACAGAAGTGGACCAATTCCTCACCTAACATTGACAGATCATCCAGCCATGGCACTGCAATGCCGAAGATCCTGTGTTCGGTTATGTAAGCATAACATCCAGGAATATCACGCCCTGCAAACACGGTACTTAATTTTTGACTACAGTACTTTCACTGGGCCAGTACTTTCACTGTACTTTCACTGTACTACAGTACTTTCACTGGGCCAAATGCCATTCATTCAACTTTACATTACACACCATAAATACTTACTGGAAAGCAGTCTGGCGTGATGACTCTTTGGTAAATTTCGGATATTTTCAGCGGACGTCACAAGCTCTAACTTTTCCAACGTAATAAATTCCCAAGAACTGGAAAGAATCGCACCGGAAGAAGTGTTGTCAGCCTACAAAACAATACAACAAGTGTGACAAATCTACACGAATATAAAAATGCTGAAACCAGGCAAACTACCAGCCTTACTTCAATATCATCCTTCTCCAGAAGTAACCCATGTACTAACTTATCACCATTGGATGCAATTATCAAAACGGGGACGGAGGCACTGATATAAGCAATGGAGGAGGCAAAATGAGAAACATCCCCACCAAACGGAACAATGTTATTGACTGGACCACGAACCGAACTGGCCACACACCTACGAAAAACAGCAAACCTCACAAAACTATCTGAACATTAATCTCCACACAACTGCCTAATTATCACCCACTTCCAAATAAATCTAAAATATTTTAAGACTCAGGAACATTTGCAAAGAAATACATAACTATCGAAATACATAAAGCAATTATTACAAAACAGCAAAATTTATTACACAACAAACGTTAGACTTGCCTGTCATAACCGGCAGTCATATCGAATGTATAGACGAGGCCATCCGAGCGCAATGCGAAAATCGTCACAGTGGCGCTTTCGTTTTCGGGAGATCGGTAGTAGGCTGACGCCGCGCTGACATCACCATTATGAGCAGTGCAAAATGCTGTGAAATTATGCAGACTGAGCTTATTGGAGCTCCCGTGCAGACTGACCACCAAATCCGGCTGCGAGGGAGATGCCAAGCGGAACAGACGCAGGTTATTGTCTGACGTCAGAACGAGAAAATGTGTCTCGCGCATGGAAAACCATTCGAACTGGAGAATGTGGATTTTCGGATTGTTCAGAAAGAAGCGCTCAGCAATGGCAATACAACTGCAGAAAATTATCCATACCCATCATAAATAAATCGGTATAATAAATCCGGCTAACGAATTACTCACTGCGAGACTTTTCGCCCGTGTTCAGGAATGTCGTCCGTTGCAGTGTTGATCACGCTCAAGCCTCGCGCTCCGACAACGGCCACACAGCTGCCGTACGGACTGCATACAATTTCTCTCGCTTCGAAAAGCGGAGCAATATCACATTCGATTTTCTGCAAAAGAAGGCAGTGCGAAAGGAAGAACAGTTCACTGATTCAAGTCAGCGTCTTACGATGAAGTTCTGCATTTCAGGATCTCGAAAATTCGCTGAGACCAAACACGAGTCTTTGTTGTTCCAATAGAAAATGCGATCATTTCGAACGGCAATCAAGCTGCGCAGCGAAGTTGTTTTCGAGCTACCGTATAAGTAATCCGATGAGTCCCAGGAACTCTGCAGAGCGGTCTGCCATGGCGCACTTTCCAAAAGACTCTTCGCGACATCACTCACATCCGTGGATCCGGGAACATTCTGACTGGAAGAGCGATCCAAAGAGTCTCTAAGGGACTGCATTTTCATATTGCGCAGGGGAAATTAAAGTCAACTGCGAAGTAATCCTGATACCATAGTTTCGAAATAAGTACTACTGGAGACTCAGTATCTGGAGACTGGAAATCTGGTGATGAGAGAAATAACAATAACATTATTACAAATTATTAGTTATAATTTCGCTGTCGCTTCGACATTTTTTTGACATCAAACGTCTGACCGCCTCCCGCATCGTAATGCCATGCAGGGCTTTTCTGTTGCTGGGAGTCTGTTGTCCTTAAGCTAAGTAAGTACTGTACTTAAACTGCGATTTCAGTTTCCCATCTCTCCGATTGTTAAGATATATTTTAGTATATTTAGTTATATATATCATCTAAAAATGTCTTGGTTTAGCTGGAGGACGAGGCCCAGTTCCTACTTTTGGCTAGCATGCAGCTGGTGTTCAATGCTGCTGTTGCACTGGGGTGCGGGATGTCCGGCAGCACCTGAAAGGCCACCAGCGATCGACTGGGACTATGAGTACCGAAAGGCAGGCTCTGACTGTGAGTATGAGGAGGGTCTTTACATTAAAAATGGTTGCTCAGCCTGCATCCTGCCAGCAATGTTAAGACTTAGTATATTATCACTTCGAAGCTAACCTTAGCTAAGCATGGTAAAGAAACTTTGATATAAACTTTATACGAGTAATACCCTTGCTATCATAACGTCCAATCGGATCATGTTACTGGATCATGCATGTAAGTCCTTTCTCACAGTGAACAACATGCTGGCGGAGGCGATGCTGAATAATCGCCAGGATGACCGGGTCATTTTGGCGCAGCTTGCCATGAGCGATGGCGTGACGGACAGCGTGGTGTACCGGCCGAGACTCGGTGAGGATGCAACGTTTATGTGCGACGTGCCTGCCGGTAGTGACTGGCGTGATGTGTCCTGGGTACATCAGGATCGCACCATCTTTGAAGCAGGACGGGCGCTGCCGTTGCCGGTGGAGGACGTCTCGGGACAGGCCTACAACTTCAGCCGCGTGAACGACACTCTGTTCCTTGTGGTCGTTAATGTCAGCATGCGCTCCGGGGGATCCATACAGTGCATCAGCATTCCGTCGGGCCCCGCCTACACGTCTCACCGTCGCGTTCTGTAACGGTTCATGCTCCTGCCGCTGATCACGCGTCACACTGACGTTTTTGCGTCACCGGGCGCCTACCGGATCGCCACTGAGGGTGAGCCCGTTTCGGTGTCGTGTACAATCCGCCTTCCCTTACCGGAAGACATCTACACAAATCTGCACAATCACGTGATTTGGCGCCATAACGGCCGCATTCTCAAAGGGCCCTGGGAGGCGCCGTACGGCAACTTAATGCCCGCAACGGGGCGCGCCCAAATAATACCGCACACGCCATCCCCCAACAGACCCGGAGAACTGACAAGCTCTGTGTTAGACTTTGAGGCCATTGGGTTAGCCGATGCTGGTTATTTTCAGTGCTTTTTTCGCCCCCACCGGGGCATTCATGAATGGATATTGCAAACGACGAAGCTTTTGGTTTCTCCTAAGAATGATACGCAGTAGCAATTTATATTTATTAAAAAATCACAGTATGCAGGGTTGCATGAATCTATGGTAAAGTAATTAAGCACACTGATTACCAGTGCGTATCATGCAAAGAAATGTCACATACATAAATGCTGCAAATGAACTTCACATTTTACTTATTGTTAGTCAAATTAATTGCTGCGGTAACGCCGGTAAGGGTTTTCAGTTTTAGACTGAGCTTTTTCTGACCCGAAACAGTCATCAATATAAAAAATTATCTGCAGCATTCATACTAATCCAGCATCGAAGGAGGCTTGCGAATTGACGACTTTGATCTGTTTCAGTCAATTGCAGATATCTTGCCTTGCAGACGTCTTTGATCATGACTTCATATTTGAAAGAGTCGCATCTTGCCATCAAGTAATTATTAAACCTGAGTAGAAATAACAATCCGACTTATACGACAGAAAAATCGACAGTTGTACTCGAATGCATTGTGTAGATAACTTTGTAGATAACTGAACATCGCACGTGGCGATGTTCAGTTTGGCGATAACGATTTTGGCTGTTTTTTAACGTTTAATTTCTATCATTTTAAGTAGTATTACGTATATGCACTTTTTGTTACATTGGTGGCCTTTGCCCAATAAATATACATCGCACGTGAACAGGTTACAAATGTGCGAAACCAAAGAAATCACATAATTTATGATCATGATAATTACATATGTAAGTAAAATACGCCCAGCGAATCTGCCGCAGTAGCGAAGGGATGCAGATAATATTTCCACCTTTTCCATAATGCATTATGGGGATTGGGGAGGTTATTGTTTGCACACCATGCGGCATGCACTTCGAACATGCACATAAAGTACTCCGACATCATACCTACTGCACATGGCTTTTGAACGCTTAATTCATGTTGTATTTAAAAGACAATGTTTAAGGAAAATGGCCCGGTACATAATGGTACCGGTACATAATGGCCCGGTCAAAAATGGGATACATACACTAAAACTTTCGCTTGCGCGCACTCCGAATCACTATTTTGTAATAATTTATGTATGTATCCCATTTTTGACGCTATGTACCGGGCCATTTCCCTTAAATGAAATTCTGGAAACAAGGTACTCGTATTATACGAATAGTATATGGCACGTACGGTACATAAGCGTACTGGTTAGCGCTATAACTCATATTTGCGGGTCAGCCGGCTTACCTTTAGTCCCTCTTCTGACGACAAAAAATTTTCAGCAGGCAAATTCTCGTGGCTTTTGAGATTTAACCAGGATTTTGAAGTGGAAATTTTATTGTTTTAAGTTTTTGCTGTCAAATTTTCACAGGATATCAAAATATGTATTTTGCAGCCGCGTTTTTTTTAACTGTATTAATTAGATTGGCATGTTTCCCATTCCCGATCTGGCGAACTGGTACGAAATTTTTGGTAAAATTTTAACGATCTGAATTAGTGACACTGTCAGTCGTCCTGGGCTCAAGCCACTTATTTACGTTAGACTTATGTTGTATGGACAATTAATCGAGAATTGCCCAGCAATCCGGTTCTATGCTCGCGGCATTAATGATTAAAAGAAGCTGTGGTGGAAAGACTACAGTAGTTCCACTTATTAGGTAGTCTTGTGACATACGCACAGCAATAGTTGCTACTCGAGCAGTCAGTAAGTAGATGAGTTGTAAGTTGTTAGTATGTAGTTGTTACGTTGTCCAGGCGCGTTGTTAAAATTTTGTATTTTGTATATTCAAACTGTCACCTTTTTTCTAGTGATTTCTGCACACCGCAAGAATTTGTCTAATAATTTCGAAGTTAAATTTGCTGATTATTTTCCAACGCGTCAAAATGAGCGTTAACCCAAACCCATTTGAACGTATGCCTATGTCCTCATCGACGCAATGGCAATGTGCTAAAATGATGGATCCGGAGCGTATTCTGACCGCTGTGGACTTCATAGCGGGTGTTTGTAGCATACAGACCATCGTCATTATAATTTCTGTATTATAGCTACTATTTTTTTGTTACCGTTACAGCCTTCGGAGAAGGGCTCGGCAAGCCTATAATCTGATCATGCGCGGTGCCCTTTTCACGCACATGTTTTCGGATAACAGTCGCCCCAATAAGAGATGACAGCCAGATAAAGAAGAAGCACCGGTGCCATCCCCAAGCACAACAATCAGTGTTAAAATGAAAGAAGAAGAGCCATCCGCCCAAAACACCGGATGTGCCCAGGAAATGCAGGTGATGGTGTAATCACTCTTATACTGTATATCGAACACCCGACTGCCAACCCCTGCGGCCTTGGTTGCCCTAATTAACAAGCTGAATGAACCATGAAGGTCAAACCTACGGAATCCGCATCTCGTTCCGAATTGCGGACAATAAATTATAGTCCACATTATCCTACATCGTATTATTATTATGCTGCAGTATGTCGCGAAAACAATGCTTTTTTGAGTATTACTATGTTAGGTTATAATATTTAGACTGAGCATCATTAAATGAAAGTTTTATCATATGTAGAATTATTCGGCATAATGTAGAATATGTAGAATTATTCGGCATGGAAAAAAATAAAAACAAAGGCAGTCCCCGGCATTGATGAGGGTTCTTTGTATGTGCGTCTGCCCGTAAGTGTTGCCAGAAATGCCAACAGACGAAGTGACAGCATTGAGCAGTTCTTTGCTTTTCTCGAAATATGGCTTTTCTTCCGCCTGGAAACACAGATCTATAATCTAACTTGTAAAAAAAATTATTTACTTTGTCAGCTGCACACATGAACATTAGCTTTATGAATTTTTAGCATGGAACTGCATCGCAACACGTTTCACAATAATCACCATAGTGGCGTAAAACAGCATAAACAGAACCTGAAATACAAAAAGTAAAGGAAAAACCTCATAAACATACACACACACACACACACTTGCGTTTATGCTTCACATCGTCTTGAGAAGTTTTTCGACACCGCCAAGTGTGAACTGCGATTCCTCAGGATTATTTTGCAGCTCCATTTCAGCCGTACGAGTAGTCGAGTAGTCAGCGCCGTATTCCAACCGGACAAATTGCTTCGGACTTAGGTCAAACTAAAGCAACAAGCTTTTGTCCCCATCAACACATCACGGGGCACTGGTCATTAATTAAAATTATTAAGTAAAATTCTGTATAATTATACTTACAATTTCTGTAACCGTTAAATACAACCCAAACCGTATTCGAAGAAAGTGACCCGCTTTTCTGGAGCTGTCATTTAAAGAGACTAAACTAAACTCATTGAATAAACTAAACTAAACTAAATCGATATAGGGTGGTCCAAAATCTATTGCAAATTCTCTGCCGACAACTGATCATTGGTTTTCATACAATAAAATATTGTCCTGCCGATGTTCCGGTTTGTTCGCATGATCAGTTAAACACAAGAACTCTCGCTTTAGCGCGGAAAAGGATAGCGGAAAAGTTTCTGCTCTAAACGGGAACAGGAGAAAGAATGAGAGCGGACCTTTTTGTGGCTTTGTCAGGCGTGAGCAGCAGCGGCTAAGCCGCAAGCAAGCATGCTGCCTCGTAACCAGTTGGAGAATAAGGACCGCAAAAATGGGGATACATTTGCAAAAATTACACATCGTATTAATTTATGGTAACAACCGGTTTTTGGCTCCCAGATAATACCAGTGATGAAATCATGTTCTCAGGATAAAGATATATTCTGGAGCACAATCATTACAGTGCGGTATTATACAATAAGCATCGCTGGTATTTCAAAAGCATGCGATCAAGCTCAAGATTTATTTGGTCCGAAAATGTTGCGATAAACATGATCCTTCATCTTAGACTGTGTTTCCTGTCGACGCCAAACAATCATCAATGCCACAAAAATAATCACATCCACAGCAGTGCCGACAGCTAAATACAGCAGCGAAATTCGCATATCCGGCGGAGGTGGCTTCCGTTTGACGACTTTGATCTGGACTTCACCTTTTAGAGAATTATCCTGCCAGCAACTAAAAAGCAGTAAAATAGAAGTAAGTAGAATCATTATACACTAGAAATGTAGAAGTACAATATAGCAGTCCCAATATATTGTATACTCACCTATATAATTGAGCATCGTAAGTGGAAAGGTTACGAATGTGCAAAACCAAAGTAGTCACGTAAGTAATACGCCCAGCAGAATCTGCCGCAACAGTGAAGGGATTCAAATCATAAGTCCCATTCTTCCACAATACAAGATGGTCAAGAGTTGCTCCAGGACAGCCAAGTTTAATACCAGTTCCTGCATACTCCGACAGCACATGCCTTTTGAACGCTTTATGCTGTGTATAACAAATAATATCTTACACAACTGCTCAAAACAAACAGTTACATGTAATAAATTATAATTTTCGAAATGGCTATGCGCCCCGACAAACCGGACGCATAGAATTTGGCTTTGCGCCCCGAATGTGTTTTTCCGGCAATTGATTGTCTTTACTTAATGTTTTTACTCGATTAACCCTTAAGGTTGCACGAGAGCAGAAGTTTAGATAGAACTGGGCGCATAGCTAAATTCTATGCGCCCGCTTTGTCGGGGCGCATAGCAGTCACCATAATTTTACACGCTATGCGAGTACTTACTCGATAATACGAGTACGAGATTAACGCAAAAACTCACTTTCAGTCTCTTTTTTTGTCGACGAAAAATTTTCAGCAGATTTATTCCTCGCAGTTTTAGTAATTTTCTAAACCAGGATTTTGATGTGGTATTTTTACTGCTCCCGGTTTTTGTCGCCAGATTTTCACATGATAGTTGGCAGGTTTTTGTCTCGATAACGTTTCTCGCTAGCAAATCAGGCGGAAAGCGCTTAGTTCCGAAATGCTGCGAAAACTCCTTCCATCGCCTTAGATACAGAGCGTTCTGACAACTGATTCCTTTGAACCAGCCGGGATTCTCTCGTTCCATTCTTTTCTGACAGGCCTCCAAACCGGGATAACCCAGGCAAATATCATCAGACAGATCCAGGTCACTGTATGATTCGTAGTCGGGATAGAGAAAGGTCATGTAGTCTTTGATCTGCGATTCCAGCTTGGTGCGTTCGTGTGGAGATAGCCGGTTCTCTGGCAGCATCCTCTTCAGTGATTTGGATATGCGGACGCGGCATTCGAGGGCGCGCTCCTGTTCACCGGGAAGGTCACCACAGGAGTTGCATTCACTCCATGGTTTCTGCAGCAGACTGATGCTCAGGAGATCGATGCGGAAATCCGCAAGCATTATCTGCATTTTCAGGCCCTCTACTTTTTGCAGAAACAGCGACTGATTGACCGGAAATCGGTGGGGATTGTGACGTAAAATTAACTGAGGATCGTGTTCAAACCCATTCAGATCGCCGGTCTCGCTGTGACGGCAATAGTACATCTTCAGGTCGGATTCTGGTTCACACATCACAATTAAGATTACCACAGATGCAAACTTCAAAAGTTCAGCAAATGAAATCAACTGCACTATTAAACACTGAATTTACTGTCACATGCACCTGTGCGTGTGCCCTAATAATATAATGGAAATTTTTTTACAGTTTCCGTACCTAAGCATTTTTAATTAAATTTTATCTTAATTTATCAATAATTCGCCAATAGAAGCAAGTTGAAGCAACTAAAGTCTAAAAGTAATGATACGTGATAACAACGATACACTGATAACTGCATTTACACAAAAATTACAATTAATATATATGTACTAATTTTATATTGGTATTTACTGACCGTTGAATTTTCGAATCACAAGTGTATTCTCGGTATTTACGTAGACTCTGTTGAATTCGTCAAACGTGAATGGATCTGCGGTGACTTCTGTTTCCACAGGCGCATGTTTGACGACGCGCCCGTCCACCAATAACCCAGCATGCTCCAGAGAATACCATTTGACAGGATCCTTCGGATGCCGGCAGAATTTGCAGGGGAACTCTACTGCATCGCCCTCTTCGACGTCTGCTCGAATCCGCATTTGTTTGCCCCGACGCATATTATCATCTTGCTGCCGACAGATTTCTTCAAACACCTCGAAGTGCCATACCGAAGGGATTATCGTCATCAGAATAGCAACACATATATTCGCTGAATGTGTACCAAACGAAGAACTAGGCATAATGATTACGTACTGATATGCCCGTTTTTCGCAGCGCATGTGCTGTGAAACATTAAGTAATTTATTGCTACATACATAAAAAGCTTGTTTTTATAAAATACTGAAAAATGAACGCATGAAATTATGGCCTTAATAGACAAGTACAGTACAAAAACCAAGGTCACCATCACGCTGACAGTGAGTGTCTTTGCTGCAGATTCGAACTATGCAGATCTTGCTGAACCTAATAGGAAAGACAATTGATTAACTATGGAAGCACGTAACTTAATGTTGAGAATTTGTCTACTATGGTTGTTTGCAGGTGAATAAGCAAATATCCAAAATTATAAATACAAAATCGTTTTCAAACCTAAACATTAAAAACTACTGACTGTCACTGTGACTTAACATAATGCAAAATCAAGCACAAGCAGCGGTTTCCCTGTTAAGATCTTGTGGACGGGCGAGCTTTGAAATTTTATGAAAACTGAAAATTATATGAATTTTTGCAATTCAGGAGTCCAGGTGAGGTCGTGCATGCGTCTGTTTGAAGAAGTTATCAGCTGTTGTTGATTGTGGGGTTACGGCTTTCTGTTGAAATTGATTTGTAAAGGGAATACGGACAGGGAGACGTCTGACTATTTCGTTCCATCCATTGTGGCATTACAAGAATTCACGTATTGGATATTGCGTTCGTTTGTGTGTTGGACAACTATACCTTCCTTGATTCAAGTCGCATAGAGCGTGCATCTAGATTTGCGCAGCTACTAGCCTGGTTGAATTTTTCACAGGACGGTATTCTTAAAAATCCATAATGGCTTCGAAACTTGTATCCAGACTGACGAGCAAGGAAATGAGAGATTATTTTATGAGGTACGTACGCAAAATAAGTATTACTTTACTCTAACCGTTCTGCACGTCACTTTGCCGTGTGCTTACATTTGCACAGCATTGTTTTCAAGTTTTTTGGCCCATTTTTAACAGCGTGCACCAGTAAATCAGGTATACATATTTCTTACAATCTTCTGTTATATTTTGCAGCACGGTAAGGATGCGAAAGAGAACTTGGTTTCGAAAAAGTGGAACCCCTTTCGAGCCACGGTTTTGCTGCAGGCTAGATATACCATTATAACACTGCATACAGCATGCATGAGTACTAGTTACTACGTCCTGTCTCCCTTGCTCATTACTATATTTCTCTGGATTTTTAGCATTTCTGGGGTCCCGTCGCCAACTGGGGTTTGCCACTGGCTGCAATTGCTGATTTAAAAAAGAATCCGGAGATCATCAGTGGGAAAATGACCACAGGTTGGCATTGTTGCTTGGTATTGCATATGAGCGCCGTCCGTGTGTGCTTTGTTTTTATTAGGAGATTGCGCAACGTATGCATGGTTTACTGTATACTTTATATTCGTGATAAGAAATATTTTATGCCTTTTCTCTTTCGCAGCGATGTGTCTTTATTCCATGCTGTTTATGCGTTTTGCCTGGATGGTACGACCTCGTAATCTCTTACTGTTCGCCTGCCATGCCGCCAACGAGACTGCACAGTTGACGCAAATGACGCGATATATCTCATACCAGTGAGTTTTTGATAAATAATTTATATGATTTGTTACTGGTAGATAAATGTTCCTTTTGTAATTTGATGTCGAAAAATTTTCAAGCGATACTAAGTGTACACTGTACAGATTTTGTAAGACCACTGTAAATTAGCCTTTTCGGGGTGTTCTGCATGCGGTGGAATGATTACCTTTTGCAGTGCCAGTAAACCGAAGCCATAATTTTTGCAGTGCTTCGAATCCCAAGCCAATTCCGGCTATATTGCTTGTGGAGGAACGGAAGTGATAGTGAATCTTAGCGAGCTTTATACCATTCGCATTTCTGGTGTGAAGTGTAATCTAGAGCCATCGGCATTATTGGCAAAAAGGTGATGGAAATTTTCGCGATATCTGGTGTATGCACTTGGGATTTGGGATACTTATGATGTTATACATGTATCGCGCGCTTCACAGGGCCGAAGTTTTGTTGTATTTTATCTTGTTTAGATTGCAGCTGCGTTGAATTGGGTTTATAGAAGAATAAAATGTAGACTTGTGTCGTACTTGTGCAGCTGAATTTTCTGATCTTAAAGAAGATCTCCATGAGGACCTTGTTTTTTTTCAGTTTTGAATAATCAAACATCGAGTCGGCAAATTTTATTCGAATGCCTCTAAAAAATTTATAACACCATAAAACGACATTAAATTCTGCACAACAAAAAAACCTGCAACATAATAAGCACCAAGACACAAGCAACAAATCACCGAGGAAGAGTATCGCCAATGAAAGCAAAAGGTTATGTTGTATTCTCACTGAGCTGACGTTTTCTGGATGGTTTTCTAAATGTCTGGCTAAAATCTTCGATAACGGAATCGTCATCTTCGTCGCTGTCCCTCGACTGATTTGAGTCATCGGAATCCGCAATCAACCCACGATACTACAAAACATGTTCAGTATCAGTCTTAAGTTCACCGCAAAACTGAAAATCAAATCTGAAAAAGAAAAATCAATTAATTAACTTACTGTTTCCGCTTCCGGTAATTCGGTTAGTATCACCTCTCCATACGACCGATATAACGGCGTCACAAATCGTTTCGACCTATTGCGCAGAACAATAAAAATTTTTTTCTGGTGCATGCAACTCCACAACACGAGTTAGAATTACTAACTAAACAATATTACACCTTTTAAGGACGTATGGCTCGAAAGGGAAAGATGTATTGAGCGGATTATCATCTCCCGGCGCTGAGATTGCATCTTTCGCAGCAGTGAAAATCATCATTCGATTATTACGTTCGATCACAGTATAACAAAACAAAACTCCACGATTTCTGAAACGATAGATCTCCCATACAATCCAGAAGTGCTTATTGTCAGCATTTTCAACTCAAACTACCTGGTCACACTTGCAAAGAGATCTCGAATCACCCGCTTACAATACCGCAGCGGATTCAGATTCGAAGAAATTATCCGACTGAAGTTCAGGGCCTTAAACCAGGCTATTCCTTTGGACTGCGCAAAAATTTCTTCGTGTCGGAAAGTAACGAGGTAGAATATATTTTCACATATAACGTAGAACAATCGATGGACTTGTTCCATATCAGGGACGTGAGGGAGGCGGTCATAATCCGTTATATATTTGTGGATCCACTGAACCATTTCGTCAACAAACTTTATAGAATTTCTGCCAGAAAGGAAACCAATTAGATTATGATATAAAAATTAACAATCTACGCATAAGCAAACTCAAGTTTACTTTTAGTAAATTATAAGCTACCGGAAAGACAGCTTATTGCAGACATTTTGTGGGTAATTTGCTAAAAAATTTGTAAGTCAGGGAATACATGCGTAAGTATTTAAGGGAGATACTTAAGTAATCAAAGAAGAGGCTAGTCGAGTGATTCAAGCATCACAACGTCGAAACAGAAACACTCGGATCATGCGTGATAGAAGGCACAAAAGTTTGTAGGTAAGGCATAATTCTAAATGCACACTCTCAGTCTCTCACCTTAGAGGCACAAATTTTGATCTGGCCAAGAAACTGCACATGTAGGATACAGCAAACTGGCGCAGAACCGTAGGTTTGTTGGTGGCTAAAATATTTTGTCGCAATCGCTGATACAGTGCCTCAGCGATTTGTTCTCGCAGACTGGCCATGTAAAACCAAATGTACTGCACATGAGTTAAGCCTTGTGACATCATAATAATGTCGTCAAAAGCCGGTAAGGTATCGCGGTAAAAGTGCTCCAGATCTGAAGGTATCACGCAGCGCTTTGCTGACAGTTGCTCAATATACTCCAAAACCAAAGTCAGAACGAGATCCAGACGTTCAGCAGTGGGATGTTCGATTATCCAGTTAACAGTAGAAACTTCATCCTTAACAGGAATGATCAACAAGCAGTCAGAAAACGATACTTGTGTAAAGCTTTAAAAATTGAATAGATGTTTAATTTTTTTCGCGTTACCTCCTCGTTGTCCTCATCATCGTCCACTTCAAGATCATTTAATTCATTTGGAGAAGCATCGGCCTGATAAAGAAAGCATGCACTATAGAGTGAAGTTAATAATGTATCGATAGTACCAACTGAAACAAATTTGTCTTAAACTCTAATTTCTTAAACTACTGTGAAAATCGTAAAATAAATCCAGATGGTGCGATCACTTTAACTTACATCTAATTTTGCAAGATATTTCAAGAATATGGTCAAGATATCGCTCCGATTGGCTGGATACTTGTCCAGCAAAGATAAAACATTTCGTGCATACAAAAAATGTTCTTCAACGCCTCGCAGACGGAAGGGAAACCCATCCGCTATACAGTGCATCAGTTTTGGTCGGCACCTAAAAATGTAACACAAATGCTCATACTTTATTATGAGGTTTCCTTCATCAAAGTGAATTTACAGTTAATGTGAGGATAATAAGTTTTGAGATGCTTACAATGGAATCAACTGAACGGCTTTGCCGATGGCAATATGGACTCGGTTATGATATATCCTAATTTTTTCATCCACTGTGCCCAGTTTTTCTCGATTCAGATCTAAGGTGCAATCAGGTGGGAGAGATCGAAAGCGCTTGACCCAATTCCGTAAGCATCCATCAACAAAAAAAGGCTGCGCCGTCAGCAAACCGGTAATAAACAAGACGAATTCCTCGAACGTTTCTCCGGATAAAACGAAAAAATTGCAAGCCTACAATGAAAATCACGAATGCTACACAGTAGAAATCCACCAGTAAAAGAAGTTAAACGGAAAAAAACCTTATTCAATGCAACAACATCAACAATAAACAGTGGTACTGAGTAGCATTCTAGAGTTCTTAACGGTTCATATCAGATTTCTGGACTTCTTGAAACAATTTACTTGTAGTTTTACATACCAGCAAAGCGTTTACAAACGCCAGATGTTCTTGTTTCAGACAAGGACACAGCCGCTGCAGTTTCACCAGGATTTCCGATAGCTGAGCATCCTACAAAAAAGCCGAGCAGCGATCACGATTTGTTTTACAATCCATGAACAGCAATCTCAAAAACGAGCCAGGTAATTCAACATTTTCGAAATCACGAAATTCTCAAATTTTACATAGTAAATATTAATAACATGCAATAACAATGGACTCACCTCGTCGGATGATACTCCATGTTCGGCAATTGATCGAAAATACTGCAGTAGATGCTGAAATTCTTGTTTTTTATCCTACGAAAGAACAATTTTTCATTACTCTTGTGCTTTTCTAACTGCTCATCCAACTGCACCACTGAGTCCATTGGTTACTGATAACTTGGTAAACAGTAAGAATCGTAACTTCGTAAGATTAACTTTATCATCAAGCCAGATGATCCAGAATCCATAAAATTCAGCAGGCTTAAAACAGCAGTAACAATGCACTGTTGATTCCAAAAAAGCATTTAAATGAACAACCGTATCCACTTATTCCCAAGCAGACTCCTCTCGAAACTTATGCTGCATGCACGCAGCACCACAGAAGAATCAACGTACCGAACGATGACTGCGAAGAACTTCTTCCAGAAAGTTGGGATCCCACATCTGCACGGACAGCAGAGTGGTCAACGCGCTCGGATCGCTTGATTTGAGCTCCATTTATAATGCTATGCGCTTATTAACCTTGTTTCATAATCCATATGGCGAATGGCGATATTTATCATTTGTGATATGGCCCCTGTTCCAAAAAAGCAGAAGTTCGCGGTGTTTGGAGAAAAAAACTTCGTCTTCGGCGATCGGGCTTTGGCAGTTTGGCTGCTGTTTCGCAATCACCGTGCGCGTGGCGTGCTTCCGGTGCATTCGGGCTTATCCTTGTTGTAGACAGCCCATTAACAGCTAGCAGCAACACGCCCTAAGACCACTACCACTGGTGCTGCCTTAACAAGGAGGACCGCCCTCTATTCCTATACTACAGTCCTAACAGCAAGTAACGATGGATGCGAATAAAGTTCTCAAGTATAAAAGTTAGACTTCAAAAATCCGGAGACCTCGAGTTCGTTTTCATCATTCAATAGTCCAAGATTTATGCTCTTGACGCACTTATTTCTGCAAGAACCGCCAAACGGAATTCTTTAGACTAATTTCTGGCGAAATCAGCTATTGGTGATTTGTCGCTTTTCGTCATATAATGCTGAGATCCACCATTTCAGGTTCGCCGCTCCTGCTGAGATCCACCATTTCAGGTTCGTCGCTCCTGAAAATTTGCTTTTTAGTAGACAATTTGGACAAAGTGCGGCAGTAGCAATACAAATGGCTAAAGCCGTCTCGTAGACGCACGACGGAACGGCTATCGCTACAGCCATTGTTATTGCTACTGCCGCATTTTGCCCAAATTGTCTAGTAATTCGGTAAATACTCTGCGTACATCAGTGCTTCTTTTACCGTTGTCGATCTGAAACTTGATAACAGTTATCAGAAATATATTCTAGTTCCAACATCAAAATAGCCGCCAGTCACGTGATTCGAAACTAAAAATACGGCTAACCTTTTAGATCTTATGTGATCGAGGATTGGTCTTACGACCACCGGACTGCAGATTAAGAAATACCCGCCTTATGATATGGACTCCAGGGCCACGTTTTTTATAAAAGCTTTAGAACGGCTCGACGAAGCTGGAAATAAGGGAATCGAAGAACTGCAAGATGTGGCCGTTACCATTCAGTCTGAAATTCAGAACGAAAACTTCAGCTTGAGTCTCTTCTCGCCATAAAAACGGAATTCCTGAAACCTCACCATATGACACAGTGCGCTTACAAAGATTTCTTATAACAAGCTTAAGCGGATGTGTCGCGCTTAAAAGCACTGGAGACGGTAACTGTTTGTACAATTCAATTGCTGTTTCGGTAAATGGACAGGAATCGTTATCGAGCGAGTATCGAGTACGTGCAGGGCTGCTGATGATACTAGAACCAGAGCGCATGACTTTTTAGTCCGGAGCAGCAGGTAATCGACACTTGTGAGGTCCACCCTTGGCGGTACCGGTCTTTATTGGCGCAGTTTGCCGAAACCTGCCCGCACCGGTATCACGTTGCAACTGTTTTTTTAAACAAAGAAACATTTGACGAAATTCCGCGACGCGGCCCAGGTAGTGAAAATGGAATCAGCGTAATATTACCCACAGAAATGGAACTTTGGATTCAGAACGATGCCGAAAACATCGTGAAACCAAATCGATGGGCATGCCAGAACTGTATCATTGCTGTCGCAACGTCGTTGCAGGTGGAGATAGTTATTTTACGGCCAAAGGTATGCTATGTTTTCTAATAACGTTTGGTCTTAAGACCAGCTTACCAAATGCACGGTTGCAGGGATACTCCTCTTTCCTGGTGCGACCGAATTCACCCTGTGGAAGAAGAATTTATATATTATGGGAGACAAATCACTTTGCTCCAGTGCAGCTTGATGCAAGAGCCAAACAATACCTGTCCGCGGTAATCGCTGAAGCTATGCATCGAAAGCGCGACAAAAATTCCGGCGGATTATCATTGTTTTGCCTTTCTTGCATTTTGTACCCAAAAAAGACCGACTGTAGCAAACAAATCTTGACAGATTCTGATTTTTACGATTTTCCGAAGTCCGATCACACCAGAAAAGCAAATGAAAAACGCAAGGAAGGAAGTCAAACCAATAAAACTTGCCCCGTGGAATCCAATAGCTCACGGTCCGCATCATTAGTGCCTCAACTGAAAAGCGCAAAACGCATCTCCAGCAGCCTGACCTGCCCCGAGAGCAGTAAAGTGCGCCACCGACGATGAAAGACATCTGTCCCACTCAGGAACTCGGCTTAAATTTTCTGAATCAGGTCAGAATGGGGACCATGTTACGGAAACATTTCTGAATTTCGACTTACCGGACGATTTAGATCTTTTCCAAGAACAGTCGAATGCTGAAGTTTCTACAGGTAATATAATGGTTAATCGTTTTAACGATATGGCTGCATGGAGCACGCTGGCCAATGAGAATATGTTTTTGCAGGAAAAGCCACGGTCAAGTCTGTCGAAATCGAACGTAAGCATTTGTCTTGCAACATCTTACGTGTTATACTGCAAAAATTCTTAAATGCCTTTACGTACTTAGGGGATCGCGTTCGCGCCGTATTATTGGAAATATACGGAAGCGAAATCGAAAATCCTGAGTTTTGCACCAAAGGAATTTTCAGCAATCGCACTGTGGAAGTTATGGAAAATTTAACACGATCAGTACAAAATAATGAGGTAGTTTTCACAATTGTTGGAAGTTGATGTGGTCTTACGACCAGTTATCTTCGTTTAGGATTTGGACGCCACTCAAAAAAAGCTTATCCGCGAACGAATGCGATTTTTTTATGAAGGCGGTTGCAGAACAGGCGGCTTTAGGCTCAGTTTGGCGGACGGAAAATTATTTTACAAGGATAAACTGGCCAAGAAAAAGCATATCCTCAAATTTGTAGACGTTTTTGAATTTGCGTGGAATATTCATCTTTCGCCTTCACAAGCATGCGTTGCGCGAAGCGCGGAAAGCCTGGCAAAAGAGTTGTCGCGCTCTGTGTTCATTAAGGATGGACATCGGTTGATGGAGAGTATTAAATCCGTTTGTGCTGGTTGTCAAATCACGAGAGCAACAAAGCAGCTTATGCCTTATGTGCCAAAAATCATAAGGACCTTCGAATTGATGGAGCGAATTCAAATCGATCTCGTTGATATGGCACCCGATACGGAAATGCAAATGCGAACAAATCTCGGCCAGTTTCGCTACGTTCTTTCCATAACAGAATGTTTCAGCCGATTTTGTTTTTTGTTTCCTATTAGAAACAAGACAGCCGAAGAAATTCATGCACAGTTGGTAACCTTTTTTGTGGATGAAGGTTGTCCAAAAATTCTACAGAGTGACAACGGAAAAGAGTTCGTTAATAAGCTGGTAAAAGACCTTTTGGAAAATGCAAGCGTTGGGTTTGTGCATGGTAGGCCATACCATCCACAGTCACAGGTAACTGTCTTTTTCAAATTTCTAGATTTTAAAAAAATCTTCATTTTAATGTTACAGGGACAAGTGGAACGTCTAAATCAAAAGCTGAAGCGAGCTCTTGCATTTATGATGGCTAATTTAGACCCTGTAACGCAAGGTTTATTATGGCCGTATTTTTTGCCATCCGTCCAGCACTTATTGAATACAACACTACATAATTCCACAAACATGACGCCGTTTGAAGTCTACAAAGGGTACGCTTCTGCGCTAAGCCTTGAAAGAATAGGTAAGATTTCCCAACCTGGTCTCAAGACCTACCAAACACTTTCAGTTGTAGAATTGGATCCGGTGCCATGGAAAGCGGAGCACGTCAGTATGCTGAAACGACTTATGCCTGAGCCACCAGATGATGAGTTTGCTGATGTTTATGCAACGGAACAGTATGAAAACGACATTGATGAAAAGGCTGAAGAAAACCTTCGACACCTAGATGATCTGCCAGAACCGCTGCGGTCGCAGGCTTTACACGCGCTGGAACAGCTGCATTACCGACGTGCTTGCATGCAGACATCTGTCATCGAAAATGTAGAGCGGAGACTTTTTAAAAACATCTACGGACCAGCAGTGAAGGCTAGGCAGATACGAATCGAAGTTGGCGATGTGTATATTTGGCGTCCGCATCAAAAAAGACGGAAATTATCCGGTCGTGTAAAGGTGAAGATTGTGCGAATTATGGAACAAGAGAAAACGCTCTCCTCAAGATACCAGGTGGAATATTTCAAGAACGGTGACCGGGAACCTCCCATAAAGACCAAAGAAAATTCTTCGTTTTTCACAGTGCTTTTGGTTAACACAAACGAATTATCAATTTATCGGCGCCGTATTGCTACCCAAAATGGAGTCCATGAAGAGCGCATGCGAGAAGAAAGCACTATTGGCTGTTTATCAGAAATTCACAAGGACGCAAATGCGGTGGGAAGAGGCGTTCACGAATTTGCTGACACAATGCGTGCTTATTTGAAAGAAACGAGTTGTTTGGCAAAACGCGTGCAGCCTGGATTACTGGATGAAGCAGACGCAGAGAAGTTTTTTCATTTGTTGGATCAAGGTGCAGCAGCTTTCATAACGGAGACGGAGCGCGGAAAAGCTTCCAAAGATCTGGAAGACGTCTTAGCTGGGATAAACGAGTTGCGAGATTCAACAGGGTTTTTGTACTGGATGAGCGGTTTATTGAAATGGGAAGCAACGACGTCCAAATCGCCTTTTAAAATAAGAAATATCCTGGCCGGGCAAGATCTTTACCACAGAGAATCTTGCATGCGATGTATGGAAACTCAACCTGATTGTGGGCATTTGTGCTGTACAGATGCTCTGAATGAACTTTGTGCAAAACGAGGTATGAGTTAATCTACTAATATGCAATTTGTTATGGTTCTAAATGTACTAGAAACTCTTGATTGTAAACTAATGACTGTAGCGACAGCAACTCTTGTTGCTTTATTTTAGCAATAAGAACAGCATCTGAGTGCAGGAAGCAAAAAATTCTTTAAGCTGAAGCATTTTACCATAAAAAGTCGGCACGAAAATTCAAAAGCTAACATAAAACAGTCATTTGGTCTCAAGACCAGGTCTCGTCGCTAAAGAAACAAAAGTGTCGGTACCATTTCGACGAAACATCAATAAACTGAAGACCCGTTCACAATAAATCTGTAAAATAATTTCCGTTAAGCTTTAAAGTAGACGTTGCTGGATCCGCAGATTCCACTGCATCGGCTGGCGCATAATAGATGTCAGCCGGATCGATTTGAGCAGGTCCAACTTTTGAGTATACAAGAACCCCTGGCTGAAGAACACCGTAATCGCTGGTGTCAAACTTTCCAGTAGAAGAGTTCGCTTTTCCGCCATAATACACGTTCAGCATTTTCGAAATCATCAGGTTCTTGCAGGGGGTTTTCACAACGTTGTGCAGCTGTAAAAAGCGTAATAATGTTAGCCTTGGTCTTAAGACCTGGCGCACAAAATCTTGAACTTGGACAATAATAAAGAAGTGCGAAATATGAACTTGGTCTTAAGACCACACATGCAACGGCTTACTCGAGCTCGTTCTAGCTTTAACAAACAAGTTTCCCGCTGGTATTCTGAATTTTCAAGTCGAGAATTCTGCAAAAAGAACAGGTAAAATATTTGAAATCTAGCGCCACACGCTCAAATTTCTACCTGGCAATCAATTTGTTCGGCTGCAAGTTGTGAAAGCGCGTGATCCAGCTTTTCCTTTAGTGCCGCGGCTTCTGCACGTGCGCTAGCCAAATCCTGCAAAAACGGAAAAACCCGTTAACTTAAACCTGCGTTAACCTCTTTTCAAATGACAGACGTCGCTTGAATTGGCTGGTGCCATATCCGAAGGGACCGGAGGTTGCGGAGATCCTTTCAGTCTTTTATGAGGATTATGTTTTTTGCTGGAAGCCGACTGCGTTTCATCTGGGTCTTTAGCATCGTCCGCATCTTCTTCTGCAGGAATCTCAGCTGCCTCTTTTACTGCAAAATCGGCGTTTAAAAACAGCAAAAAAATCAAGAAAAAATTTTACTACCGTATTTCTCAATTTTGTTCCAGTCTCCTTCTGCAATAATTTCTTCAAACGCCCGCTCAATCATTTCACTGGTCTTCAAGCCCAGTTTTATTCTTCGGAAAATAATAGGTCCGATTTCTTTTTTCTCGCTTTCCATGCCTTTGCTCGACTTTTTTTCTTTAGGAATGTGCTTTATCTCTCCGGCATCGGCTTTTACCATGAATCGGTTAAGAACCGCAAATGTCTTCACTGGGAGATGTGCGCATTGGTAGATGAATTTGTACGAACATTGTTGCAGCGTCTTTAACTGAAAAGGGACCAGGTTGCGTTAGCTTTGAATCTCTAACCTAAGGTCTGGTCTCAAGGCCAAATCATTCGCATAGCAAGAAGTTGCCGAAACAATCTTAGCAAAGTCGGCTTGGTCTTGAGACCAGTGCTCAAAAGTATTACTCACTGGAATTCCAGTAACTTTGCTGATCATCTTGTTATCGGACTGCACTTGCTTGCTGGTCTTCTGCAGGTCACCTGCTTCTTGCTGGATGTTTTGTGCGTTGTAGCAAATCTTTCGGAACAACCGAAGGGTGTCAAATACGGTTTCCTCGCGGTGGACGCTTGTTTCCGTATTACGTGCACGCGATAAGAACAAGCACCGATTGTCGTCCAGGTCCACGTAGATGGCAACCTATAATCAAATTTGTTCATTTGAGCAAATCAAGTGAAAAGAATCTACCTTAACAAGAGAATCCATTGTCCATCTGCTTTCGCAGTCTTTCACAAGAGCTAATATGCTCTCCAAACGATGCTGACCTAAACACACCACTTCACGTCACCATTTCACCATATTAATAAACTTAGTTAACAAAACAAACCGTCTAGTATTTCCACGACCAAAATTCTGCTTTCTGCTTCTTGGATCAGAACATCTCGTGTTTTGCCATGACTTTGGACCACACCAGTGAGAGAAATCTGAGCAGATTTTGGGTCGGAATTTTCAGGCTCTCAATAACGACATCTCGGTAATCTTCGTACATTATCCGTGACTGATGCTGAGCGGAAGGAGCACGCAGGTTTCTGATTGGTAATGACACTTCGCCTGCTCAACAAACTCAACTTAACAAACACTAAACACGGCACATATGAAGCAGAGATCTTTGTAATTACACAGAAACGCGTCCTCCACTTCCTTCTTGTAGGGCGATACTTCCATTTGAGAGGCACTAGCGGACGCCACGCGTTTATCCTTGGCGGTCTGCAATTTAATAGTTAAACCAAGGCGATGCTTTGTAAAACAAACCAAATCTTCAAACTCTTCTGTGTGAGCCATTTGGTCGTAAGACCAAGCTAAAGTAACGTTTTCAGGTACTTATTTCTACACCAGATCTTAAGAGCAAGCATATGATCCATCTGGTCGTAAGACCAAGCCAAAGTAACGTTATCAGTTAAACATTTCTACATGAAATTTTAAGAACAAGCACATTTATGTTTTCTAGAGCTTTTATCATGCAAGAAATCACGTGACTGCCTCGTAGCTTTTACAAATTAGGGAAATTTGGTAACCTTTTCTTCGTTATTTAATTATTATTTAATCGTTTTCACCTCTTTGTTCTGTGAATGATCGGCCTCCTCGCTTTTCCTAAAAAACCGGAAAGAAAAATATATGAACAGTTGTAGTTGTTGCAGACTGATAAGAGCTAACATAGAACCAAAACCCATTTAGGAGCCAACACTTGTGTTTACAACCTAATACTCTTGAAAATGGAAAACATTGCCTACACTAAATGCAGGATAACAGCCATCATCAAATAAAGTTTGAGTATTGGTAACATCTTTACCGCTTATCAATCGGCTCCATGTTGCTGAGATCGTCCATGTCGGTTCCGCGGCCGTCTTTCAGAGACATCACTCAAAACCAGACTCTAAAGATGTACAAGACACTCTTGCTGACAATAATTAGCTTTCAGCCATGATAGGAAGCAATAATATCGCAAGCGGTAAATCGAGCATGAGGAGCTTTGAGATAACCACAGGATAAGCTGAAGCAGATCAGAACCTCATATCAGGCCTCTCAGCAGCACTGCTTACCACATCGCACGCAAACGTTTCCAGAATTCAGATAGATTCTATTATAAAGATTACCTCACATTAAGTGAATATTGTGTAAACTGTTAGCAATAGTACTAAAATGACTTACATAAATAAATCAGTTATTCTACAGAAAGTGAAAAAATTCAGCGAATTCACAAGCTGTAGACTCAAAGAACTTTCAAAGAAAGAAACTGGAAAGCGAAGCCGCTGCACGAACTAGCACGCAATCCCGAAACGAATGGAATGAACTGAAATGACGTGGTGCTGCTGATGATTACTCACTTTTACATGTTAGAGACTTGCAGCAGCAAGGCGTGTGACAACAAACGAAGCTACGCCCATTTGGGAGGGTTGCTGCCAGCTGCTAACGGGCTGTCTACACTTGTGTAACACCATCCGCCGTAGTGCATGAACTTGCGCGCTTGCGCATGCCACGGTTCGCGCAATGGTGCGGCAAGCGCCGCGTTGCTGTGTAGCGTTGCTGTGTAGCGTTTTTCTTTTATTTGTTGCCAAAAACGTTTCGGGAAGATTGCGGCATTGCCTACTATAAGTACTCGAGTCTGGCACGAAATAAGTTAACTGCAAAGTTGCAAACGTTTCAGAATTTTCTTATGAACCTGCATAACTCCGTCATTCGACTTTTTTACAAATGAATTGGAATCGTTCGAGGCACATGCACTATGCAGCACGCGGAAAAAGGAATTAGCAACGGATTGCACATCGCGATGCATTTTATTTCTGAACGCTTATTGACATTTTTTGCGTTTTTTGCTGACAACTCATGCCAGCGAGCGGATTCCTGAAATTCTCGGTCATGGACTCTAATAAGGAGAATTTATCTCATTCAACTGTGTCGCTGAACAGCTCGGTGCCTGTTTCATCGTTTCATCACTGTTCTAGCTTGCCAGAAAAACTGAACCTTCATTCCCTGGACGCTCAGCAGTCAACACTTGGCATGACCAGTACGTCTTCGAATCCCATTTTGCGATCACAGGACATTTGCATCGATGATCCCCCTTTGACGGCGGACGAGCAGCTGCTTGCCGAAGCCGTGCCTGAGCTGGCACAGTTGATTGGTAATTTGAAAATTCGTAGTATCACCGCCTCACTTGATCCCGAGTTACTGGATCCCCTGACAGACAAACTGGAATCCCATGCGAAATCTTATGAAAAGCTACGGACGGACGTGGATATAGAAAAATTCGGGGAGGTGATTCAGCGTCTGGAAGAACTGAAGGGGGAAATTGAGGCTGAACTGAAGCCGTTTTTGGACGTCTTCGGCGTTGGACTGCCTACGGAACCATGGCACATCGACGCCGTGAAAGCGTTAGTGACTGAGAAACTGAAAAGCCCAACGATGACCGATAAAAAATAAAGTTTTAGGTAAAGCTTTTTATTCGACGACTTCTATTTTAGTAAGTGTGTGTATGTGAAGTTTTTTGTGCTTTTTAACCATTTATTATAATTCATAGAGACGTAATGATTAATTGTGCCACTGAATAAGTACACCGGACCAGCTGCAGTCCTTTTTTTACTGTATTACAGCATCTAATGTGCGGTTGTTTTGGCTGATGCTTCATTCGACTTTCTTCTGACCGAAAGTATTCTTCGTTTAATTTATTTTGTGTTTAGCAATTTGCAATGTTCCACTAAGCCAGTTGTCAGTTGTGGATTTTATTTTGAAGGGGATTTTAAATGTGCAGTGTCTGTGCGAAGAGTTAATACTGCGTACAAGTATATAAGTTTATAACTGTATAAAATTTATTAGTGTATTGTATAAACAATAAACTCGCAAATCAAGCAAGTGACCAATAAGCTCTGCCTTCGTAGATTGTAATGCGTGCCTTGCTGTGGTACAAACATTTTGGTCTTATGTGAATAGTCAATTTCAAAACTTTAAGCTGCACTGACTGTTCGAATCCACTGTCAGTTGCTTATAATTCTTGTTTTCTTTTTGACATGGCCGGCCATTCGTTACCTGCTGACAAGCAAGTAATTTCGTTATTTTAAAATGGTTATTAAAATTCGTAAACAATGTCACAAAATCAAAATCACATTCAGTGCTTTACCAAAGCCAAACAGTTTGGCAGAAAGTCAAAAAGCATTAATCTTAAAATAAACGAGAAACGAATGGCACAAATGCATCAAAGAGACGGAAACAAACTGAACATACCAACTTCCTTGCATTCCAACCGGGTTTAATACGCCCGCACAGCACACGGATCTCTGAGAATGTTTTTGAATTTTCAAATTTCAAAATATTCGTTATATCCGTTACTCTTATCATCTTTTCGATCGTTCGGGCTCAGCGTACCTTCGGCGGTATGATTCATCAACCGACAGCAAATAAAATATATCATTGCCCAGCAAGCTTACATCTTCGGCTGGGGTGTAAGGCGCTAAAAACAAACCAATAAAATCGTGAATACAGAGAGACTACTTCACAGAAATTTGTTCAAGCAAAAAAATGAAGCCTGTCATATTTACCTGAGTTATAATGTTGTTCCTTGTGGTCCAAGATCTCGTGATATTTTTCCGGACTTATTTTTATCCGCTTGTCCAGATCGGAAAATAGCGAAGCAAAGTTCTTAACCATTTTGTCAAGTGATCTGGATTGCACAAATCGTGCTGAGAAAAAGCTAGATGCGGCTCCGGAACCATAAGAAAACAGTCCAATGCGCTTATTGACAAGTCGTTCAATCGGATAGCTACAAAATATCATTAGGTAAGATACGATACGAACGAGGTGAGATAGGGTACGAGCAGGATAGCACTGATTACTGGAGAAGTGTTTTTGTTATCCATTTTGTTTCAGTAATCAGTATGTCCTTGTATATGATGCTTATTAAAAGTTTTGGTATAGTAATACGTATGAATAACGAAATGAATTTACGAAGACTTAAAAGGTAAGTATTATTTCGCATACTCGTATCACATATGGTTGTACACGCAAAAAGCTTATTCCGCCCCACCTGGCTATAAGTGAGGCAATCCCTCCGTACAAAGACGCTGTGTACATGTTGCCGACATTTCGCGCAAGTTGTTGGGCAGCATCTGTCTTTTCACTGAACATATCTCGGCTGGCTTTCAGGAGCGGTTTTTCGATGTTTTCTTTGAAATTCTTAGAACCTTCGCCGGCGTAAGTTGCGGATAGGTCAATGTTTCTATACAAGTTCAGGAATGCACGGATTAGAATTGAAAACCAGAAGATAAATTTTTCCATTCGACATGTACCTAAATTTTTCAAGCTCTCCATAGGATTCACAAGCAGAAATCGATGGATCACGAATAACATCATGCAGCATTAAACGTGAGAACGCTTTTTGTACAAGTTTAGTGAATGGACTATGGAAAACCACGTGATCCAAGCACTGCAGATTGGCTTTCTTGCCTGTTAACTTGGCTGCAAAAATAATTAATTCACATAAACCCAGTACAAAATACAAACTTCAAAAAAATGTTTCATAATCGAATTAATTATGGTCATAGGTTGTGTTGAATTAAAAATAAGTACTCGTACTGTACATTGGTGGCCGTAAATTTGTCATGTCGCTATCAGACAGTAAATTTATCAAAAACTATGGTAATGAGCTTTCTGAGTTTCGAAGTTTTGGAATTTAATTTGGTAGGTACAACATACGGATACTTACTGCGAAGTACGCGGGTTTCAAATTTTTCACAAAATTTCCCATAGCACTTATGCAGAGACTCCATGTAACGCTGAAGCGAATCGTCCCCATTAACAGTGGGATATTCGGAGGACATGTTTGGTTTGTAGAAATCGTACACATGTTGCATATGGCTGGCACGAACTCCTGGAAACATGAAAGGTTAATCATGACAATATCCGACTGGCGAAAGATGGTTAATCTGCGATCAGATGGTGGTGCGGAGAGTGCCAGCGTGCAGACATTCGATATCATGCCACAAATGTACCTTGATCAAACACTAAACCCGCATCAGGTCCGATCAGCATCGCGACGGCGCCCGCACCGCCAGTGCACCGGGCATTTCCGCTCCGGTAAACGGCAATGTCACCGGCGACAGCAATGGCATATCGACCTGCAAAATGTAAATCAGAAAACACCTTCCAGTGGAAAAATATCGAATTGCTTCTCTAAAAGCATTAAAGCCTGTAGGCTATCAGCAGATGAAACGCAACATGCATTTCCTGTAAAACAGCAGTGCCAAGCGTTTTCGATACAACATTATGCTAGTGTGTGAAGCTACGCATCCTTGAACGACAACATGCAGAAATTAGTTGTAGTTTACTATTAGTAGGCAGTTTTTACACCCAAAACAAGGCTTTCTAGTTTGCTAGAAACATTACGAAGGCGCTTACAGCTTTTCAAATATTAACTATATTAAAACGGCACGAATACATAACATATCAGGGCCATAATCAGCCACAAATTCACCTGTTCCAGTGAACGAGAATTTCCACAGCAATACATACTGATAGCGAACATAAAGAAACCATTTAATCAAATGAAAAAATCGATCCACTTCGTCATTTCGCACAATCAAAGATGTTTTACAAGAGTTTATGTTCATATCGTTCTACGTATGCTACGGTTGTGGTAATTATACAAGTCATACAACCTGATAAATCTAAATTTTAAATTTAAAAAAAAACAGGTACCTCAAAACTGGTAGAAAGTAGGATGATGCAAAAGCAAACTTTTAGATTTACCAATATTTCGATTCTTGGCTTACCGTCCCACGATGACGACTCGACCCAATTTAAACAATTGAACAACGCGGCAGTTCCACCGTAGCATGCATTCACATTATCGACTCCTTCCACATCGAAATTCCCCTCCTCTTCGAATAATTTCATCAAGCAGGTTTTAATACTCTTGGACTTGTCAATGAGGGTTTCCGTCCCCACATCTAACCGGCCAATCTGACTATAAGCAATCCCCGATTTTTTCATTAGGCGCGAGACGACAGTCAAGCACAAGGAGACCACATCTTCGCGATCCGTGCAGAACCCCATCCGCTTCTGGCCGAATCCTTCCGTGTACTTGCCGGCAAAATTCACTTTCCGTTCGCCTTTGTCGTTTTCCTGCTTCTCATCGAAAGTTTCGAGCTCGCTCTGCTCCACGTAGGTATTAGGAAAGTAGACTTCCATCCCGACAATGCCGACGTTTTCGGCCACATGATGCACATGATGATGCCCATTTGCCAGTCCATTCGACACCTTTCCATGCCCATTAGAGGTAGCATCATACGACGAAGAGAAATGCTTTAGGGATAACGTAAGATAAGAAAACGCGACAGAGCAAACGACTGGTTGGTCGATGGCAGCGGAAATGCGACAACTACACGAGAAGACACTCACGCCAACCAGTCCTCGGAGCTTATACGACTAGGTATTATCAACCTCACGAGGGAGAATGATATGAATCTATAGGTTAAGGTTCACAGATGCAGTCCGATACCGGGAACGCTTTTGGTCTTCACTCGTTAAAAGACAGTAGAAAGTTAATTAATTATGCACGCAAGTGGCGCAACCACTTCGTCCACTTATCTGTTTCTGGAATGCGTGACAAACAGTTTGTCACAAACTGTCACAACCATAAGCTGGAGGAGTAGCGCGTTATTCGGCTGCTCTACGGTTCGAATGGACAAAACAAATACTCGATAAGCTTCAATAAAATCTTTCCCTGTTACAAACAACTACGATTATTACAAAAAATTGCGAGTATAAAACAAGTAAAACTAAAATATAAAGTCTCCCACAAGAGGATGCAAATGAATTTAAAATTTGCAAATAGGCAAATCAGAAAATGCGCTGCCCGGAAAAGTCTGAGCCACGGCGTAAACCATGAGGCGATGACGCAATCACACTCCAGCGCCCGACTGCCACCCGGAAGTGGTCGGCATATACGAACCGTGTGACTTAAAGGAAATGAAAAATTTGTTTTTTTAACTCATATAGAATGTCATCTTATAATACCGTAGTTAATAGTTCTATAATTCTGTCTTATATTCATAAATTATAGGGTTAAAATTACGTAATAGAAATATCATTATTATCAGATTTTGTTTTTTAAAGTCGGTCTGGAACCAGAAAGAATTTGAATGTTGCAACTGTAAGTCATCGGTCGACTATGTAGTACGCATGTGGCATGTGCTACGTTTTTTCAATGCTTACTCGTTCAATATAATTTACTTATTATGATTAATTTTCATTTACTTGGGAGTACGAGTATTATAGAGTAGACTGATGCCAAGAACAGCCCAACGCCTTAAATATAACCAAGAAAATCAATGTATAAGAGCGCATAGAATATACGAGTATAATATCTATAGTACGTATTTACTCGAGCTTTCGGCAAAACTGGCGTCTTCACAATTTGCCGGCGGCCTGCAGGCTGCAGCGTCCATGAAGAAGTGTCCATGAAGAAATTCATTGTATATAATCAGTACAAGTAGCGTTCTCTAGCGAATTAATTGTAAATAACTGAAAACACAAAACAAAAACAGCTACTGATATTACTGCTCAACGAGGCAAAACTGCTCTTTAATTGCAGCAACTTTAACAGCTAAAACAGTAAGAGATTACGTCTTATCAACACAGCCAGCGGGGAAGCCTGCCTGAAGCTTGTTGTACGTACGAACGCCATAATACTTAAATATGGCAATGAGCACTAAAAAAATACTAATACCAAACACCAAATACACAGTAACTCATAATATGCCAGTTTCAGTCAGCTAAAATAGAACAGATCCATTAGTAACTTCAGTACGGCATGTACATCAGCGCCAAGACTTTGATGAAAATGCCCAGAATGTTGTAGCCGTGGTCGACAATGAACTCCTCCGGCGCTTTCTTTCCCCACAGGACATGCGGCAACTGAGGTAACAGCTGGATTCCGCTGACGATTCCCGTCAAGAGGAGTGCATCCTAAAGCACATAAAATACACAATGCATAATTTGCATTCACAAATTACAACAAACAGATAATAGGATAATTCCTGTGATGGAAAAAACCAAATAAAACCGTTATGCAGTACAAAGTAAATACACTTACCGTAATAGTCAGCGGCCGGAAATAACGACTGCAAAAGTACAACGGTTATTACCGCACTTGTCTGTATTAATTACTCAATCGAGTTTCAGACTGAATTTTCCAGTAAAACACTTGTACCTGCTGAGATAGTTTAGCAAGAAAGCAAATCCGGTATCAGCCACTGTGGAAATCAACATGCTCGTTGTGTGGTCTTCCTTCGACATCGTATTGGCCGTCACTGGATGGTATTTCGCCCAGATCTTCCCAAAAACTTGAGGCGAATACCACGCCTAACGCATTTAAATTTATCAACTCACAAATCATAAACATGAAAAGTTTCGCACTAAACACTGTAAACTACGCTAATTGTAAGGCGAACAGTTTGCCCTGTTTACAGCTTAATATTTCGTTAAATGGAAGAGGCAGGCGCAGCCCACCTCCGGCAAGGATAGTGCTGTATTCCAGCAAATCCCAATCCAGCAAGATATTTTATCCCTTTGAGGCTGTTTATAGCGGTTTTTGCTCGATAGACCCCTACTCACTAACTTGTTCGTCTTACAGTTTAGGTTAAATTCTTTTCCCTTACCATGCCAAGACCTTGAGTCAAAGCCACACCAGCCCCAATGGCTCCGTATTTCCAGGTGATAGGAGTAAAAGCTCGCGGAACGTTCATTCTGAAATTAAGTAATAAATGAAAATCGAGACGGTAAGCCCACCGAGCCCATACAGTGACCAAGTGAAAGTGATTTACTGCCAAAATTTACAATCTGGTTTTTATACCTCGCTCTAACAGGGTTGTATTTTATTACAAGTTAGACTGTTCTAATTTAGAGTCGGTTGAACATAATATAAATACGAGTACATAATAAACTGTAAACAGAAAACATTTAGGACATGGCCAATGGGCACAGACATCTACCAGTACAGTACTGAGTACTTATATTAAAAATTGACATACTGTTCTTATGGTTAGTGTTCTATAAATCGGGTAAAAATTCTTGCATATAATCTAAGTTCATCATAGTAAAAACATTATTTCATTTTATGACGTAGTGGCTGGAGTTGGACTCGCAATTATCATTAATCAGCCGCTTTTATACTCGTAATTTCGTATGAATCTGCACAAGTGCACGTCTATCACAAAAAACCAAACAGCGCTACTGTACAGTTTATTTATTGATCACGGACAGATCACCTCACCTGTTCGCCGTTTAGAGGACTTGTAACTTGAATTCCAAAAGATCTTCACAGTAAGAAGTAACCTTTGCAAAATTCGGAACGTTAATTTTAATAAAAAAAATGAAATCACCGTCTCATAGACATCGACTACTAATACTCGTACGCGTAGCAAAAATCAAAAAGTCCGTCCAAATGCAGTCACAAAACAAACGGAAAAAAGTCTATTAAGTCACATAAAATTTCGAAAGTCCATGATTTCTCTGTTCATTTTGTAGTTGATTCTATAAACGTTCTACGAGGTACTCACCGTAACAAAAAGCGTTTCAAAATTCCACAGCAAGGAGTGGCTTAAACTGCGCCCGTCGTCTGGGAATGTTCCCGTCTCGTACCAGCAGCGTAGAGAGAACTGGTCCTCTGCGCACAGTATATGATTCGGTATTGGTATGTATCAGTGAGTAAATTTGGATAAATCATAATATAGAATTAATAGAAAGTTAGAAACCCAAAAAAATCATGAAAAACACCGGCAGGATCAGATGATTGTCCAACTTCCAGGATAATTACTTCTATATGTTGAAAAAAGCACTTGTGTCCGCTTCGTTTCCTTAATAATTTTTCGTTCTACACAAACCAAACCAGTTTCATCATTCGAGTTTACAAATGCCAAATTGGCATTAACCAAATTCCCAGGATAATCAAAATCAACAAAATAACAAACGAAACGAAAGCAACAAAATCCAACACTGGATGCAATGATTACTTAAACAATCACCCTGTAAGTCGTTACCATTAAAAGTAACACCGGATCGGATACTTAAAATTTGTTATAAAAGGAAACCACAGTAGATCAATATTTTAATCACAACTTCATTTTTTTGGCAATCTCATTCAGTCTGCAGAACAATCGTCAGGTTCAGACAATGGCGATAACGGTCTCATATCGGCACCAAATTCAAATCTCCAGCGCCTTAAAATATGCGTAATTTCCGGATCATCCGCCATTTCCACATCCGCTGCAGACCTCGAAATAAAATCAGCATCTTCCTCAAAACCGGTATCTTCTTCTTCACTGATTTCCGACAGGGGCGACAAAGGAGCGTCCCGAAAGCAACGGAGCTCCGAAAGTATAAGATCTACTTCCGCTGTTAATGCTGTCATTTCGGCATCATCACCACTGTCGAATTCGGGACAATCACTGATCAGCACACACTCTTTGGCTGACTGAAAAAATACGTCCAAATCATCCTCCATGGTACGCGAATTCAAACTATCGGAAAAGAAATGCAAATTCAAATCCTGAATTGGTCCAGCAAACATAACAGGAGCAACGTCGGCGAAATTGGCGTTTATGTGATTCGTCACTGTTGTAGCACGTAATAGCAACTGATTGTGAGCAACACAGTCACTTGGAAGATCCTTTGCATCGTTAAGGTCGACACTCGATTCTGGAATATTTTCGGGTGCAAGCGATAAATCAACGGCACCGTTCAGACCACAGTACTCGGACGGCTCCACGCTGCGCGAATAAGCACTGGATGGGTGCTCAAAAGGCGGAGAAGTTTTCGACAATTTCTTTAGATCTGGCTCTGGTCGCGGTGAAATAGGCCTTTTAAATACACCATCTACAAAAAAGAGCAGGGTTAGGGCAAATCTCTAAAATTAATCTGGATGAAAGAAAATAATGGCAAATTATTTATAGAAGACAAAATCCGTAAATGCAACACTGCAGATCAGTACACGATCGATGCAAGTAAGAAGTAAAAAAGAAAGCCAAAAAACCAGAAACGAGTGCGACAGTTTAGTAAATGATTCAGTAAAATCATTTCGAAATTCGAAAGAGCGAGAAAGATTTACCAAGCAAAAGCACATTCATTAAAGAAATTCTTCTGTAAAATCCACTGAACAATTTTTTGCAAGTGATTAACAGTTCTATGAATTTGCCACTACTTTTACGACATGAAAAACGAAACGAAATAAGGAATTTTCAATCTCGGCCTACCTGTAAGGTATTCACTAGGATTCCGTGACAGCGTATCCTTAATATCAAGAAAATTTTCGTAGTCCGGATAATGATAACAGTATAAGCAAAGTTCAATACTACCGCGGAAACTTGTACCACATTTAGCACAGCTGCCTGCTTTACCGCTACCGTATGAATATTCCAGATCTCCATTTTCACACAACAGTTCCAGTTTCTTTCTTTTGGCAATTCGCTTCACAGGGGACCTTCTCTTGCCTGTATCCTCAGGAAGAGAACTGCTGACTGCTTCCTTGGAAGGTATATCAGGTACTGGAAATAACGGAAATTTATCAGTTAGAATCCTAGCCACTTTGGTCGCAACTTTCGTTTGGGTCGTCGCATGCTTGGGAAATGTGTCTATTTGCGTTCCTTGCTCTTTGCGGTCCCTGCAGATAGTAATCTGAGCACGCAGTTCTCTATTTTCGGTTTTCAGCAGTTCAATATCCTGCAGGTGCTGGAAATTCTGATCGCGAATGCGTTTAATATCGTTCCTCATTTTCTTATTTTCCGATAGTAACTCCTGATTTTCTGCGTTTGTCTTCTTTTGCTCCGACAGCAGTTCTTGATTTTCTTTCTCCTTCGCTTGGCGATCTTTCACCAAAAGGCTGATTTCTTCCACGTTCGTTTGAAACTGAAGATTGGCATTACGGAGTTTCAGCAGTACTTCCAAAAGCGGTACACATTTCGCGCAAGATTCCAGACTCAGCACTGGCTCCATAACGCTAACATATAACAATATAACATCAACCCTTCATCGGATGTTCAAATCGCATAAACTCCGATGAAAGCACAACAAAGCCCAATTCCACCCAATTTCTTATTCCAGTCACATGCGTCAGGCAGCTTCATAAGCCGTTGGGCAAGGGCCGAAAGGCTTTGCAGGTCTCCCGGTTTTGAGGCACAATCTAAAAAGCACAAACCGTGACAAACGAGGGCCTTTATGACATCATTCATAAAGGCTGCATTTCAATGCTTTGATGATTTGATCGCAGAAGCACAAACTATGCAAATCAGTTAATAAAATTTATGCAATTTTAGTTCAACTTACAACATAACATTCTGATATTGATGGAAGATCTCACAAAAAAGAAAAAAATTCCAGGTTCCCGCTCGCCTGCTAAATGTTTTTTTCTGGTTCGTGGCTGTCCTCTCAATACGCGGCGTGCGCGATGCCGAGACGTAGCGCCCAACGCGCCGAGCTACTTCTACAGTAGTGTATATAGGCGGCCTCCATGGGTAACCGCTAAACACAACTTGGAGCGTTGTCCGGCCCTTGTCGGCGTTGTCGCATGAACGCCAAAGAACGATTATTACATACAGCAATAAATACATAAAGTGAAATAATATTTTAAGTTTAGTAATAAAAAGTAAATACAAAGAGTATAACTTATACTTTATAAGGTAAGAAAAAAAAACGTAGAATTTTAGTAATGGTGGATCAGCGAAATAAGGGTCTCGGATCTTCGGCCTTCGCCACTACCCCCTATGCTGTGCAGCTGCAATCTCGATGAGTCAGCATAAACTTTTGTTTCTGTTTGCAAGAAGGCGCACCAATCATTTTCAAGGGCGCAGAGGTCGACGTCTGACGCGCAAGATTTCTTCTTACCGATAAAGCATCAGCTCGTTCTACAAGGCGCATGTCTGCAGGTTTTTTGCTGTCCGAAATCGGGCAAATCATTTAATCATACCAAACGCGCAAAAGCATCCGCGGAAGTTCGGCTTGTGTCATATTCGCCCTTGGTTTGCCCGAAAGTTTGTTTTTGATTGCTGTTGTGGTATTCCCGAAAGTCCCATCGCAATGGACCCCAAAGATCCCCTCAAAAACACGGATGCCTGGAAGAAGCTGCAGACATATGTGGATGATAAAGCGAAAAAGCTGCACATGCGTCAGCTGTTCGAAGATCCGAAGCGCTTTGAAAATTATAGGTGGGTTATCAAATTTGCGATTTCAGTTATTTTTGGATCACGAAGCCTGCTGCTTTGCTGTACTACCCGAATGAACATACTTTAGCATCCGTGCTTTATGAACTGAATAAATTATAAAATATATTTTATAAATTAAAGTACTTGTACAACGGGAAGTGCGACTTTTTATTGCAAATTTTGAACAGGTTAACGTATTTAGCACATTCGTGATTGCATTCTTATTTATCCTCATTATAGTCTGACCATCAAAACTCCGAAAGATGGGGACATCCTTTTGGATTATTCGAAAAATATTATAGACGATCATTCCTGGCCCTTGCTTCTCGATCTGGTTGGTTTTAGAGAAATCGAGAACATCTTTGCATGAGGAATTTTGCGTTTTTCAATGTGAATCCAAATGATAGGCATGCTTAATGTATTGCTCAAATTATATGTTTGCTTAATTGTATCAAAAATTCCAAATCATGCGCATGCTTAATGTTTTGTTCTTTGCAGGCGCGCGCACGTAAGGTTGAAGATGCCCGAGCGGCCATGTTCAGCGGTCAAAAGATCAACTTTACGGAAAACCGCGCTGTACTGCACATTGCCCTTCGCAACCGGTCAAAGAGTGGCATTACGGTCGATGGCCAAGACGTAAGCAGTTCGGAGTACTGTTACAGTAATTATTTTTGTCAAACATACTGTTTTTCTCTCTTGTAAACTTTTTTATTTATCGTCGTCTCGCGGGATTCTCAGTACGTAATCATCCAAAGACAATAGCAATTATTATACAGTTAAATCAGAGTATGAAATTATCAAGGGAAACAAATCAACCAGTCGTTTCGTTGAATTTCAGTCGATATTTTTGCATAGCACAGTATTTTGACGATCTGGTTTGGTAAATCGTAGGTTATGCCAGGCGTCAACAAGGTTCTGGAGCAGATGAAAGATTTTGTGAATAAAGTTTGTGGCGGGACCTGGAAAGGCTATACCGGAAAAGCCATCACCGACGTGGTCAACATCGGCATCGGCGGCTCTGACCTTGGCCCGGTGATGGTGACCGAGGCGCTACGCTCTTACTCTGGCAAAATCAAGGCTCATTTTGTTTCAAATATCGATGGCACTCATTTGGCGGAGATTCTGAAATTGGTTGATCCGGAGTCTACGCTGTTCTTGGTGGCTTCAAAGGTAAATTGAATCAATAACCTTTATGGATTGAAAAAAACTCAGCCTTGTAAAAATGATGGTTCTAGAAGTTCTGTTTATCGTTTCTGCCGATTTCATCTTTATTACTGCAGCTTGAAAAATGTTTATATATTTATACTAAAGTTTTTTGTTATGAATGTTTTATCACCAGCAGTCCGGAAATGTTGCTTCATTTTCTCGAAATGCTTTTGAACGAAAATGCTTGGAATATGACGAATTAATTAATTAACATAATTAAGCAGCATTAAAGTTGAAAGATGTTTTTCACTTGCAGACATTCACCACCCAGGAAACGATGACTAATGCCGAATCTGCTCGTACCTGGTTTTTGCAAAAAGCGAAGGATCAAAAACATGTTGCCCTGCATTTCGCTGCTCTGTCAACAAACGATAAAAAAGTCAAGGAATTTGGAATCGACGAGGTATTTACGATTTATTGTTTTTTGCTGCTTTCTTTCATGATGTGTTTAGTAATCGAGAACCGAACTTGGTTACTGCTGCAGAAAAATATGTTTCCGTTTTGGGACTGGGTTGGAGGCCGTTACTCTCTGTGGTCAGCCATTGGCCTTTCAATCGCTTTGTTTGTCGGATGGGATAATTTTGAGCAGCTGCTGGAAGGCGGGCATTTCATGGACAAGCACTTTCAGGAAACACCTCTGGAAAAGAACGTACGTTTGTTTCTTTTGACTATTCGTTCATAATCTTTTTGAAGGCGGCTTTACTAAATTCATAACAGTTTCTTTTATGCTGAAGAAATACATGCGTTCATTAAAGGGTCATCCCCACTTGGTGCCGTCTTCAGCAATGTGAATTTGAATTATTGAGAACTTCCTGTACACTAAATTTGTAAGCAGTTGGAAGTACTCAACTTGTAATACTGGCCGCTGTGTGTTTTAATAGGCTCCGGTGATTCTGGCATTGTTGGGTGTTTGGTACAGCAATTTTTTCGGTGCCGAAACCCATGCCCTTCTTCCGTACGACCAGTACATGCACCGTTTTGCCGCATACTTCCAACAAGGCGACATGGAATCCAACGGGAAATACGTGAACCGTAGTGGAAAGAAGGTGGACTACACGACCGGGCCGGTGATTTGGGGCGAGCCCGGAACAAATGGACAGCATGCATTCTACCAGTTGATCCATCAGGGGACTCGTATTATCCCGTGCGATTTTATTGCTCCAGTCGAAACGCATAACCCGATCAAGAGGGGGCTGCATCATACTGTAAGGACAGATGCAGTACTCGTACTTCTTTTTGTTTAAAATTAAGTTATGTTTTTGAAATTTTCTGTTACGAAATGTCTTAGACTTAAAAGTCGTTTAGTTATTCACTTCGGGGTTTTTTGTGTTATTTAGATTCTGTTGGCTAATTTCTTTGCCCAAACGGAAGCACTGATGCGAGGAAAAACCACAGAAGAAGCTAAAAAAGAGCTGGAGAAATCAGGAATGAGTGGGGCTGATTTGGAGAAGATTTTGCCGCACAAAGTGTTTGAAGGCAATCGCCCAACTAATTCTATAATGGTGCAGAAAGTTACTCCGTTTACCCTTGGAGCTCTCATTGGTAAGAATATAAACCACGGTTATTTTTATGTCGTTGCTCGCTTGTGTGATCGCTAATGCAGTATCGTGCACCAGTTGTATTGCTGAATGGTACAAACTGCAGAGTAATAACGTTTTGTGAGTCAGTTGTGACATCGCGAAAATTGTTTTTGCAGCTCTGTACGAGCATAAAATCTTCGTCCAAGGCGTTATTTGGGACATCAACTCGTATGACCAATGGGGTGTGGAACTGGGCAAGCAATTGGCCAATGTTATTCTGCCCGAGTTGTCTGGAGATGCGGAAGTGAAAACCCACGATTGTTCTACCAACGGGCTGATCAATTTCTTCAAAAAACATCTTAAGCAGCCACTAGGTGGAGGAAAAACCGGTGCGGGTATGGACATTTAAATGTAAGCGACAGTGGGATTCTGTCTGCAGCTAGCGGGGCTTTAGTTGCTGGTGGTGGTTAAATCAAGAAATATTCTGGTGTTCTTCGATTGTGATAGATTACAAATGACTGCTTTACTTTCGCGTTTAAGTTCGCTGCTGTTTAGATTTAATTTTATTTTCCCGTTTTTGTTTGGATTCCCTTCGTGTTTCAGACGTTGAATCATGAAAATAAAAAGCTTTTAAGCCATTAAATGAAGTGGATTGCTTCCTCTTTGTTCGAACATTCAGTACTGCATTGCTTATTAGTGTATTATCAGATGTTATGATTCAAAACGCAGTTCACTCGTAAACGGAAAGGCACGTTTTGTATGACGAGAATGTCAAACCCAAACATCAAATCTATTTAACTCCATAGGGCTTTTATCATAACACTTGAACCGGGAAATCTAATGTGTCCAAAATTTTTGCACCTTAAAAAGGAACATAATTCAGAAAAGGTAACAACAGGGAGAGCAGTGTAAAAAATGCTTAACATCACCGACAATCAATACCGCTGTTGATAACCACCGCGTGTCTGATGGAACGTTCGGCCTCGGTGTCCACCGCCATGATAACCATCGCCCCCACCGTAACCACTCTGAACTCTTCCACCACCACCGCGCCCTCGTCCACCATGAGCTCCCCGCCCACCTCCGCCGTCCACGCGTGCTCGAAATCCCGGCATATCCCGTGGCGGCACCACCGCTTCACTGGGACGTCCGCCTCGATCCGGAACATTCCCAATCACCAGACGATTAATCGGACACTGTGTGTGCTGTCGGACGGAATTGCTGGTGGCCTTCTGCACACGCAGTAAATCGTCCGTGGCTCCCAGAATATCCCCCATGGTCACATTGGAATCCAGCGGCATGTGCGGACGTCGCGACGTCCAAATGTGATTCAGTTCGGCCTCTTTGGCTTTGGCACGCTCGGACCAAGAAAACGACTGTATGGTTACGTCGAAGCGTTTCAAGAGCATCTCACGACGCAGCCGGTACTCGCTACGCATCGCCTCGTCGAACTGTTCCAGCTGGGCGTACTGTTGTTCATTCAGCGGGGTAGTAATGAGTGGTTTAGGAAGTGCGCCAGGCGGCAAGGAAGCAATATACTGCTGAAGTTTCGATTCCAGGGTGTGGAACAGTTGGCCAGGATCCACATCGGCTGGCACTTGAACGTTAAGGATGTTGCAAACTTTCGCCAGATTTGCTGCTAGAGGAGACTGTGCAGGTTTCGAAGTTTCCGGTCCGTATGTAGCGTAATTCACACGCGCAGCCTACCATGAAAGAATCAGTAATGCTGCAGTGAAAAATTTTAATAAAAATTTAAAACCGTACAAAAACTGTTTATTTCCAGGAATCAACCAAACCGGCTTTATCGAGATATAAAGATAATAAGGAGTAACAGGTATTCTGTTTTAATTTTAAATTGTGTTTTTTGATTTGTTGCGATGTTGCCAGCTAAAAAACAGACAGTACAAATTTTTCCCCGTATTCAGGAATCTAAAATTCTAATCATTTCAAGAAGATGAAATCATTAAATACGTACTCTTACAATACGTACAATCACTTACTTCCTAATTCCGTATAATCACTTCTAGAAGATTAATTAAATCTTGATACTGCCGCAGAAGTCACTAACCTCCTGATTTATTCTACGGAAAAGCAAGAACATCACTTGCCTGCAGTTCGCCCACAAGGAAATCCACCAGAAGCAGACGATTTTCCGGGGTCGCCAGACGTTCCGTCAGCGGAGCGGAAGTCAGCCGAGCATACGGACATTCCATTTCGTGCAGGAAACTGGTAACATCCATGACGAATGAGTTGGCGTCAGCTGGAGATCGCATTTCCGAAATGTCCTGATTAATATTAGCCAAAATCCGCAGCTGCTTGCAAAGAGCCATGATGATGTGGCTGTATTCGACGGCTGCTGTCCCGTTACCAATGGCATTGCGGAAGTTTTCGGAAGTAAAGGTCCCATTCCCATAAACGGTCAGCAGATCACTGAAAACTTTGGCTTCCAGAGATTCCATTTTGACATACAAAAATGCCGTGGAAAGACTAGTCACAGAACAAAAACAGAAACGTCCTGGAATCTGAAAGGGCTGGCGGATTTTTCCCGTCTCAGCTCGACTTCTTAAAGCAAAACTGAAAAAGTGCAAACGTAAACAAACCAGTAGCTGCCACCTTCGGTGTCTACTTGTAGGACAAACAGGAAACTAATGCTTTGTTGTGTTGTACTCTGCACAGCGGACCATTAACAAAATAATTATTGTGATTTCGAAAATATTCACAATAACTATAAGTAATCTTATAAGAAATACTCATTTTTCTACTTCTTTGTTTGTCGACATAGCGAGTTATTATTAATTGTTAAGGCTGAATCATGGTCCAGATTCCCATATTTAGGTTAGCGAATACTGAAAAAGTGACATCTAAAGAAATTTCTTTCTTTACTCGTTACGGTGCAGAATAGTTTTGTGCTACATTATCTTGTTTTGACAGAAAAACCGAAACGCGAACGGAAGACGGGAAAACTCCTGAGTGGTTGATGATTGAATTGCAAGGAGAGCTGGTCACGGAGACTGATAAACTGCTGGCTGGCCAGGAAATTGGCACGTTGCACATCGGAGTACCATCTTCCGCTCGCGTACCAGGTGGCCAAAAGATCGAAGTGAGTAACTTATTATTATTACTTAACTTATTAGTTCTAACGGAAGTTGAAGCAAACTGCTTAGAAATAGAAGTACTTACAGCTAACCTCAAACTTCAAAAGAAATTAATCTTTACACGAGCTGTGTAGGATGTATTTTCCACCATAAAAAATGGTTATTCCGTAGTTAGGCCATGCATATCAACATTTACAAATGTAAATTAAGTTTGAAAATTAAACCATGAGCTGTAAGCGACTAAGCTGTCTAAACGGCAAACGTTTTATACAAGCTCAAGCAGAATGGGATTACTAATATTCGACTTTCTTAAGTGGGATTATTAGATTCTTTATCCGTACGCTGGTTAATCGGATTAGTAAAGTAAACGAATCTACAATATTGTATATATCACAACCAAATCAATCCATTGTGAAGTAACACGTGCCTTCCAGAAAGCCGTAATGATGATTGGGAATTATGCGCTCACCGGTGACATTTTGTCTTTGCCAAAACCTTTGATTATCCTGCAGAAAGGAAAACTCTCAAACAGTAACGGGATCGAAGAGCCAGTGCTGGAAATGCAAGCGGTTGTACGGCGGAAGGCTTTATTCAAAGAGCGTCCACGGCACGTTACGTTTCAAGACAAAGAAGTTTGACCGTAGATTACCTTTTCTCTACGGAGTTTCATTTTTGAGCTGAGAACAACATTGAACCTTTATGCTTGTGCTTGCTTTGTACGAGTATGTTCATAATAATCGTAAATCGCAAGTGTCACCCTGTCGCTGGTGTAATTCTTTGTGCAAAGAATTTCACAGTGTAATATGACGAAGTAACACTGACCAGGAAATATCTGAAAATTTCAAGTACTGTAGTAATTTGGTATTGCATATCATGATCTGGTAAGTTGGCATTTCGATAAAGCTGCCACTCCTGTGATGCTATCCAACATCCGTGCGGCGGCCATCGGGCTAGCTTATTGTCTAAATCGCCTGTCATGCGCAATGGGATATCGCAGCAATAAAGGAAGTACTGTAACTACTAACCAGATACGAGCGGTTATAAGTATATAAGGCTGTACGTCATGCATTAGTTTTATCCAGCTGGATTTGCAGTACGAATCTCCAATCAGACTTGAGACTTCGGAACCATCAGACCGTGACCTTTCCTAAAAGTTTAATTTTTTACAGTAGTACGGATTAACACAGTTAGTAATTGTAATGGCATCATTCTCTTCGACATCCATCTCGGCGCCGGCTTCGAGCAGTGTACAGCCGGTAACATCTACAAAGGACGAAGAATCGCTTCCTCATCTACCGCCAAAGAAGGCGTTTTTAAAGCGATGCGCAAGTGACACCAGAAACGAGCCAACCCAGAAGCCAAGGAAGCTGAGCCAGCATCCTCTTGAAGCTGGCCCGACGGTGCAGCGTTCGAAAGAAGCCCTGCTTGACCTGCTCACTGGTAGAACGCGGCCGCGGTTATGCTCACCATCAGAACAGGGAAGGTGTGACTACTGTTTCCCGTCGGCCGACGCAGACCGTACGTTACAATTGTGATATGTGAAACAGCTCATACACGCTTAATTAAGTACGAGTAAGGATTGACATCTCTGCAAGCCGTATTTTTAATTTTGTATAGAAAGCCGTGAGTTTGCTTGCAATTGGCTTGGATGCCACGCAAAGCCGTTTAAGATCCGGCACCAGTTGATCGACCATATAAACAGCCATTTGGACATTAAGCCGCATAAATGTCGGGTTTGCAGCATGAAGTTCACCCACAGTGGGACAAAAAGCCGGCACGAAAAAGCACACGATAAGTGATAAGATCGAAAAGGGGATATCGGCCAATGCGGGATAATTCGCCAACAGCTTTTTGCGACCACCCGGTGACCCGGACACTAATAATTATTGTTTTTACTTCCCGGTTTTGTTACTAGACTGATTACATGTAATAAGTATACCTTGTATTATACAACCACTGTACTTGATAGTACAGTCAAAACAAATGAATGAACGAACGAAGAATGAATAAAAATTGTCGGTTGTGTTTTTGATTATTGTCTTATGACTCTTATTACAGAATATTCAAGCAATAGCCATTAGGCGTTAGCCATTACGGCCCATTAGCCATACTGTGATGATTGTACGGCAATCTCACTGTTGACTGTACCTAGTGTAATTTACGCAGGTTCTGGTACAACTCACGATCTCACTGTACATAGCTAGTAGTTTTTTCACAGTTTAAGCCAGTCGAACCTTACAACCAATTACGAGGATTCTAAAAGCAGTAGATAGCTAGAGCGAAAATGTCCGGCGTTGAAAAACTATCACAGAAAGACATTGCGCAGCGTGGCTGGGAATGGCAGAACTCTGTTCAGTCTGTGCGCAATGTGGACGATCTCTTTCGCTTCAACGAAGATGAACACCAGCGAATGATGAATGCTAAACCATGGGAGAAGGACTCGAATTTCTTCAAAACCGTTCGGATTTCAGCTTTGGCTCTGTTGAAAATGGTCATGCACGCTCGGAGCGGCGGGAACCTGGAAGTGATGGGTTTGATGCTGGGTCGTGCTGATGCGGGTACGATGATTGTTATGGACGCTTTCGCTTTGCCCGTCGAAGGAACGGAAACCAGGGTGAATGCTCAAGCACAGGCGTACGAATATATGACGCAATACATGGAGACGCAGAAAGTGGTTGGACGTGTGGAGAACGTTATTGGATGGTACCACAGCCATCCTGGATATGGTTGCTGGTTGTCGGGAATTGATGTTGAAACTCAGCGACTTAATCAAACTTTTCAAGGTGAGCCAAACACATTATTATGCCGTCGAATTCTTTCTGTTTTTGAAACTAGTTTCTTTATCGGGCTGAAGTAATTGCGGAGTCTTCTCTGTGTTTGTATTTTGCTTGTTTTGTTATATTATTTGATTTTCCTTTCCCACCGAATTCCCATTACAGACCGAATTTTAATTTTAGTGTATTTTTTAAATTTTAGTATACTTGTAATTCTTGTTTCTTGTCGCTTTGACAAACCTGTTGCTGACGTTCTTCTCAAAAATTGCTGCAAACTCAGTTTTTTTATCCGATATTGAATAATTTGGAAGCCATGTTGCTACTGTATTCGTATTTTATCAGTAGTTTTGTTATTTAGGTTAAGTTACTACAGCGTTAATTTCCCTTGATTTTATTGTGTTTTTGCAGAACCTTGGTTGGCAGTTGTGATTGATCCGATTCGCACGATCGCCGCTGGACAAGTTGATCTGGTGCGTTCCGCACATATCCTAAAGGCCACATCCCTGCTGAAGAAAAAGACACTCTGTACCGCAATATCCCCTTGAAGAAAGTCGAAGATTTTGGAAGCCACTACAAAGAATACTATCAATTGAATGTGTCGTATTTCAAGACGTCCTCTGATAAACGCCTAATTAATCAGCTGTGGAAGCAGTACTGGATCGCGACGCTCAGTTCGTCTCCGTGGTTGAAAAATCTCAGCTACAATATTGAACAGACTCAAGATGTGGCGGATAAGCTGCAGCGTGCCACCAACGACATTCGTCGGGAAAGCCTGTTCAGTGGTCGTGGATTATTCGGAGGCGATTGTAGTGATGCAGAAACGGATTTCCATAAGGCGGTGAAGGACGGGCGCAAAGTGTCCTGTGAAGCTATGCACGCCATCATGACGCAGATTGTCAAGAAAAGTGTTTTCAACGATTTCGAAACAACGGGATCCGGCAATCAGGAGGACACCGATATTGCCGAAAATGTCCAGGAAAATGGCGGTGTTGGTGGCGTCGATGTAAATCTTCCTGAGCAGCCGGCTGCGGGCCCGTCTGCTCCAGAAAAGGCCCCATTGGCGACCGGGGAACAAATGAATGTCGACTGAGTTGAATCGGTTATGCACAACTTGCGTCATGCTTTTTTCTGTTTTTTTAGTGTGTAACAATTATACGAAATTTCGTTTCGGCCGTTAGTACTTTTTAGAACTGAAGTGATCACTGATGTTGAGCAAATGTTCCATATTGATAATGAATTAGATGATTCTGGATATTTTTAAAAGCTGACGGAAATGGCAGCGGTATCGGCTAATGGTCGTATGTTTATGTTTTTGGATCTACAAAATGAAAAATTATCAACTTTTGCTTTGTATGAAGTATGTAATTGTACGTTGGTGATTCGGACACTAACCACAAATCCATCTTTTTGCTTTAAAGCATGCAATAGCATGCAATATGCATGCGCCGTTTGAAACGAAACCAAAACTACAAACTGTTTTTGCGCGTTTACTAACCAAAATCAAACAAGTTAACTTCTGTCGAAACTACCAACATTATTATAAAAATTTGCTGCCTGGTCACTAATGCCTACAAATAACATAATTCTGCTAAAACAAGGAATGCGCGCCAGAACTGGCAAATCAAAGCAATACCAAAATAAATAAAAGGCTTCTTTGCACGTCAAGACCTTCATCAGCCATATGCTAACCGCAAAAGAACCACAACACAGAATTTAAAAAACGCTATTACACGAAACTTCACAAGCAGAGGTAATTAAGTAGATATTTTTAATCCAAATTACCAGAGTCAGCGTCTAGGTTTGGGAATCCGTTTGGTGCGGTGATCCATGGCATCCCATTCCTTGTGGCATTCTCTAAAGCATCGCATGCAGTACATATCTTTATCACAGTCTAAGCACACCACTACCGGATCTTCCGGACAAATAATACAAAACGAATCCTCATAGGAATCCACATCGAGTGGTGTATCGGGAAGCTTCTTGGACAGGATCCGCTCAATTTGTTCTGCTTCCTCGTCACTGCTGTCCACATCCATGCCACCATCCTTTTCTGTTAGCTTGCGGGATACTTTGGTTCTATCTGGTTTGGGCATTGGACTAGACGTACCGGAAGTGGAAATGCCCAGCGCTGCCGTTTCTGATTTCAGCCTTTGCAATCGCGCTTCCAGTTCCTTTATCAAATCCACATCATCATCTTCCAATTTTGCACGCTCTTTCATCTGTGCAATTAGGCTCTCGATTTCTTCCGACTCGGTTTTTTCCTCGGGAAATCGTAAAACCTACCGGTCCAAATCAGAGAAACAAAACACTAGCGAAAAAACATTAAAACGTTAGCGAACATGCTATTATTTATTTGAGTTTAGTTATATACTCGTGTTTGTTTGAGTTTAGTTTGAGTTTAGTTATATACTCGTGTTTGTTTGAGTTTAGTTTGAGTTTAGTTAGTTTAGTTAGTGAGTTTAGTTAGTTTGAGGTTAGTTTATATACAAATCCCAAAATCGCGAGTATCCATCGCATGCGATTATTTAATAAAAGAAATAATCTATATTAACACTCACATATCGACTGCGACATAGGTACAGTTACAACAGCATCTAGCTTTTTAACCCAACTCATAACTGTAATACGCAATACGATGGAATACAGAAAGTAAAAGTGAAATTGTTCGTAAAACATCTTACCGAATAGTCCGGCTGTCCAGACGTTCTGGCCGTGCTCGGATCCTGATCTCTCAGTTGAGCCAACTTCCCTCGAATCGCTTCTTCACTCAGAACAGGTTTAACCACAGCCATTTCTTCTTTCAATTTAACGAGTCGATCCCGAATATCATCCGTCTTCGCGTCAGGTTTTTGATTAGCCGCTGCGGCTTCCCTTTCTTGGGCTTCCCGCAACCATTTCGGACGATCATCAACGGCAGTCTGGGACCTATCTGACCGAGTTTTGTTCGAAGATTGGCCCACTGCGGCAGTTTGAGACATCTGCCCGCCATGGACAGATGGATTAGCAGCATTAGCAGCGCCGCGGTGCAATTGCTGTGCTTCTCGTAGCCATTTTGGTCGGTCATCATTGGGATCCTCCGCTTTCTTCTGCTGGCGAATACATGCAATACAGAAATGATGCTTGGCGTCTGCCTGACTAGAACGACAACAACTGGAGCACACTGTTCTATGGCAGCGATCGCATTTAACAGAGTTCCGCAGATTGGTGTAGGGTTGTCCACACATTACGCAGGTAGACATGGCTCCGATTTAAGATTGTACGATGCAGACTAATCTCGCTGTCAGTACTGCCTAATCTGTAAACACCTGTAAATACAACTGGACTCTCTAATCAAGAATTACCATATCACTAGTAAAAATGTACAATGTACTTCACTATTCTTCGCAGAACTGAAAACGAACTGAAAGTCTCAACGTTTCAACATCTTGAACTTTGCATTGCTATAACCAAAACAAATATGCAAATACAGATATACAGTAGGCATAACAAATCGGCGCACTATGTGCTGCATGTAAGTCTCATTTGCGGGCTATGTTAACCACGCTCAGTGCAAATAAGATGGACATCGTAATAGTAGATATTATCGAACGCGAAAATTAACAGTTATGAATGAAAATTTAAGTTATAGCATATGTGTCTATGAATCTTTATCGCAATCATGATGTGGTGCACTGGCATATCTCTGCACTTCAAACTTGTAACTTTTGTCAAAACCAAAACAAATACTTGATAAGTGGCGCACGCTTCCTCCCTGCGGGTGGCAGCATTGAAAAACGCTGGAACCATACAGTCAGGACTCAGAACATGTTTGAATTTTATCGCTCAGTGTGCGTTCCTCATTTTCCTGATCACGTTTTAATTTTTGTCTGTAATAGCGCTACTGTAAACTTCTTAACTGGAATCAAAATGCGTGGTATGCTGTTATGATAAAGTTTAATCAGATCTCAAAGCGCGATATGGAGAGCGTTCATGTGCATTTTGATTTATCTAGTGGGAGCCATCACGAGGGCAAAGTGAAGGCATCGCGACTGCTCTGTTAAAGTGAACATTTTGCAAGTGCTTGATTGCCCTGATTAAAGTTGCCACGACATAGTTGCAGGATGAAATATGCCGCAGCTCATAATTATTATGCTTTCTTTCGGCTTTCCGGGATGCCCTTGCGCAGGATTGATGGTTTCTGATTGTGGAGTTGGTTGCGTTTGCGAGTGCACGTGGACATGCCATGATCAAGCCAAATTGTTTCGTCAGTGAAAGTAAAAACTATGAAAGGCTGCACCACTTTTTATGAATTGTTGGCCACGGAAACATTATTGTTACGGACGCGATATCGATCAGGGACTGGGAGTGCATTATTCAACCGAAAGGAAGGTTAAGATAGTGCAGCCGGAAGCGTGCAGTACGCTCATGCTGATGTGTGGCATGGATATGCGAGCGGAAGCTGTGAGCAAACTGCAATTCAGAATAATAGATGTTGCGGTTTCGTGTGGTAGGAGAACGCGGTCTGATTGTTGAATCGCCCCTGTTTCTGGGCGGTAGTGTTTCGGGAAACACTTGCAGAGAAACTGATACGAGATGATAATCAGCGCAAAATTCCTGTTGGGAATTATCGTGATATCCTTTGTGGGATTTGTGACTTATTTTCAGCTATTCAGCTCCTCATCTCTTTTGGTTTTGATCTCATCGTCTTCTCGCGGCGTGTCGTTTGACGGAAACACCGGTAAGAGACATCGTTCAAGCAAGCTGTAGTGAATTTGTTGATTAATTTCTTATGGTAAATATCATAAAATTTTAAAGGTGGAGATGGTTTAATTGTTTCTGGACTACTTGAAGTTATAGAGATGTACAAGTAGGAAAATGTGCGCACGAGTGCAAATGATTGAATTTACTGTTTCGCTGATTAGTGATTACACAGTTGCACATTTCAGATTGGTTTACTAACGATACTAACAATGCTATAAGTTGCAAATTGTGCGCAATAAACTGCCGCTACATACGTATATTACTGACGAGTAACGACTGCCGAATTTGTATTTAGTTATCTAACATTAATTTTCTTAAAATCAGTTTTACTAATTGCTTTGTCATTAAATTAGAAATTTCAGTTGGTGCACGGTTGCACCTAACTTGTAAGCGTGAGCGGCAAAAATTGCGAATGCCTTTGATCATAAAGTCAGTGTGCCAGGGATTGTGCTAGCAATTTTTGCTTATCGACAATGCATACTTTTATGCGATTTGAAATGGCCGCTCATGTATTCGATTTCATAATCCGTATTTTACAAATGCGTGCATTTACCGTAATTTTTGCAGAAGTGATTCAGCTGGAAGCGGTAATAAGGAATGTCACAAACGCAACGGTTATTCAGATTGGATCAGTGTATCCCAGTTGCACAGGTATCTGAAATTGAAAATATATTTCGAATTCTTAATTCACATCGATTCTAGTTCGAAATTTTAAAACCCTTGAGTGTAAATTATGTCGACAAAAGTTGTTCCCAACACCAGTATTTTATCGCTGACCTTCACCATTTCCCAGAAAAATCTGCCAAAATCGGTACGGTTCTGATGCGGGACTTTGGCGATCATTCGAAAGAGGTCTGGCTGATCTTCCAGCTTCATCCGGAAAGAATTATAGATGCAGGCCTGCTGAAAGTGCGCGTCTTTCACAATTCAAGAAAGTTATATACAACACATTACGACGTGTGTAAAAGGTTTTTGCCTTCCTTGAAATGTCCACTTTCCATGGAAAGCCAGACTTTCGGCCTTCAGTACAAGCTTCCGTTTTTCATGTTTTCGGTGAGGTTAAAGATACGTAAAAATAAGTGAGACTGTAAAAAGAAATTTTTTCAAGGTATACAGACGCTGCACAGCAATGAAAAACTGCCTTTAGTAAAGGCCCTTTACGTTTTCTTGGTGTTCGGACAAATGCCTTTTTGCTGAGTTTTAAATTTTCCTCTTTTTTTAGGGAAATTATGGAATTGAAGCATGGACAGTTGACCAAAAGGACCACACATTTGCCTGTATTCTTGCCAATTTAACTGTTTGATTCCTTTGGCTGGAATTCCTCGCTGCATGCCTTGCTACTACGTGTATATGGCGTAATAAAGACATATTCTTGCTACAAAGTTATGGTTCTCCTGGATTTTGTCAAGAAACCTTCTGCAGAGGATTCTTCCGGTGGCATGAAGTGTTCCTTAACCGTTATCCTTTTTATTGTTGGTGACTTCAGTTTTGCAGTTTGAGTTCAGGTTGGAAGTGGGTGGGAATGTGCTGGGTTTAATTTATGCTTTTCGCCAGTGTTTGGTAACGGTGCTGTTTTGAAATTTGAAGTTTTAGTATTTGAATCATTACTGACAGTGAGATTTCAGTATACAATTCAGGATTTACACGTCAATAAATCAACATTCTGAATGACAAGATTTTCGTTGCAAAAAGTAAAACTTTAAAGTTATCAACACAGTCCGACGGTAACAACCGGTACAACGTGCACACAATGGTATCTATCACAGCCAGAAAACGAGTAAAAAAGCCGAAAAAAATAGTAAACTGAGGCGATCACTTGGATATCAAAGACTTTCGGCAAGCGTACGTCACTGTTGGGAGCACGACTGGAAAACTAAAGAAATAAAAAAAAAACACCCTGACAAAATAAGAATGTCAATAGCGCCAAATTGAGCGGAATGGGGGCTGTTTGGTGTTAGTATTAGGGTTAGTGCGACGCCTACTGGAAGACTCTCCCGGTGGCTGCAGCTGCTGTTCCTTGTTGCGAAACTGACTGGCAGGCAGCGGCTTCTTGGACGGTATGGCAATGGTTTTGCCCAGTGGATTAATGGTTTTAGCTAACTGGTCGTCACGTTCAAACATCTTCATCTTCTCGTTCAAATTCTCTGCGTTTTCCAGCCAGTCCGCAATCTGCCGTTGTAGTTTCGTACGCTTCTCGCTCGCTGGCATACCTGCTAATATAGCAAAAGACCTTTACCGTTAAATTCAATTGTACGGAACTGTTCAAAATCTGCATGAAAGACAAACCACCACATCCAACCGCTATATAACACCATATCGACTGCGAAAACGAACATTTGAATAACATATAAACATGTTTACAAACGTATTAGGCCAAACAAATTATTGAATTATATTGTACCGTGTACCACTGTACGAGATCATTATGACAGCCTGATAAACCATACCTCTGGTAAATCGCATAAGCCGCTCAATAGCCACTTCATAATATTCCATAGCCAACTTATAATGTCCTTGGTTTTCCTAATAGCGAAACATAAGTGTCCTTCATACTTGTAAACAGTAGACGTTTCGTGTACCATGTATTCTGCAGTGCTTCCTGATTCTAATGCAGCAATGATCGCTGGTTCAGTTTCGAATACTCTTTTCAGATAATCCATAGCATTCTCATCAATGAATTCGATATCGTGCCCAGGACTCGACAGCAATGGCAGTCGGCCTTCCGCTCGGATGGTCTTCTTAATTTCTTCCGTGCGTGCCATATAAGCTTGCACTTTCTCCTTGATAGTACGTTTTTTGGCCTCATCCGTTTCATCTAAAGTAAACAATGCACACTATTATCACAAATTCACAATTATTCAAAGAGGAGAAAAATAAATAACCTACATGTCAATACGGGAACAAGGTAATCCAAGCCAGCTAAATAATTCTTCACGGCATCTTCATAGCACTGCTTCTTATCAAAATCACCAGCGATTTTGCATAGGGATAACTGCAATTATTAACTGAATAAGCAAAAGAAAATACCGTACTAGAATTTAAAAAAACTTACGGCTTTCTCATAGTTGGAATCCGAAGGAAAATGCTCGAAGTCCAAAAACGGATGCTTAAAAAATTCTTCAAAAGATATGCGCTCGTTCGGATCGTGCTTGAGCAGTCTGTCGAGAAGATCGCGGCACTTGTCAGAGATCTTTATATCGGAAGGGAAGCTTATCGGGTATCCTTCGGCTATTTTGGCTAACAATTCTTCAAGCGTTCTCGAAGAGTATGGCGCTCGGCCAAATAAGCATTCTATAAATAGCACGGTATGTGTTGGTGCAGATTAACCAATATGACGCACTTTTAACAAGGTGTACCGCTTACCATAACAGATAACACCGATCGACCACAAATCGACACGTGCATCGTATCCTTTGCCAGAAAACATTTCCGGTGCCATATACAACGGTGAACCGCGCATATCGTTCGCTCCATCCGTTGCTTTCAGATACTGAGCGAATCCAAAGTCTAAACATTAATTTCATTTTATAACCATTACACAGCAGAGTTTATAATAATAGTATTGATGAATAAAAACGTTCTAACAAATTTGAAACCATTTCCTTAAAACACAAAATACTGAATGAAGTTATCAAGAAATGAACTTACCGGCGAGTTTTAAGAACGGTTCACGACTTGAGGAAAGCAAAATATTTTTTGGCTTTAGATCCATATGAGCAACATGCTTTGAGCGGAGAAACTGCATAGCTTTACCTGCAATTCAGCAAAAAATCTGACATAACTACTTAAAAACTGCAATACTACCAAATAAAGACAATAAAACGGAGTTAAAAGGCTTAGTCATTTTAGTAAGTAATGTTTCAGTTGCTGTACCACGCACCTATCTGCTGTACGAAGCGACGGCAAATCGCTTCCGGCAGACGTCTCCGCGTCCGGATAAAATTAGACAAATCACCGCCCGAACAATATTCCAGGATTAAATAGATGTTATCCGAATCCCACTACATAAAGTAACAGAAGCATAGACTTATATCAGGAATGTATACAAATTAAACGGCATGTTGTACAGCTTTAAGTAACCGGCCAAAGAACTCACAGTGAAATCTTTCATTTCAACGATGAAGTCGTGTTTTAGACTTTTCAGAATTTCAATCTCCAGTAAAATATTCTCTATCGATGCTTGATTAAGCCGGGCTTTCTGGATTTTCTTGATGGCCACGGTTTCATTCGTCGTCTAAATGGGAAACGAAATTTCCATCACAACTCAAAGTCTCAAACAGATAGTATCACAAAAAACTAACTAATCTAAACAAATACAGAAAATACAGGTACTCTGCCATACGAACCAGTGGAACCACCGATTTATAGCTGTTCAAGAAATGCATTGTTTTTATGTTATAAGAGAAAAATCATCAGCAGAGCCACGACGGATGATGAATGCCAAAACGATCACTAAAAACAGTAGCTCCTGTTTAATCGAATACAAGTACTTACTTTCCAGAATGCCTTGTAGACATTGGCGTATGATCCCGATCCCAGTCTTTCTTGGAGCACGAAATCCGTAATCAGTGGTCGTTGAGAAGTGGGACTTTTCGCTTCCCCACTTAAAGGGCGAAGATTGCGCGATGATCTCATTTTCGGTATTTACGAAAACACGCTAAATCGTTATAATGATTAATTAAGTCCTCAGCGTATAATAATATTGACCAGGCTGAATCAGGTAAGAAGTATGCAAATTGGGAACATGAGCCATTTACGGCGTGTAAGCTTGTTCAGTGGAACAAAAACACCACTTCAAGTCAGCTCTCGCGCAACAACGCATCTGGGCCATCTGAGTCTGCTCGTCATTCGACATGGTACTCTAACGGGATCACCAGGGTCAAACCATTTCACACCTCGGCATTGGGTCCATCATAAAACATGACCACAGTCAGCAAGATTAAAAGTGACTTTCAATGGATTTTCATTGAATCGTACAGTAGCTTTACTGTCGAGTTTATGCTGCTCATCTCAAGGGCCCAGAGGAAATTCGCAACCAGAAATGAGTCAACCACTTACGCGCGCAGCACACTATACCAACTACAGCTGAATCACACGATGACTAACCGTTTAAACGATTGATCGACTGGGCTAAAAAACGAGCGCAGCCACGAGCGAAATCAGTATGTGGGAACATGCGCTATGCTGTTCCAGATTTCTGCAGTTGAAAATCTGGAGAAGCGCCGCATACATACTGCTCCACAGGCCAGTCAACCATCCCGATTTCCCACAAATAATCATGTGGTGGCGAGTGACGTCACTGCGTCGATAGTGCTTCCGGTAAACCGTATCGTCAGGGCGGGTAACGTGGTCTGGCAGTGAACAAACAGCAACCGCCAGTCTTTTCCTTGCAATGTTATGGTTTCAAGTCAAGCTTCAAAACATCGAAAATAAACAATGATAATCATTTGGGTATTTTTCAAACTTTCATTGCGAGTTCAATAATAATTGTCCGTTTTTGTCCCTCCACCTCACCTTTTTGTAGTGAATAGAAATGTGAAGTATTAGTAATTAGCTGCTAACTTGTTACCGTTTATTCCTATCCTGTAGCTCATGTGGTGCAGTGGTACGATCTTGCGAAGTACTCCGAAGTGATATCCTTGGTTCATGGTACATCTGTCCTTTGCATTATTACTTACTTTTAAGCGATTGATGAACTGACTTATCTGCAATAAACAGATAATACGGTAACCATAAAAATGTCAGTTGAGAAATGGAGCATTTTTAATTTGCTCACCGCTGATGTGCGAGCGCGAATACGACTGTTTGCTGTTTTGGGAGCAAATGGGAACGAAGGTATTTACTAACCGTTTAGTGTTTACAGTACATAATTTGCTGCTTTCTTACGATTAATGAATTCTGTGCCAGTACTTTTTGGTATCTGGATTCTGAAATTTGTTATACATAATTTGTTTAGCCATTCATTTTACATTTGAAGCATTAATCCCACCTGAACGCACTTTATGTTGCTTTTTTGTCGTAGCGATATTCATTACGGATGATGACGAAGGTAAGGAGAGTTATGTATCGTACAGAATATTGATTTAATATGTATCTGTTTACGGTAGAAAAGCATCTGTATGATAAAATTTTAAAAATGTCCAGATCATGTTATTGTTAATGCACAAAGCTTGGTGGATAGAACGTAAAAGAAACATAGTTTTTGTGTTCAGCTGATTTATTGTTAGTATATGAATGGGCTTTTTCGTAGCGTTTGGCTTTGGGACGAACTACAGCTACTGCTTGGGATACGGCGACTATGGCGCGACACTTGAACCGCGAAGGATAGATGTGAGTAATCGTGATTTTAGGATCTGGTTAATTATTTCTGTTATGCGCTTAATTTTGCACCACAATTAAAGTTTCAGTGATTAGTTGCTAACTTGCACCTACAATTGGATACTGTTTATTCATGCAGGCATTGTGCGGGCAGAAAGTCAAAGCTTTCAGCTATGGAGCAAGTCCGCATGGTCAGTATAAACAAATTTGTTGCGTCTTCCATGAATCTTTGCAAATGCATTTGGCGGTTATTTATATATGCAGTTATGGCCATCACGGGTGAAGGCGCCGTATATGCTTGGGGCCACAATGGACATTCCCAACTGGGTAATGGTACACAGTCGCTGTCCAATGTTCCGGTATTATCCGGTGCGGGCTCTGGCATGCGCAATGTCGTCCGTGTGGCCTGTGGGAGTTTTCACACATTGGCTTTGACCGCGGAAGGAGAGGTGCGTTTTGTAATCTGCTCGCATTACAGTTGATTTGTTTACAACGAAAGTTGATATCGTCAGTATGTCTTAGCTAACGACTTTTGCTTCGCTGAATTACATTGTATGTGAAGGTTGTAATCTTAGTATTAAGATCAGTTTTTGTTGATGCAGGTATTTGCGTGGGGTCAGAATTCCTGTGGTCAGATCGGCTCGGGATGCTTAGCCAATCAAGCTCATCCTCGAAAAGTCACTGCTTGCATTGGGCCTTTCAAAGCTGTCGATATCGGTGGGTTAACTTGGTCATCGTTCGTCTTTTCTTGATTGCATGATAATACTGATATGCTCTGACATGCCTCAGTTTTAGCAACAGATGTTGCGGAACAATGCTCAGATGGCATATCTCTAATTGGTTTCTTTGTGCTGCTACGTGCCACGTAAAAGCAGTGCAAAAATGTTAGTCTTTTGTTAAGTTAGGGAGACCGGCCTGGATTATTGAAACCGGCCACTATGCTGTCTCATTATAAATTTCTTATTTACAGCTTGTTCTCAGTCTTCCTCCTTCGCAGTACTGGAAAACGGAGAGGTAAATTGTAAAATGTGCGTGCGTGGATGGTACCCTTTTTGAGCAACTCGGCTGTTTTGCGCAGATATACGCATGGGGATATAATGGGAATGGCCAGTTGGGATCTGGAAATGCCATCAATCAAGCCACGCCAAGTCGTTGTACGGCTTTGGCAGGCATTGTGGTGACACGGGTGGTATGCGGTTACGCACACATTTTAGGTAACCGAGTTCGACGAAAAGTTTAGACTGTATAGTTTTTTATTGTTGCGTGTTGAATAACGATGAACTGCTGTTGTTTGTAGCTCTTACTGACCAAGGGCATATTTATGCGTGGGGTGCAAACACTTACGGACAGTTGGGAAATGGGACGAAGTTGAATTCATCGATTCCTGTTCGAATTGCTCCGGATTTGGGACGTTTTATCGATATCGCAGCGGTTCATGCTGCTAGTATTAGTGCTGCCGTGACCGATACCGGGAAGGTTAGGGTCCTTGACAAATAACATAATCTTTATCGACGTCTTCGGCGCGCATATTCCAGTTCTTAACGTTTCTAAAGTACAGAGTTTCCGTAATTTGTATGCTTCACAGCTGCAGAATGTAATAGTCGGGATGTATCATTCGACGGAAAAGCTAACCATTCTGTGGTGCACTCTTTCGTTTATAACGTTGCGTTTTGCAAGCGCTTAGTATATGTGCTTGAAGAGGTTCGATTTTATAACTGTCAGTAATTTTCCGATGTCGATCACGATTATTTTGAGTTGGTGTAAAAGTATCCATTGCAATCTAGTATTAACGTTATAACGATTGTAGGTATATATGTGGGGTCAAGTTCGCGGGCAGTTCGTCACAGTTCCTCTGGAATCGCCGTTTGACAATCTTGACGATGTTTTCGCATGCTGTAGTCATCCGGCTATCACTTTTCGGGCTATTCAAACTAAAAAGAGCATGCTGAAAGATTTGGTTGCTGCTGCATTTAATGATGAAGTAATTTGATTTTGGCAGAGTTAAAATTTTGACTAGTGGCAAGGCTTGAAACGAACTGGATAACTGGATATTGCGATTTGCAGAATACAGCAGATATTCGTTTTGTGTGCGACGATGCGCCGGATCGTCCGATTTTTTGTCACAAATCCATCCTGAGAATACGATGTCTGTATTTTCAAAAGATGTTCGCGGAGCCATGGAGTGACCGCGAAAAGGAAATCATCACCGTGCAAGATTATCCTTACAAAGTGTATTTTGCCTTTTTGAAGTATTTATACACGGAGACCGTCAGTCTGGGGACCGATGAAGTGTTGCAATTATTGGATTTGGCTAATGCGTACTGTGAAGAGAATCTGATGCATGACTGCACAAACCTGATCAAGCACGGTAAGCTTGCCATTTTACTGTGCAACAAACGTTTTATATGGTAATGTATAACTTGTACAATGTTGACCTTTGTAGGTGTGGACAGTGCGAACGCTGCATTTATATACGACTATGCGCTGCGGTTTAATGCCAAGGAACTCGAGGAGTACTGTTTCCGGTACATGCTGAATCATATGACTGAGATTACGCAGACTAAAACTTTCTTGAAGCTGGATGAGACAACCGTAAAGGTATGCGCGTTCAGATCTGAGAAATTTATTAGCAGTAATACAAATACAGTACTTACGTTTATTTTGACCGTATTGTTAACAGTTTATAATAATATATATATTATATTATATTTATATTTATATTATTACAAATATTTTTTCCTTTGACTTTATGAACATGCTGTTGATGCTTTATCGTCTTCATTATTGCAGAATTTTATCACAAAGGCATCACAGAATGGAGCTTTCAGGACCTAGTAGAAGTCGCATTAACCGAAAATCGGTAATTGATTGGCGAAATCGTAAACAGCAAATCTTCGAAGTCATTGTCTGTGGCAAGATTAACAGCATGTATTAGTTTATACAATGTACTCGTATAAGAAACGTGCTTTGGTACACTAGAGCCATGAATCTTACATGTAAAATTCTTAGAAAATCTGTTGATGATTCTGATTGCGCTGACGAAGAAAGGTCACAATAACTTTTGTACAACGACTTCCTTGGATGTAATAGCATGATGAATAGCTGCTGGGACTTTTTGTACGGAATTTCAAATGCGCTATGTGGCATTTATATTGTATTTATTAATGACTCATGCTGACGCTGATTTCTGCATAAAGCACACCGCGGTGACATCTATCCATAAGATTTTCCGAAACCTTTGCAATAACCGGAAGCCGAGTGGTATCCTTATGGATTAACCAAGGCACGGTTTTTTGTGTGCGGTTGAATGTTTTGATCATGACACATTCTTCACCTAAGACAGCAAACGTGCATTTTCCGTTAGAGACTTGGCTGTACGAAGCAATACTTTTGAACTGCCGACGCATATTTTGGGATGGCATCACTTTTATGCATATCCGTTTGTGTGTTTATCTTTCGGCAGTGCCATTGCAGAGCATATTGATCATCTGTATAGAAAAGTATTAAAAAATCAAACAATACAAGCACAATTTCGGCAAATTTTTCGCTGAGGTCTTTAATATCATTTACCAGTCCGTGGCATATATTATATCGTCGCCTAACCTTGGTGAAGATCATTATCAAAAAATTGCTGAAAAAGTATAGGCAAAAAATTGTGTTGTGTATAGTTTGTGTTGCCGGTCTAACTTACTGCTGACTTACAATCTGTACTAAGCGTGATTATTATTTATTTTCAAAAATGGCGAATTTACTTTTCTCTGTGCTTTCGGTCTTACTTTTTATCACAAATGCATTTGGAGAAAACATTGTAAGTTTAATTACTGTAACATCGAATTCAGTGTATTTTTGTCAGTGCTTACCCCGATTTACCGTTGGAATTTCTGGCTGCAGGTAAAACGTCAGGTCGCACTTACGCCTACTTGTGGTCAGTCGTTATATACTGGAATAACGTACGAACAAGCGCCCCCTGGAACATTCATTGTAAAAGCCACAGCAACCTCGCCAGTAGGAAACCAAATGACATGGTCCATACAGGATACCACTTTTGGGCGATTTTCTATCAATCCAGTCACGGGTGATGTCAGTGTAGCTGGATCACTTGCACGAACGGCTATGCAGCGTTCTGCATTGGAATTCCGAATTCGCGCCACCGATACTTCTAACCAGCTGGTAATAATAACTACTGAGTAAATACTAATTGTATAGAAAACTGCAATGTATGTTTGTGTGTACGTGTATACGATAATTATGTTTTCTTTACGATAATCCCAGATAATAATCAAGTAACGAATTTTATTTCTGTACAAAACTGTCCGGCATGCTATGATATTATTAAAATAATGATTGGATATTGCTTTTGAAATTATGATTACAAGTGTTAATTTAGTCAGGAGTCCATGTACACTATACAGAGTAAGTTTAAATTTTTGCTACTTTAATATGAAATTTGTCCTTCTCAACTTCGCTGGGTTTACGAACTGTATTTTACATGATTAAGAGGTTTTGTATTTTATAGCGTTATTTCTTTCCAGTATTGCGAAAGTACAGTGCGCGTAAACGTTCAACCGGGCGCCGGATCCGGAACCACCCAACCCGTAAATCAACTGTACTTCTCCCAAGCTGCCTACACTTTTACCGTGGGTACCGTTACATATGGAACGCCAATTGGCCAGGTGTCGGTTAACGCCAATGGGCAGTACGTCACCTACAGCATCACCGGCACCAATCAGTTCAGCATCAACGCTCAAACGGGTCAAATCACCGCCAACAGCAACTTGGCAGCCGGGACCTACACCTTCACCGTCACAGCGCAGAGCTCCAACGGCGGCACGGCCACCACGACAGTTACCGTGCAGGTGACCTCTGGTGGTCAGCAGTTCACACCGCCCAGCTTCTCCCAAACCTCGTACAGCGTCCAGGTGCGTTAAATAGCCTTACCAGGTTAACTGAAATATGTACGAGTAAGATGAAAAGCATTCATCATTAACAGTACGTACTGTGAAATGTAAACGTCGCAGAACAGCGCACAACTGCACTACGAGTGAGTCCCTTACTTCTTAGAAGTTAAAATCATGTATGCAAATTTTTGAGAAGTTACAGACTTATATACAGTACGTAGAGTAAAAATACATTTAATCACTTAAACTTTTTAAAATTAATCGCAGACAATGCGTTAAGGCGATACTGACTATAAGATATTTCCAGATTCTGCCTTTAAAAGAATTTGCTGCTTTGCAAATAATAATAAATATATTAACGTTCATAACGATTTTATGACAATATAATGATATGATATTCCGCACAATGCATTAAGACTGCAATTCGCAGCAGTTCTAATGCAGTTGTATTAGCAGATCAACTTTGGCATGTAAAATTAATATGCATTAGTACATTTGCAGACTGCATCCAGACATACAGAGTAGCTGCGGCTATTAGCGTTAGTTGTTTCACTTGTTTGTATTTAAGAGGTTTTGCTTTAATTAGGTGAGCAGTTGTTCAGCCGGTACTCAAGTGGCCCAAGTGCAAGCCGGTGGCTCCGCGACAACACCGACACAGTATTCGTTAACTGGAACATCTCTTTTCGCCATTGATCCAAGCAGCGGAAACCTCAGTGTAGCCCAGAATATCCAATCCGGAAGTTACACTTTTCAGATTTTTGCCACTTCGGTGGCTGGGCAGGCTACGGCCACTGTTACCGCTGTGGTTAGCTGCAGTACGCAAGGCAACGCCAACAATCAGCAATACTATTTCACAAGTGGAAGCTGTCCTGCTGGCACTCAGCTAGGCAGTATTTGCGCTAATCCGGTTTATGGAAAATAGTTATTTTCCATCTCTGTGATAACTATGCATGTCTAATGCCACCAGAATATCATTACATTATCGAATTATCTATTAATTATATAATATTGTCCGATGGCGTTTTTTACAATGGTGTTACATCCGTATTGCGGGCGGAGTGCTGGACACTCTGGTACTACGAAAAACTTTCCAGATAAATTTTGTTCGAGATTCGAAGAAAATCGGTTTCGCTAAGCTACCATCATGCTGTTGATCCGGGTAGTTCATAGACATAATGCACCCAGTTTACAATACAAATCCCCCGCAAGTCGCTCTGTAAGTGACTTATTAGTTTACGCCCTCTATGTCCTAAGTACAGGCGGGCGCATAACCGAAAAAATTTCGTCTAAATTCGCCGCCGGTGGTGCTGTTCCCATTATACAGATGTAGATGTAGATGCCGTATTTCCTCGCTGAATTTCTATGCTGATCCGTTCACACAAAAACTCTGTTGCTCGCGGTTCGCCCGATTGCGAACAGGCCCTGGTTGCTAAAGGCGATGATCATGTAACGCACCGTCAAATTAACCGCCACATCAATTAGGAAGTAGCAGCTAGAGTAGCAAGAGAACCAGTTCCTGCGAAATTAATGTGCGTAATTAACCAGCTGCTATCTCTTGATGTGTTGCAGCAAAACTCCAACAATCAGTTAATTGAAATGCAGAATATTAAGCAGTCTTCTGCGTACAGGCACGTACTCTGTGCGTATTTGAACATACGTAGAAAATTACAAATTCCGTGCTTGCAAACTTGCGCGTAGGTCAACCAAGAAACTGTTGTTCGAACAAAACATTTTAATAATTAGCTGATGGCGACGCCACCTTGCTAATTATGCTAATTACTTAAATACTAATCATGATTATCTGCAGCTCGATACGTCCTCAAACTGTCCTATGTCCTTCGAATTGAGTTGAATCGGAAGTTTGTCAGCTCATGCTGCGTAATCGCTGCAGGTTTTGCCGGCAACACGACGAATTTAGTGTGCATAACTGATGTAGCCATAAGCACAATTATGTATGATTAATCTACTTTTCTGCATGCAATAGCTTTGCCGTGAATTGACTAGAGTAGTGAACATCACTACCAAGTGCAGAACCGCCTGGAGCTGATCTATTACACACGAGTAGACTGTTCATTTGGATAATTATTATACAGAAACATTTCTGTACTTACTTAAACACTGCATGGCGTCTTTATATACGTAGTGTCTATTATTATTGATACCAACAAATCAGGAAGGAGTTATTAAGACTTAAGTATAACCTACACATATGGGCACCCAATTTTGTAGTAACACTACTTACAATTAGACGTGGGACTGATTTAAAGCTGCATTCATGAAGTCTGTACTAAAGGTCACCGACGGCGCCCGTTCTTGTGACAAATCATATGATTCCCTAACCACGACGACATTTCTCTCGACACTTATTGTGGCACTGACCACATGGTTTACTGCTGGTTACAGTTATGCACAGGTCAACATCCCACAGAATCTGATCATACGATGGATTCGGCAGATTCAGTGCTTGCGAATTTCGACACCGATCGTTAATACTTCTGTGCAACAAAGTATGCGGATAACGCCTAACGCCACACACCCTGAAAACTTGCTGTGGTGCTCTTTTGTCCCCGACAACGAAACATCCTTGCATCTGCGTCATAATATTAGTCTAAGTGTTATTTGGGGTCTGATAGGATGTTCGGTGATGCTAGGGGTTTTTGTTGGCGCACTAGTGACGAACAACTTAGTCGAACGGTTCGGATTTCGCAAAGCATTCTTGATCAGCAATGTTACTGGAGTTATTGGGAGTTCGGCCGCTGCAAGTGTCGTATTTGCACCGTCATTTGAGATATTCATTATAGGTAAGTTTGACCGTATGCTTTCAGATACTACTCGTACTCGTAGTACTGTATATAGATATTTTATTATGTTGTCCGCATAGACTACTCGTACCTTTTCTCATGTCAATTAATCTGTAATAGCGAATACGCAAGCGAATTACTCAAGGCAGTACTAAATACTAATCGTACCTGAAGATTACCTTGTACTGAAGAAAAGCTTAATCCAATTTGAGTTTTTGTACAATTCAAGAACGGCAGGATATTTAATACTATTTAGAATCTTTAATATCAGATTATTCTGAATTCTAGTGCAGAATCGCATTTTGTAGGACGTTTGATTTTCGGAGTGGGAGCCGGTTTCGGAACTTCCGCCTGCGTTGTGTACGCAGCCGAGATTAGTCCAATAAAGTATCGCGGTGTGCTGAGCGTCCTCATCGCCTCTTCACTCAGTTGCGGGATGTTAGTGGCCGACATACTCGGGCTGCCTGCGTTCTTGGGAAATGAGAATTACTGGCAGCACATGACATGGCTACTTCTGGCACCCAACTTCGTTTTTTTCTTGTCGTACACGCTGCTACCGGAAAGTCCGCGCTGGCTGGGCCGAAATGTACGCGGCACTGCAAAATTAACAGCAACACTCCGACGTCTTCGTCATACGAACAACGTGGACAACGAAGTAGCGATGATAACGAAAGTAGCCATGAAAACGAAAGTAGCCACGAAAACGAAGTGCAGCACGCAGAAAAACTGTCGCAGAAGCGCGTATCGATTCTTGGCCTGTTTCGGGAGCCATTTCTGCGCAGAAATATCACGGTGTGTTTACTGGCCATCTCTGCCCAGCGGCTTACCGGGTTTCCCGCAATTTTTGTCTATTCTACCGAAATCTTTCGCATGTGTGGCTTAGCTAAAGAGATCTCCTCGTATGGATCAGTGGCATTGGCGGGACTTCAAGTTCTGGTGGCAATCCTTGGTTCACTGTTATTGGATAAAGTCGGGCGGCGACCGGTTCTTTTAACCGGTCTCTTCGGCTGTGCCCTCTGTACACTTGCTATGGTCACCTTTGCGGCACTATCCGGATTCAACATCTGCACTGAGTGCCGTTATGGGAATCTGGTCGCGTTAATGTTCTTTATGATTTTCTTCGTTATCGGACCGGCGAGTGTGCCGTATCTCCTGCCGGCGGAAATGTTCGGACTGACATCGCGACAATCCGCATCCGCCTTGGTGCTGGTCGTCAGCCTGGCTCTGTCAACGATTATCACGGCGGTCTTTCCTATTATGCAAGTATATTTGATGGAGTGGACCTTCACAATTTTCAGCGCTATTACGCTAGTGCTGGCACTGTTCCTTTCGGTTACACTGACCGAAACGAAAGGGGAATCGTTTTTGGAAATACAGAAAAAACTGGAGGACAATTTTTTGGGGAATTAGGGATAATGACAAAGGGTCCTCCTTAACGCCTAGCAGCAATGACAGTACTACCGCAGAGTCTGCTTGAATCGCTATAATAACTGCAGCCTGAACTTCAAGTTCGAAGGAAAGGTTTAAAGTTGTAACTCGAAGAGAAACTGAAATAACCTACTAAATTACTACAGTAATTGAAATAACCTACTAAAGTAAGTTGGAAGGCGCCTTTGTTTAGACAATCTAACAGGCGATGTACGTATGATATGCCATATATTATTATTGTATATGGCAGTAAAGCATTTTGTTACGTGGCTAAAGCACTTAATGCTGTCATGTACTAACTTGACCTTTGACAGGTTCTTGTATATCTTAATTATTGTTCTGTACGATTATGTAAATTGTTCATTTGTTTTAAGTAAGATAAATTAACAGAAAGCAGCGATGTATGCTGTAGTACGAGAAATATGTTTATTTCAAATATTACTTAGTGTTTATTTTGATATATGGCCGGGATATGCAAGTTTTATCCATAGACAAATATTTTTGCTGGTGACATTCTTGGTGGTCAGTTGCTTATTTCCGATGTGCCGACACATATACAACTGCACCTGTAAATCCAGCTGTACAATGTCATCGAACAATGAACAATTGCGTATAATGCGGTACTTGTACAGTACATACTCGTAACTCGTACATAATTGCCAATTGTAAATGGTGGCTATTGGCTGCTATTAAAATCGTAATTAGTAAAAGTGCTATTCAAACGTCCTACAATATCTGTAACCACTACAGTTGCAAATACAGGTACTGTATTAGAATTTTTTAAAAGTAGTACTGGAAGCGCTAATTATTTTATGATTTTTGATTATTGCCGCGCGGTCTAATGGATAATGGTAATTTATACCCGTAGTTGTAACACTAGCGCTTGCACACGTTACCGCAACTGTAGAATTTTATTCTTTAGCAGGCATTTACCTATTCCGGCAAACCTATTAGGTGCAATACTTGCTCATACTGATGAAATTTAAAAACATGTGGAGTAAGCAATAAAATTCAAATACAGGAAACAAATGGGAAGCAAAAGAACAAACACGAGAAATGACGATATTCAAACACTTCTTTGGAAACAGTGAAAGATTATCTATAACCTTTTGTAACAGGACCGGATTTCATTGTGGATTTGTTAGCTCACTATTGTCAGCAATCCCACTATAAATGCCAGCCGGCTGCATGAACACATGTCATAGAAGGCAAAATACTAATATGAAAAATTGGGCAATGTTGCATAGAGTCGTATGGAATCCTCCACTGGGAATTAGCATTTAGATCGTGAATGAAGTGAATTGTTAGAAAGTATATAGTTTTATTGTGACTACGTGCTGCGCAGATCCGCAAATTTGGATACTTATACGAAACCTGAACCCAAAAGTCTTATAAGAGCAATCTCCCAAAATTCGTGTTCATAAACGTGCAAAACATGGCAACCAAGACTTTTTCCGTTGTTTTAATGCTGTTCTCGCTATCCTGGCCAATCGATGGGGTAAGTAATTACGAATAAGTTAAAGTTAAATAGATAATTATTTTCGACTTATCTCGTAGTGCAGATTTCACAACGTGCTAGAGTTCACATTGTGGACTACGTAATGTACGAGTACATAGGCAGGTATTCAAGTGCTCAGTCCACTACGATCGACGAGTACATGCTGAGTAATGCGGAAGATATTCCTTTTTTGAAACAGAACCTAAAAATCAGCAAGCGTCAGATATCCTCCACACCGACGTGTGGACAGTCGCTATACACGGGAATAGTAAACGAAAACAGTCCGCCCGGCACATTTGTGGTACAAGCCACCGCCACTTCGACAACTGGACAGCAGCTCGTTTGGTCCATTCAAGATACCACGTTCCAACGATTTTCTATAAATCCAGCCACGGGAGCGGTGAGCGTTGCTGGATCACTGGCTCGCATGTCCATGCAGCGCTCGGCCTTGGAATTCCGCATCAGAGCAACCGATCCAATTACCCAACTGGTAAGAAAACACGGTGACCTTTGTGGCGCTAACCGCTACTCGAGTAGTAGTTGTTTAGCTTTGGCAGAAAGTGTGATTCCCCATCGTAAATGCGGAACATGTGCAAATCTAAACTTTAAGTAAAAATATGACAAATTTAAACTCTGCGTAGTATATTTATTTGTAAAAATAACTAGCACTACCCAGTAAAGTGTAGAATAGAACTGGGCAAAATGTGCAAGCATGTATTAATGGTGCCGCTGCTTTATTTTGGCATACTGACAAGTGAGTTTCAATAATTTTTTTGCGTTCGCTTGTTTTTTTTCTCAGTATTTGCCTAAGTTTGTATGTACATATTAATTATCCATTGTAGTATTGCGAAAGTACGGTAAGAATCAACGTCCTTCCGACCAGCGGTACCACCGGCACCGGAACCCAACCCACATTCGGGCAAAGCAGCTATACCTTCGTTGTCGGCCAGGCGACATACGGCACGCCTGTAGGACAAGTCTCTATAACCAACCCTGTCGGCACAACACTCTATCTTCTGTCCGGAACCTCCTCCTTCGCCATCAATCCGCAAACGGGTCAAATCACCGCTAACGCCAATCTCAGTCCCGGCGTATACACCTTCACCGTAAACAGTCAGAATCAGTATGGCACTGGGATAGCCACGGTAACGGTGCAAGTGACCAGCAGTTCAACAGGTACCGGTGCTGTGACCTTTCCACAGACATCCTATACGTTCTCCACCAGTAGCTGCCAAGCCGGTGTGCCGGTAGCCCAGATTGCGGCCAGCAGCACAGTGGGAGCGATACCGTATTATTCCATCACCGGAAGTAGTCTGTTCACGGTGAATGCCCAGTCGGGGCAGATCTCGGCGGCGACTAACCTTAATCCGGGAGTGTACACGTTTAATGTGGTGGCTACGTCACCGACGACAGGGCAGAGCGCTACGGCGACCGTCACACTAACCGTCGCCTCGTGTTCGACTACAGGTACGACCGGAACTAGCCCGAGTTTCTCCCAGTCCTCGTATACGGTTTCCGCAACTTCCTGCACGCCAGGTAGGGCATCACATGATCAATAACTAATTGTCGAAGGTCATGACGTTTTGTGTTTTAGGCGCTACCATCGTGCAAGTAAGTTCGTTCTGAGAAAACCTTCCAGTTACTGTAGCTAAGTAAAAATAATATAAGACGCAATATAGTATATGCGAACAAAGAAGCCTACAAAACCGCATTAAATTCAGATACCTTCAAAGGGAATCAGCACGTACAGCCTTTATTACTTTTTGCTTTCGTCATATCTTTTGCAGCTAGGTATCTGGTTAATCATGCAAAGAAGTACATGGAGATTCAGGTTAACAGATTTTGATTTGACTATATAATGTTGACACTCCAGTATTGCTAATGAATTATTACTCTAGGAATTTATGTAAGCTTTTACTAAAAAATGTTGTAACTGGAAGTAACAGAACTATGAAGGCACGGAAAACTACACCTGGACCAAAGGCAAACGCTAACAGTTTGAAGTTTTGAACAGACGCAGTACGCACTATTAAAATCGTGCATAGTCGTAACTGCTTGATGAATCATGTATCAGTGATCCAAGATTACCAGCATCCCGGTGGTAAATGAGTTATATAACAGCATAAATGCGCACGATTACTTACAAAACCATATAATTTTGTGTATATTCTTGTGTAAATTTAGGTTCAAGCAGGCGGCGCCCCATCGACATATTATTTATCCGGTACATCCCAGTTCAGTATTAATCCATCCACTGGCATGCTGACTGCATCCCAGAATCTAGCTACCGGAACGTATACATTCCAGATTATTGCGCAAAACACGTACGGGCAAGCCACGGCAACACTTACCATTAACGCTAACTGCGGTACTTCAACATTCCCGTCTGGACAATATTATGTCACACAAGGCACATGCCCAGCGGGATCGCAGCTGGGAAGTATATGCTCCAGGACGTTCGGCTGATTAGCAAGAGAGGAAGTCCGTATTATACTGTAGTTTCTATGGCTTTTTACTTCGTTTCATTTGTGAACAGTACAGATAGAACTGTCGATACAATCTCATAATCATTTTATCCCACCAGCCATCTCTAACATTATCTGTGTCAGTTTTGTTAGTTTCAGCAATTAATTTTTCTTGCCAAAAGAGAATCTGAAACTTTAAAATAGAAAATTTTCCATGGATTGTAACTTGCAACACTGAAATTTTAATGCAAGTACAACGTACACAGCTAACTACTCGTAGCCTAATTAGCCGATACGTATTCCACTGGGCTTCCGCGCTTTTGTGAACATTTCCATTGGGCGACCGAAATTTTTGTTTAGCTGTGTGAATACAATCAATAATTCAATATACACAGCTTTGTATAACGCAGCTATATCATAATATCGATAAACATAATAAATATGTATTCTGCAGCACTTGTAATACGGTACGTGTAGCAGTGTAGCTAGTGTAACGAGTATACAGTTCAAGCGTAAGTTGTGGTAACTAGGAGAGAAATTGAACAAAACAATTCTTTCACATAGTTAATGCATACTCAGGTAATAGATTACCAACGTAAATACTTTTAATACGAAATTTACCGAACTTGCTTTTTACTCAGAAAATATTTGGAGTCGTCGCCTAATGAACACTGAAAACATACAACCGTTACGTGTAATGTCAGAACAAAATGTTTTGGCTGTGCCGGCTGAACAAATCCCTATGCATATGTGTACAGGCGTTTCTGTGTGTGGTCAAAGGAAATTCAAAGGATAAATAAAAAATTTAGTATTTGGACGTTACCCTCGACAGCGAAAGCGTCCGCAGCATTAACGGACACTTTTATCTAATTCCCATAATGTACAAGTGGTGTAAATTATTTATGTAGTGTAGTGCGCGAAGCTCAAGTACTCTTTTATACGTCGGTAGTTAAACTGTCAGAAATAGAAATACAAGTGTGTTACGCCAAAGAACTGAATGCCGGGAATGAGGAATCAATAAAAGCTGTAAATAACCTGGATTCTGTTATGCATAACTGGATTACATAGAATCCTAATTATACACAACATTCGTAATAAACGTAAAAACAAGTACATTAATCCCTTTCAGATGATAGGGAAAAAGTTTTCTCGTTTTTGTTACGTCGTTTTGTTCACCAAAGCATTACGCACACAAGGGACCCTCGCACCGGGCCCGTATATGCGTACGAAAAAGTAGAAACTCCGGATAATGGATCCGTATTCCATAGCGTATTGAAAGGGCCCTGGTCTAATGGGTTCATCGAATATTATATTCCGTGACCGCCATAGTAATCATAACAAGGAAGCTCCTGCCGGTTCAATCAATGCTAATCACCCACGAATCCCAGACATTACAGACTCGCAAAGTAATAATCTAAGTAGTAAATGATTTCTATTTACGTAAGTACGAACGCGCGACTCGCCGGTATGTGAGCATTGCAGCATTGGACTACTACGTATACGTACGTTGCTGGCTGCTTGTACACGGGAAGCATGTGTTGCATATAAGGATTCTGTTTCTGCCACACTGCCACACTACATCCCATCCATTTTCTTGTTGATGACGGAAATTGACGGAGTGACTGAACTTCTACCGACCTTGTTTTCTTCAGAAAACTGCGTAGATGTATTATGTTGCAATTTGGTGATCGGATATATCGTATAACCGTCTTAACAGAATCAAGTATATAACTAATAATTATGCTTCGCTTTGTGGAAATTTTGGTGTTTGTCTGTGTCGCCGGTGCCATATCATCTGCCGCATCTGTCCACCGTGAGAAAAGGGCATTTCGAATGTTGGACAAGGACAGTATGGTATTGTTGCGGAAGCTGCTGCAGATGCATCGGGAAGGCGCATATGAGACCGAGAGCGGGGAAAGCACCATGGAAATGCCCACTACTGCCGTGCCGATAATCATACAGGAAGCGCCCAAACGACCAGTGACCACGGGACTATACGATGCACCGGGAGAACGGCCGCTGAAAACCAATTACCTGCATCTGCGTTTTGGATAAATGATGTACCACAAGTAGATACAATGGTGTCTGACAATTGTGAGGTGAACTAGATTGTCTAATGAATTATCGTCCCAGTTGTTATTCGCATCCATATAATAACCTAAAAAATGCAGTTCTGATTTTTGTATCATCTTTTTCGTAATCTTAATAATGCAGTCCGCATGCTTGCCTATGTGACACGATTATTGTCAAAGGTCACCTCAGTTCCGTACCGGCATTCAATGTTGCTCGTAAATAAAAATGGTAATTTGGTCCGTTTTCGAGGTTGCGAAGTAGTATGAAAATCTGTAACGATTGTGGTTTTGTGAATACTTAGGTATTACTGTCCATGACGATATTTACAAGCATAAATTGCGCGGCAGTAGCAGTGAATACATAGATAGGGCCTTTGTACTCGCAAGAGAAAACAGAAGCGTCTAAACATCTGTAGTATAAATTTATTGGCATTATAAAGGAAACTTATATTACACATCACATTGTTATCATGGAGGTGCCTCTGCTCTGTGAAACTCTTATATCGAAACTCCACATGCAAATTAAACCGGAAGTTCAACGCGAACGAGATCTCAATCTGACCATTTTCAAAAACTTCTAATAGAACGGCTTTTCTGCGTTAAAAAAATGCATAGCATCGCTTAGCACCAAAGCAAGGATCTTATTGCCTAACTGCTGCTTATCATCTCCCAGAATTCTTCCTACGTGAGCGATGGCTTCTTCCTGATGTCCCTCATCGTCAGCTCCCTCAGCAATACTCAGCGCATTTGCCAAAGTCCAGTAACAAACCCGAAACGTGTCCAAAGTTAATAACTTTTCAAGTTCCTGGCGGCGAGCTTCCAGTAACCAATACTTGGAGGGCGGCTTGGAAAGACGAGCACTACTAACTAAAAAATATTATGAAAATTAACGGTAAACCCAGAAAGCAACCAGATGTGGTATAACATTGTCATTAGTAAAACAAAATTCTTAACTCTACATCGATCGAAATTACCAAAAGACGAAGGTTTATAACAAATCCACTTACGGCTCTCATCGGAATCGGAGCCAACCAACGTCACGGTATCGCTTAGCGCTGATGGGAGCCCATTGGATGCGTCAGTTATGGAGAGTTCACTCCGTGCTGAACCGCCAATATCGACTTCCGGCATTTCTTCCTAAAGTCATACCAGAAATTTATGATAAATCACAAATTTTACCCACCCCACGGGTATAACGCATTCGAAATTTGTGACCCTGTAAAAATTCCTACTGGAAAAAGCAAAAACCAGGATTTAATGTACACTTAATTATCAGTCTGGTTGTAACTTTATGCTAATAAACAACTAATTCGAACAGCATTACAGCAAAATGCCGAAAGCAACTACAAACAAAGATATAACTGTAATGGTATTTCTTAAAAAGCGTACCCAGTACTATAACAATGTGTCTTGAAGGCGTACTGAACATTTTTTTGTATTGGTTCGACCAGTTCGGCATACAGGCATAAAGTACAAGTAAAGCCTAATTAGTTGATCCACATTATTATGACACTGTGCCCGCAGCCATTGACCTTCCCTTTTACCTCAACGTCTGGTTCCTTCGACACTGACGCAACCCAGTCAGAAATCTCTTTTCGCACAGCCGCCGCCAAGTTAATCCCATTTTGCGAGCGGGCACTGACAGGCCGCGACGTCGGCGCACTTGTGCAGCCCATGTCGTTAACATGCGCCGCCTCCGGCTGCAATTCTCCATCGTGAATTTCCTTATTATGCCGATTCACTTCATCAGAAAATTCCCCATCAGAAATTCGTTCACGTGCCAATTCCGTATTGCCATCAGCCAGTCCATCGCCCGTGGTTACAGAGCGTGGCGTCATGTCGCACTCCACGTCCCGAATGGAGGGAAAGTCGTCCATTCGGGGGAAAATAATCCTGGTGGCATCTAACTGGCTGCCGGATTCTTTGCAATGCAAGACAACCATGTCAGCGCTGGTGGTCAAATCCATTTGCGAGGCGGTCATCTCCGGATTCATGGCGTGAATGGAACTCAAACGGATCGGCTCGTTGTGCCACTGCGGTCGAGGTTTTTCGGACACATGCGAGGCGCATCGGGAAACCGGAATCCCGAGAGGAATGGCTGAACCAACACTGGCCGAATCCACATCTGCAATTTCGATCGACTGGATGTGGTCGTTAAAAGGTGCACGAAGTGGGGAAAAGGCGGTACTGTCCAGGCTGGTGGAGCGCTCACGAAGCGGCGTATTTGTCGCCCTAGCAATGCACAATTTATGCAAATTTTTTAACTGAGCAGAAGACACCACAATAATGAGGTCCGAATACGCGGTGGCAATGCGTAATGACAACTTAAACATTATGGCAATTCCTCCAACTGAACCGTAGTTTTCAATGAACAATCCTACTTACAAAAAAATAAGAAAAATTAGTCCCAATAAATACTGAAAATTCAAAAATGGAGCTGAAATCGCATGAGTACCACGCATGAGTGCGGCACACAAAGTGCCCCTTACTAAATAAATTTGTTGCGTTCGTGCCTGTATTGCGTACAGAGCGATTACACACATTCAACAACTTTAAAAATGTGTACTTCCTTAGGCTGCAAAAATACGCATTCGGAAAATAGATGAGCCACTACACAAAACGAACCCTTTCATCACTGCATATTCTTCCGTTTCAAAATCAATGGCGCGAGGGGTCAAGTCTTCCGCGGAACTGGACATCCACGATGAACTCTCCGTCGTGGTCCCGGTCGACCGTTGCGATTTCAGATCCAGTGCCCTCTGCCTCCGTGCCACCGCCTTCCGCTCCGCTTCCTTACTGCGCAATGCCGCTTTGCGAATCCGTTCCGGATCCAACTGTGTTCCCGATGTTATCGTTCGTGTCCGCGTCCTCGTGCGCTGCAATGACTGCATATACGGTGAGGAGGTCGGCGCTTTTTGCACAACCTTTTTGGTGGTGATAAATGTTTTCTTCGAGCGAACCGGAGCCAAATTCACCGAAGCCTCCAACTCGTTGTAGCTGGACTCTGTCAAGAACTTGCGGCAGCGCTGCAGCACCGCTGGGCGGCGCAGAACAGCGGTGGCGGAAGGGCGATGTTTGGGTTCATGCCGAAAGAGGGCCTGGATAAGGTCTTTCATATCGGAACTGTACGATGTCGAGATCGGAGGATACGTGCCGCGTAATATTTTCGTCAAAAGAGTCTTAATGTTATTCGCTAAAAACGGGTGTTTCAGAGTGGCGAGTTCATATAAGACGCAGCCCAGACTCCACATGTCGCTTTTGTATCCATATGGTTTGTTTTCACAGATTTCTACAAAAAATGGAAACACAAATCAAGTAAAAAACAAATTTGGAATATAACATTACAATGAACAGCAACAATGACGAACATACAGCATTAAGTCAGATTTAAATATTTACACGACTTCCGGGGAAGGTAAAACAAAACAACAATTCCCCAAAAAAAACCGATTCCAAATTAAATAATTTAACACGTTGTGGTATTTTATTACATGCACTCGTGCAGGAAAAGTAAAATCTTTCTGATTTTTCAAAATTTTCAAAAATACAACAATCCCGAGTTGGAAAAAAAGTGATATGAAATTTGAAATTTGGTGATCAAATACGGGATTTGATCACAAAATTGAAATCATTTAGTATTTGAAATCCCATACTGAATTAAGTTAAAGAAGAGTCCTTATCAAAAATCGCAGAATACTTGTACAATTAAAATTAAGCATCAAAACCAAGGCTGTACAAATACCAAAATACAAGTGTTCCAACTTGCAACAATCAATGGCAGTTTTCTTTAACTAATTCAGTGTTATCTGCATGTTTTACACCAACCTGGTGAGAGATAATACGGAGTGCCAATACAAGTCTTGGCGAAATCCTGCGTACTATCCAGAACCCTCGCTATCTCGAAATCCCCAACTTCACCGCACCAGACCGGGTCAGAAACACATTCTGCGATTTAATATCCCGATGCAGAATACGCCGATCATGAATGTACTTGACGGCCATACACAGTTGCACAAACCAATCCAGGATGAGATCTTCCGGAAACAGCACACCGTTCTGCGACTCAATCTTAGAGAACAGATCCCCATTCTCACAGTAGCCCATCACAATGTACAGAAGGCCTTTCTCCTCGAACGATTCACGGTAGGCAACAATGTTTGAATGCCGTAGCGTGGACAGCACCGCAACTTCTTGTCGCGCTTCGTTGTACTCTTTCGCGGTGATCTTGCCTGTATTGATTTCCTTCATCACATATTTCCCGTGCGTGGTTTTATCGCTGACAAGATGCACTTTTCCAAAGCTCCCTTCGCCAATCTGTTTAACTCGAGAGTAATTATTCATTTTCTTTAGCAAGACCGTTGAACTCCACGTAGTCTTCGTGGTGGAACATCAAGAAAAACCGATTAACTAATGGAGTACTGCTGTACGAGAACTACGATCTTAAGTGCGTGATACACGAGAAGACTGCAGAATAACAAAGAAAGTGCACATTTTTTCGAAGCAGAAACCTGTTCGTTGACGAATGCTGGAGTAGTAAAACTATACGGTGTTAAGAACAGCAGCAAATCCCCATATAATGCAAGAAGTTCTGCGCACCTTAAAAACAGCACGAAAACTTAGATAAATAAAGCAATCTAAAGGTGAAATTCGTGCCTGGAAGAAATGGGATCAGGAGCGAGTGACTAATCCAGAACAATCCTGGTGAGTCACTCAATTTGTTCGCCGACTCGCCACTCCACGGCGGTATCAACTTGGTCGCCACCTTGCGGTAGGCTGCAGTAGGTACAAGTCCAAGACATTTCGTCACACCGTTTTCGTTTTCATGACTGTTAGCAGCCTGTAGGCGCGCATTAGTACTGCCAGCGCAGGACTTCTCTCGCAGTTTTTAATCGTCCTTCCAGAGATTTGCGTTGTTGGATTTCTGATACACAAACAATGGCGAACGTTGTCTGCCGATTTTTTCTGGAAGGGCGCTGCAAATATGGGGATAGGTGCCATAATCAACATCCCGCTGATGCAGCGTACGAAGAGTACTATGAAGACGACAGTTATCAAAATGCGCAATATTATCCGCGCGGAGGATATTCTGGTCACCGCGGTGGTGGATATCGGCCCCGTTATCCCCAGAATCATTCTGTAAATATTGGTTGTTACGAAGAACAGAAGAACACGGAATATTTTGATCGTCTATATGGAGTTTTTATATGTCTAGAGATATTCAGGCCCTCGGAGCAGCTCGAGCTGGGAACCACGACGTAAAGAACATCGCCTGATTTCTCTCGCTTCTCGTTCTGGAACTGATTTTTGCTTTTAACTTTGCAGCTGCATCCGGTGGATTCCACGGAAGCCCTCATTTTACTTCTCCTAGCAGATTCGAGCCTCCCGGTCGATTTCCGTCCCCTGCAGCTGCACAATCAGTTCGTCCGTCTTCCGATTTAGAAGTGCTGTAAGTACGTACTTATTTTTAATTAATTGTAAATCATTGCAGTATATGGCATAATGGCACTACCGCTGAAATACGCCTTAATTATTGCCGTTCCATGTATATTTACGGTTATCTTTTGAAAGCTTATGGAAAATGTTAACAAATTAAAATTTAATGTGTGATACTAAATGGGGATGGGCACTACTTCTAGAGAACTGATGGGTTTTTTGCCATTTTAGAAACGATGTTCTTCTCGATGCAACGAATATGCTTCATCAGACGGCGCGGAGTGATCTTGTGTTCCAAGTGAGAAAGATATGGCCGTTCACGGCGTACACGTATCGCAGTCCCGAAGGTCAAATTCAGACGGATCCATTGTTTGGTATTGGTTGGCGCTTTTCGTCGAAATGATGTTGCCAGAGGATGACTTGATACAATTTGTCTAGGCTTGGAAGATTATTCCCCGGAAGAATTGCGTGCTATGGCGTATGTAGTCAGAGACGACGCATCACAGTTGAGCGAATACGTAAGAGCCGGGCTTTGAACTGTATGCGATACCCAATTTTACCTGCGATAACGGCATTAATGCTGATGTTTGTATCTTTTAGAACAATTATTTCGGTTTTCGATTTATATTTTAGATGTATTAACTTTAGCAGTGGCAGGCTACAGAATTAATTAAGTCACTGATCGTATCATAAAATTCCTAAATGATCAGCACCCCCCTAATTGATCAAATTCTTTTGTTTTGAGTTCTCATTTTGACACAACGATCTGCATTTTCACAAGTTAAGTACTCGTTTTTCATTTAGGTGAATGGTGTGGTCCGACAAAGCAACAGCGTTCGGAATATTTTATCGGAAGTGTGCAAAGCATGCTCCAATCCTAATTCGAACGAAGCCAAAGCTGTGGTTAGGCATTCTGAATTTATTTTCTCCGATTGCGTATTATCAATTTTGTTCACTTGTGTTTTACATAATTATTTGCAGATATCGGAAATTCATGCTAAAGCAGCTCAGAACAAAGTCCGGCAGGAAACACCTTCACCTGTTCTCCAGTTTCAGGCACGTCTCCCAAAACGTTTTAACGATCTGCTTCTTCGTCCTCATTTTTGTATTTCGTGCTTTATATCGAAAAATTTGTGTATACTGTAACGATGTAAATTACGTAATTATTTTTTTAGGGTGCCACTTCTGCCCCCATTCAAAATATGGGCGAACAGAGGCCACATGATCAGTCAGTCGCGCAGGCACCCCCGAGCGGTATATATTCGGATACCAGTATGCTGACAGCCGAAGATTTTTACCAGTTTGCCTCAGCGGAGTTCACTCAAGGAAAGGTACCCTATCTGCCACCGCCAAAGAATCTTTGCTAGGTTTTTCATGCAGAATGTCTACGTTCAAGTGTTTTAAATCGTTGCAATTTGTGTCTGAAAATATGGTTTTGTTTGTTCAGCTTTTTTAGTGTCAAAGCGACTCGAGAAGTCAAATTCTGTTAACTTTTAAAGATTTTGTAGACAGCAGAAAAATAATAGCTAATATATAATATTGCATAAAAAGCACGATTGAGGTAGATTTCGTAAGATCGTTAAGTAATCTCGCTAGGCACAAACAATACTTCCGCTAGTGTGAACTGAATGTAGGAAAGGAACAATTGCAAGTCAAAATCAGCCAGCCGTCCTTGGCATTGCCGGTCGAGCAGTATTCTGACCGGGCCGGTTGGGCGCGACGGTCTTTGCAGGACTCCGCGCCGGTATCGGCTTGGCCTTCGGTTTGGCTGTGGTCGGAATGGGAAACGGCGGCGTATTGTGACTGCGATCCCATATTTCCTGTGACGCTTCTTCCGTGGCATCCGTGTGCTTCCTGGGCCGGTCATCATCGTCGGGAATTTCGTATTCTTCATCCATCCCACTGCCGGACATGCGTGGACAGTTGAGACAGCGGGTCTCATTCATCCCGTAATTGAGACAATTGCTCCCCACACACTGACAGCATCCATCATGAAACCAGCGATAACTGCTGGCGCCCATGGAGCGGCAGCTGTTTTTGCATTTATTCCATGGCATACACTGCGCCATGAAGGCCACCGTGCAATTGACCGCTGCCCAGGGGGATGTCGAATCTCTGGACACTGGAATAAATCGAGAATATCATGGCACGATCAAAATGACAACTAGCAAAGTCCACCTATTTTAAAAAATGAGCTCGCGTTTTACAGGGAGCGGAACGGGAGAATTTTTCGTTGCTTCCGGTCCCATTGAAAACACACGCGACCCCGAAGATTGACGAATATGTAAATTCACTTACCGACACCCAACTCGACTTGTTGCAGTTGACTTGCTCCAAGGAACAGCGAGAGATCGCGTTGGACCGGATACGTGTATGTCGTCCAGCGTCCCGTGGCATCGTGCTCTTCGGTGAGGGCATTGAACAGTTCGACCAGGGGGTCCGGGAGGTCTTCCACGTGACTGGTCGAACTGAGGTTGCTGGGTGCCGATACTGCTTTTGGACACATATCTACGATCCACAACCATTTAAAGACGGAAAAGTATATTTTGTGATGATTTTAATGGTGGTTTTCCAACTTTTTTTACTTTCTACTCGCAGCCACGATATCTTTAAATAATACTTTCATGCGTATAATTATAGTAACATACAGCACTATCAGAAGCAGAGACGAAATTGCTGAGACTTCAGAATTTTCCCATTTATACGAGTATCGTGGTTTCTAAATCAGTAGATTCACCGCTTACGGTCTTTCTACTGTAAAGTACTAATCGACGGGACAGCTCGGAATTACTGGACTGCACATTTCCCTATCTTCAAACACCATAATAATATCATTCATATGTAAGTCATATTCACGAATCAGCGAAATTATACTACATATACGAGTATACTTTTTTGCGCATGTTTACTGTAGCATTTTTTTCTTACCAACGCATTCGCAGCAATCGGCAAATAATGTATCCAAACACTGAAAGCAGGCTTTGCAACAGGTGCAGTTTATAATATCACATTTACATGCGTCGATTAGCAGGCACTTGCTCACGACACTGGCGCATAATGCTTCTTTGCACGATGAAGAAAAGGTGATTAGGGATATTAGGCTTATCCCACTGATAAGCATCAACCAAAATATTACACGCATTTTCACTAGTTAGATTTGGACACCGTAAAGTAATAGCTACGAAGCGAAATCAATATAGTTTCGCAAAGTGGAGCAGACTCAGCAGAGTACCATATTCTGGGAATAAAACACAGGTATTCCATTGTTCTTTGCATAGGAGAAATCTGACCGAAGCGAAGTCTGTCTCGCTGTGGTGTACTCAGTACATATGAACGGTACATGCATATGAGCAATTTCGCACTTCAAACTGCAGCTGGCTAGCGAAGGTGCTATGTGCGTTATGTATTCCTCACAACTCGTTCTTTTGCTGCTTCTATGATCTCTTCCCTTCAGGCGATCTGTGCTCTTCTGACGAAGTGTGCTGCAGTTGTCTGTACTAACAAACCACAAGGTGGCGAATCACTAACCACTAAGGCATAGAAAAGCAAACAAGGACTCCTTTATTCTCACCAAGTTTTACAATAATTAATTTAAATAAACACCTGCAACAAGTGATTTATGGTGGCATATAAATGCCTGTACCTAATCGTGCACAAAATGCACGACGATGTTTCGCCGGCAAAATGGTAATTATTGATGACGGTTGACGATAGCACGTGCAATCACCATAATATTAATTTTTCCATCTCGTACCATGTATCGCGGTATCCACTGCAGATTTACTAGGTTGCAAGACGTAGGAAATACTCGGTATTATTAATTTTGTATACGAGCGCCACTGTTTGTTTCGTATCTCTAAATTTTACTGTATTTACAACCTCTGTGTATACGTAGATCAACAAAATATCTAGGTATATAATATCATTAACGAGAACACTGAAACACTCGTATTACCAAGGTACCTTGGTATTACTAACATGTACAGATATATAATATACATCGTACGCATTCGCAGTTACATATATTTGTGTAAAAAAACATAGAAACAAAAGCATTTAACAGAGTTCGCATATAAATAATTCTCAAAATAAGAATCTGAAATGCAATATTAGTAGCGGGCTTTCCAGTGTAGTAACAGATGGAAAAAATTTTGCACATCTGGCTAGTTTCAGTTGAAGAGCATTTGTGCAGCTCGCAAATCTTTCAGCAAAGCGCGTTTTTTATCCCCTTCGGTAATTTTGTCAGCTGTAATAACTGGTAGCGGCATACTTCGGACCATTGCCGACGCGTCCAGCGCATCGCGCCGGGATAATTCCAGTATCCACAATAAATTTTTCAGTTGCGCTCTTATGACAGATTTGTTTTTTACCAGCGTTAACACTTCCGCTATGGTTCTGTTATCAGCGACATATATTTCACGTTTAATTTGTTCGTATTGCCGGTACAGCCTGGCGTAGTGACGTTCCAGTTTTCTTACGTCACCTTTGCGTAATGTTCCATAACAAAGGATGCTGTTGTGGACCTTGAATTTTCCAATCAGCTGCTGTATATTGGCCGGGACACTGTGACTGCGGGAAAGTCCCGGCTTATCTGACCGCGACGTAATAAAAGGAAGATTACTGATATCAATGCGATAGTGAAGTAATCTGGTGCAGATCTGTCGCAGCGACATATGCACAAGATTGTCGGCGACATACCTAAAATCACAGAAAAGTTCAGCGAAATATCAAACTTACTATACCGCCTAAACGTAATTGTTAACATGGAACAAAACGGTTTTATCCATAACCACAATTTTTTTTAAAAAATTTAGTGAATGAAACGATAAAGAAGTTATGATTATACATTATTTGCGCGATTCGAATAAACTTACTTAAGCAGCAAACACTAATACCTACATAATTGGCATCAGTACTACAAAAATTAAAACTGCCCCTTAATAAAAATATTTTGGTATAAGCGTTGAGCATACTTTCTGCAAAAGTTTTCAGGGGTATCTTTGTCGTGTCTGTAGCTGCCGGTGAGTCGCATGGTATTCGTGTTTTCATGACCGGAAGAATATGTTGGTTTCCACCATTGACACGATCCGCAGTATGGTTTGTTATAAATTCGATAGGTATCATTTCCTGGTCGATTTCCTGCTCCAGTTGTTCGTTTCGAGCTATCCCTTACTGCAGCATTCCCTTGTTTTCTATCACGTGAATCCGAGTCGGGATTATTGTAGCGGCGAGATTTCAAAAGCTCTTCCTTATTTTCTGTACGCGGAGTACGGAAGCGCGGGCGTGATGTTTTGGAAGTGCGGAGTCCAAGTCCGTTAGCATTGGTGCGCAATGGACCATCCGTTTCGTCAAGATTGAACGTTTTCAAATCGGCAGCGGATGCGGTCAATTCTATCTTCAGTTCTTCTAAGCGATGGCTTAATTCCTCTAAAAAATTGTCCGATGACGGTATTTTTCCTTACTTTTGGCGATGTTCTAGCTCACCAGCTCCGCGGCGATATCTTGGCGGCGGAAAGTCAAGATAGGAGGACGCATTGCTAACGGTTTCCAGGTAGTCATCCCAAGAAATGGTGATGTTGTGGGGATGATTAATTCCACCGTCTGCCATTAATACTAGAGCAGCTAACAAAAAAATGTTATAAAGTGTGCAATTTTGATAAACGGATGTTTGTTTCAGTTCAGTTGAGGTTTCCAGACTTTCAAAAATCACAACTATACCAGAAATATAGATATATTCTGACTGTACAACAAAATTACTAAGGACACCAGCATGAAGTTAATTAGGCAAATAGCAGCTGACAGATACCGCACTTCGGTACAATGCAACAAAATAATACCACCGCGACACTTCAACCTACAATACCGGTAATTATTTAAAGATTAATGAAAATTCTCAACATGACGCAGGCAGTGCGCTGAAACGTACTTACATAATACTGGAAATCCCAGGTATAGAGATTTCCCATCTTCCAGAGTAGAGGTAATAGAACAACTCTTCGCAATCGATAAATTTTCGTGCGAGGATGAAAGCTTCGAACACGATCAGTCCAATTCTATACCTGCTGGACCACGGCGTATGTACAATACAATGCGGAATTTAAAAGCTACAATGGTTGGGAAAGGTGGATTGCACAAATACCGGTGCAATCGTACTCTCCCGGTTTAGCATGGACTGATTATCAAATAAGTACTTTCCTGGTTGTTGCGTTTGGCGCTACAGCATAACATACGTAATGTGCCGTGGTTTAGTATCTCGGACTGTCGAACAGTAATTCATCCAAATTAAAGTAATTCCTTGCATTTATGGTGTTTCCTAGATTCAATTCACCCAGTCTACGTACCGGCACGGACAACATGCAAATTATTAGTACGATACGACTCATACGAGTATACAGTGTTACAAATATAGTACATTGTACAAGTTGTATTTTGCAACATGTTACATATGCAATAATTAATCAGACTGACCATGAGCATTGCTTGCAGCTGCAGTAAACCGTTGACCACGCCGTACATGCAAGGGAAACTTTAGCAATACGGGACACTGCCGAACACTTTTTGAAAGTGGACAGTGTCCGGCAAATATGACATTTAGGTTGATTTAGACCTTTCCACATGACACTTGCATTAATAAATACGGGGTAGTAATCATGCTGTAGACGTCTTTCACCTAGAGCAGTAGCAGTTATTGAATAAATTACTTCAATTTTTCATTCTATAGTAACTCACAAGTCAAAACAAAGGTACTTGAAACACACCCAAGTAAAACTGTAAAAGTGTTGCACAATCCCACGTTTACCATGTTATCATAAAAAATATTTGGGTTTGCCTTATATAACACCGGAAGCGGTTGTGAAATTCTGTTGAACTAGTTTTAAAGAAAATAAATAAGATATGGACAAAGGAATGATATCCGCTAGAACACCGCAGTCCCGCACACTGGCAGCGCTGGTGCGCCTTAATTTAAAGGCCACCTGAAGCGGCACCGTTCGAGGTCAGGGTGTAATCTTGTGCTTATCAGGGATGTATTATTATTACATATTTTGACACAAAGACTGCAGAGATATGGAATCCATGCGTTTCTGTATGAAAGTTTGCAATGTACCTATTTCTGTCGATACACCTGCCGAACCAATTGAATACGTATGGTTGCATTTACCTGTGTGATGACTGAATCACTGTATGAGCAGGCGGTCGCTTAATATTAAATCGCTTTCAACTCTGCGGTATGAGTGTACCGGTGCGAATGGCTGAGCTGGCAGAATACTATTCTCAATCCACTCTCTCTCGTCTGTACACGGGCGCTTTTTGCCTGCAATGCATGCACGTACGCTCGCTGACTACCTCTGTGTTTTGGCAGGCCTCTCGTCTGATTTTCTCTCACGACGGCTGGCTGGTGGGGTATTATCACATTTTTATTGAGAAGCTCTATCGTAAACCATACCTCAGACGTGTATTGTCATCGAGGAAGTATTTGCAGTTTGTGGGCAGTTCTCTCCTCTCACGCGCAGACTCATTTTGCCTGATGTGACTCGGTGCGCGCAAGTACCCCACAATACCAGCACACAAAAACCACAATCTTCTGTGATAATCTACCCGTTGGTATTTGGTTTTTGGCCTGAAATAGCACTATCTGTGGTGTTGTTGATGTGGATTGGGAATACAGTACAGTGATCCTTTTTGATTCCTTCAAGTTGCACCCATTCCGATGCTATTATGGTGGAATAATTTATAATAATGTCGAAAAAGGGAAAGGACTTCAACAGCCAAACTGGCGCCAATTTGGTCGAAATCAAAAGCAAAGTAGGTTGTCGCTGTGAATAGTTTAGCAGCATGAGTTATGTATTTGCCGTTTGCAGGCACTATGTGACGCATAATGTATAACTGGATAAGATCTTATTTCTGTTTTTCTTATTTAATTATCTGAGGTTTTGTAAAACCTCTCTTATGCTGTTTCTGTTGCAGTTTGATGCGGAATTTCGAAGATTCTCCTTGAATCGCCTACTGGTGAATAACTTTGAGGATTTCCACAAAAGTTTGGAAGCTCTTCACGGACTGTCACATGTTCCTTTTGTGGTGTTTTATACGGATAAAGAAGGCGATTTATTGCCCATCAATAATAATGACAATTTCGCTAAAGCGCTTTCAACCACACGGACTCAGAGTATATTAAGGATTTTTGTACAGCGAAAAGGTAAGCCAAAACACAGATATCGAAAATCGCTTTCTATTTGCATAACCCGAGTGTTCTTATTTTGGTATATGTTTTATTCATTCTGGGTTGTTTTACGACAATTTTTTTGCCTTGTAATATTTCAAGAATTTTGCACAGTTGTGCCTCGACCAGAAGTAGACGGTTTCGCGAAATTGTTAAAAAGAGATGCTTTTCTAATATGGCAGCGTGCTTCCTGTGCAAATTGTGGTGGTTACTTTGTAAAACAGTTTTTATTTAGTCTGGCGTTTTTTCTGTCTTGATGCTGCAAGACATTGCGACATTCGGTTGTTGATTTTGGAGTGTTGTTCTTGTCCGTTTTATATTTGCATTTGTCAGAAGCTCGTAGTTGGTGGAAATGTTGAACATGACTGCTGCGAACATGCTTGATAAGTCCGGATTGACCGTTTAGCGTTTGGTTAGGTATTTAGGCGGATTGGTGGTAGATGATGGAAAGTTTATCGTATTTACGGCGACAGTCGGAATTTCGTGTCTGCTTGCATGTAGTGCGGTGTGTGTTATCCGGAAACGGCGCTCTGTTGGTGGCGTTTCAGAGATTAGCCGCGCACCAACTAATTTATGCTGTGACTCGGCGCATGATTAACTCATGTTTTTCCCTGAAAATTGTATTTATTGTGCGCCTGTGTTTCTCACACAGCCAACAATGCCGTCCTTCTTATCAGTTAGCCTGTTTGATAGCGCAATTCGTACCATTCCAAAAAGGAAAAAACGTGGCCGATTGCTCAGGCTTTGTAAAGTACGGTATGCAGTTTAATTTATAATGCTTCTGATGATGCATTTTCTTTTGCGCTTTACATTCCAGTATGATGCCGAAACAAACTGGTATGTGCCTCGCACGCTGAGCATTTTCTGTTTATTTTAGTATGAATTAATTTAGCACGGTTAGTCGTTTTTTACGACTTTCGGCATTATGGAAACAAGCTGTCTTTTATCGTTTTAGGCATAAACTGCTTTCATCGGCATGACTCATTGACAAATGCTTTTATCTTTGTGAACATTAATAAATTTTGACAGACTTTAAAATTTTATAAATAATTTTGCTAAATAAATAATGGCGCGTTATTATTGACATTGATAACCCTTACTTTGTTCGTTTTAAAAATTTTTGCTTTTTAGGAAATAAGCTTTTTCAGCTATTTTTATATATGGTCGTCGTAATGCCGCATTTCGGATATTCCCAGGCTTGTTATCGTGTAAATCAAATCACACACGATCCGAAGTTATTAGCTGTCGCATTATTCTTTGGCGTATTTCTTATTCCAAAGTGTAACTGAATTTATCCCCCGAGGTAGAAAGCTTAATTATGATGAGCAGTCGCTAAAGACAGTTTAATACGATGAGCAACGGATGTATCTACTAAAACAAGCTGGAATGCCATTGTTATTTACTGCTTCAGGCTCACCCAGAATTGACAATTCGTAACATAGTAGAATTTGGAATACCAGGAATCCCACTAAAATTTTTAAAATTACTGTTGTGATCCCCATTTCATTACCTTGCAAGAATTTTACCAGGGTTGTGTAATAAATACAAGTATGACAGTGTATGATTGGGAATATGATTCCTGATGTTTAGACGCACGTGTGTTGTTAGAAGTTATTTTTGCATCGTGCACTTATTTCTAGAGGCTCTCACTGACTGAAGTCACCGAAATATACGTAATACCAGCTAAATGTTAATCTGAGTAATTACTTTTCAGAACCACGATAATAAGGTTTGGTGAATTATTCGTACTTGTGGCTTATTCTGCTCGTACATAATGTGCTCATAGTTCTGAAGGTTTGCATGGTGGCAGCGATCCTACAGTGGAAATCGTAGGTTTATGCAACAGGTATTTTGATTTTTGACAGATGTGTTGTAAACTTCGTGAATAATGTTTATTGAAATTGTCTGTTTTACTGTCAGAAATTCATAAATGCTTATTTAGGATCTTTTCATATTTTCTTATTTTTCGTGCTGTTTCTTTTTGCTTCTCGTTCTGAGTGTAATCATAAATTATGCCCACAATTAAATAATTTTAAAATTGCGCCAGATCGACCGTGCTGACATGTGCCGTCGGTGGGCCAAGGTAGTTACAGTTAAGAATGTCTGTCTGTGGTTTTTATGTACGATATTATTGGAATAATAACAAATATTGTAATGTTTATGTTATTGAATAAGTTGTAGCTAAAAGCTGAAACATGTTTTAGGTTGACATCTTTAAATATGCAAAAGTAATGCAATTGAGGATATTCATTTTTTATTTTAAGAATGCTTCGTGGCCGGAAAATTTTTTTGCACGAACAGCCTAGACCTGCTGTAATTCAGAACTGCCGTTTGAATTGAAGTAAGCACACCGTAGTGGCTTTTTCATACAGAAATTCTCCTACTCCGAACAGTTCGCTGACAACGTACTGCTTGGGAAATTTTACAAACAAAAATCGGAGCAGCGCGAACTTCTTTGGTAATGAAATAATGATGCCAAATTTGTTCGCCAGCTAATGTATTTCGCCTCACAATTCGTAAAAGATTCTGTACCGGTTATTTTTCCGGTCGAATGCAATACTAAACAAGCTTCTTTTCCTGTGCAATAACATATTTTGAATTTGAACTGGGTCGTTTGAGATTTCGATACTTCTTTGGTACATGGTACCAAAATGTGGGGCTTACCGCAAATGATTTAATTGGCTTGACCCTATTTAACTGAACTTTGGCTGAGGGTTCAGAGCATGAAATCGTAAAGGTATGTTTGTTTAATTTGAATTATTAGCTTAAACTGGCCCACAGTGTGTTTGGCTTTTGTTCGCTCTGGTCGCCGTGATTCAGGCTCAGGTGACAGATATTCATATTTCATAGCGCCAGCATTGCTCACCTGCTCATAAATATTACACTGTGCACGCATACACCTTCTAATCTTTTGACCATCCGACGCCGAATAAAGTGTGGCTAACCTGGCAGATCAAGTATTCGTAACGTAATTTTCTAGATTTGCGTGGGATCGCGGTAATAAATTACCTTATATGTTCTACTCCTACATGCAGAACGCATATGTTGGGTTACTGACGAAATGCAGTATCAAGGTCTTCGATATGAGTAAACAATCATTTACCTGTCTCGCAAGCAGCAATAACCATCGATTCATACGTTTAGTGGTGGACTGACGGTGTATCGTTTGCGCCTTCGTTTTCGATAACTAAAATAGTCGCTGCTTTTAATCTTGGAGCACAAAAGCGCCGCAAAACTCCAGAAAGAAAATCGAATTTGTAAACGATAGTAATAGGGATTTAATGTAATTTTTGCTACTTGCCGAGTTATATACATGTTAGATCACATGTAGGTCACAGAAAATAAAAGCAGCATAGTTTCATTTTATTTATGATTTTACAGATGAAAACTGGAGTGAACTGATCGGTTACAGTACCATTAACCGACGGAAGGAAAAGGGGAAGAGTCTCATTCTTGCGCCCTTGAGCTCGAATTCCGCCAATAAAGCAAAGGGTCCTTTGCTGAAGATTGGTATGCCCGAAGATTTTAGGTGAGTGAGCGGTATTACCGAAACAGTTCTGGCATTTATTTTTCCAGCACATTCTGGCTGCTCCGCTTATTGTGTAACCTCTTGGTCTGAAGTATTCGGTTATGTTAGCAACCACAAGAATTGAAGTTGTTGACAATTTGGATGCTTTGCAGGCAAGTTTCCGCCATAATCGACGTTGATATCCTCCCGCAAACACACCGTCGCGTACGGCTTCTCAAGCATGGCTCCGACAGGCCACTTGGTAGGTATTGAGGGTCTTATTAGAATAACGATAGGTTGACTTCTCTGTGGTGTTTTTGACAAAAACGCCGAGCAGTAGATGGGCGTTGATATCGTAAATCTACCGCCTTGACTGTGTTTGTGCACTTTGAATACATAATTAATTGTTGTGTAAATCGGACTTTTATTTCATTCAACATAAACCGAATTGAGACTTGGCTTGGTTGACACTCGAATTATGTTTGAATGATATGTATAAAACTTGATATTGAATTTAGCATTAGCGCTCACAGATTTAGCATTGTACTCATACTTGAAAAACGTTTTAAATGTTGGTGAAGGAAGCGGCACGAGCAGCAAAAATGAAGACTGATAAATATTTTTTTGGTAATTCAGCATTTGCATTAGGCACGATTAACTGCCATCATTGCCGTTCAGACTTCGAAGTGCAGTAGTTAATACTGCCGCAAAATGTTTTGTATTTGTGACAAAATTATTCGTTTTGAATTTTGATAGTTATTGGGGTTTTATTATAGGATTTTATATTCGGGATGGTACCAGCATCCGTATGACACACAATGGTCTGGAGAAGATTCCGGGCATTTTTATCTCTCGATTGGTACCGGGCGGTTTAGCCGAAAGCACGGGCTTACTATCGGTCAACGATGAAGTGATCGAAGTGAACGGTATCGAGGTGGCCAACAAGACACTCGACCAAGTAACCGATATGATGATAGCCAACAGCAGTAACCTGATCGTCACGGTGAAGCCGGCCAATCTGCAACTCCGCACCACCAACAAATCCCCATCCAATTCCGACGTGCTAAGTGATGCTCAATCGAAATCCTATAATTCGCCGGCGACACGCAACGGTCCCCAGCGGTCATCGCAGATGTCGGCGTCAGCCGCTTCGACATCGTCCTATCCGTCCAATACATCCTACAATACAGACGACGATGAAGTGGATGAAATCCGCGATCTCACGGTGGGATTGAGCCACAACGCCAGTGGGAGTTCCGGGACGGGAAGTGATCGGGTGGCCTCGGCCAATGCGCACCGGGGATCAGATAAGAAGCTCAAACCGCGTCCAGCGCAGCATGTGACGAAAATTGTTCTGGATGGGAAGAACAATAATGGGATTATACACGGGACGGAGCAGGTGTTTACTCTCTGAGCTTTCAGATTTATTGTGTAATTTTTGATTCTTTCCAAGCGGCGAGGTGCCTTGTTTTGCGGCAGAGAAATGCCCTGGACAGAATTCTAATTTTTTAAAATGTTCGATTCAGTCCGAGCAGCTGTTGCAATCCGTTTTTTTCCATGTTAATTTTGGGATTGTTTTGCAGCTCTAAAAATATTTATATGTTTATAATTTTTCCTGTTAAGGTTTGCAGCTTTTTAGTTCTTCCTCTTCCTGAATTGGGAAGGATACGGCGGTGTGTGCCGTTTTGTCTTATTTTTTACATGTTTTAAGTTCTTCTTTGGCAATAAATATTTTGCAGTTATTGGTTGCAGATCATATACCAGACGGTAGTCCTATTTAGCAGCACGTTTCTGTGGGTTGTGGACAGTGGTAACATATCCACACAAAAGATTGATGATTTCCATGGGTTGTTTTACATAAGATCATAGGTAATTTACTGTTTTGTTGGGTATTCCATTTTACGTGTCGGTTCCATCGTTCTCTATCAAAGGAAAACATCTCCGAAACAACTCACTCAATAGCCACAATGATGATGCGGGCACAATCCTACCAATAGGTGGCACCTATTGGTGTGCACCTATTAGGTGTGTGCACCTATTAGGTGCACACAAGTGTTGGCTCCGGATTTATTATCTACTGATGACTGCGAACTCTGCTTAATGCTTACATATGCTGTAAACTCTTGCTTTTCCGTTAATTTTCAATACTTCTATTTTTCCCGCATTTTCAAACCATTTTGCCTGGTGTTTTCGTATTATTCAACGGACCTAGCAGGAGCAAGAACGACGTGTAGAACAGCGTTTAGTTGGTACTAATACCAACTAGCATAACGCGTTGTCCAGAAAGGACTGCAGCTACGACAAGGTCTGGAGCACCGGTGTCAGATAGCAGGTGCACTACTGAGTAGGTTTCATGGCCGAATGAAAACTGTTGACTGCCTGCATTAACGCGGGTGAAACCCGAACAACGTAGTCTCAAGCTGGATTTTTTTTATTCGCATTTTCTAAGGATTCGACATAATTATAACGATGACAACAGATTCCGCGGAAACATCATAAAAATATAAAGATCCAATCGTTTACTGCAAAAGAAAGAAAACATACAGTATTAGCAGGTAATATTAATGCCACAGTACAATATGCACGGATCCTCCACAATCCATAGTAAGTTTTGTATTAAGAACACATTTTTACCTTTTTCTTTCCAGCGCCAACTTGTGATTTCTTGGTACCACGGACTTTCTTCATACGGTTCTTCTTTTCCTTGCGCTGCTTACGACCAGCCTTTGTTGCTTTTTCGGCGAGACCCATCTAAAAAGAAAGATACAACGATACTTTAACACGAAGAATTCTGCGCTACGTGAAAGACACCATTCATAATCATTAACCGCTTAAAGACTAACGAGCGTTCTCAAGAAAGCTTTCTACCAGAAAAACACTTTTTTCCAATAAGGTTATAAGCAATCCATCTGCAGCTCCATATAAGAAAGTTAAAAATAAAGCCGTCAGCATTATAGTCAAGAAAAAAATTGCCAGAGCAGCAACACATAAAGAAGAAGTTAAAAGTGCCCGAAAAAGACTAAAGAAATTTGTTATTGAAAAGTGAACTCCGAATCTGAGCGTGCCACACGGATCCTCGTACACATAATACTCTTGCATAGTCGCACTTACCCTAACTAATCTGTATTTGGGTTCGAATTTCTTGGCGGAATCAACTGAATCGTAGACCAGGGCGAATCCTTTGGTACGACCGCCACCAAACTGCGTACGGAATCCAAATGCCACAACGGTATCTGGAGTGGTTTTGTACAAACGGGCCACCTTTTCTCTCACTTCATTACGCTTCAGGGTGGATCGGCCAGGATGGATAATATCTACAATCTGTACACAAATATTTTCCTTACAATCCCGGCCACTGTAGTCAGCATTGGCTCTCCATTTGTTACCATTTGTTTCCTTCTGAGCAGGCGGTTCGTCATAAAATGCCTGGTCCGAATCGTAACTGAGGAATCGTCCGCGGACTGCAGATGAAAACAGAATGGTAGACAGTCAGTCCTGAAAACCTTAAACATGATATCGTTCTTACCATTTTCGATAAATCAGGAAAGCACTGATGAACTAGATGATCTAAAGAGGCCAGAAACCACGAAGAACTTCCACGATCCCTCAAAATTTCTATGATCGCAAATTTCCGAGCCGCATAAAATCGCTTTGACGTACGTACGTATTATAGGTGTAATTGGTGGCCTACAGGACTGGTCCGGACCTTCAGCCCGCTCACTGATGCAGTTCTGTGGTAAGGCTCGGAAATACCAACCCACCAATTTTAAGCTGAAACCAAATTACAGAATACAGGGACGTGGTAAAAGTGCGCTTTTGAAATCTGGTACGTTTAAAGATTCTGGCGGCTTTTGACGATCCAATTATCGCAACAGTCGCATTAATTTTTTCCGGTCAAACTAATCCTCATTTGTTATAGCAGTTTTCTCGAAACGAATTCAAATTCAAAAGTTTTCTATGAAATTCAATTTTTCATTTTGCCGTTTTTGCGACTGAAATGTGGATCTTATTGCTTGTGCTTGGAGCGCGTTATACGAAATGGTTTCGAAATCATACTCACACAGTAAATCCCTGTCGTGCCGTCCGTCTTGAAATGTTTTGGAAAAGTCAAAAAGAGGATATGTTTCCCCTGGATGGCTGTTCAATTTTTGATTTTCCCTTTTCTACTTTTTTTAACATTGGCGCATTTCCGTGCACATTGCATGTCTTCACCTGACAAGCGAAGGTCTTTGTTTTTGCGAAGGTAGAATACTCTTTACGCTTTCACGGTGTTTGGAGCGTTCTTGTTCTGTTAGAACTGATCTGAAAAATATTGCGAAAACGACTGCTGATTGGGATACGTAGGAAAAAGCTGCAAAACGCCACCATGTTGCCTTCCCTCGTAAAGTCCGTTTCCCGCGCCGCCTGCATTACAAGGGTAGATCCCGATGTGTGTGTTAGAAATTTTTGATTTAAACGGCACGATTGCTGTAATTTAGGGGGCGACAAGAGGCTTGCAGACGTCTTCCGCAACCAGGGCGGGACAACTCTTCGTGGTACGAAAAATGCTTTCCTTTTGGTTTTTTTCGTTTATCGGCTTTAGCGTTATCGTGTATCCTAATTGAAAATTTTTTAATAGCATCGAGACAGTGCGGAAAATAATCCGGATGTGCCCTTCGAATTTAACAAGGAGAACATGGATGTGAGTTTTTTTCGGCAGAAATACTGTTTTCACGCAGGATTGCTTGCAATACTTGTTTGTTAATTTGTATACATTCGCCATTCGGTCGTATTAATAAGTTTAATTTTCTAATTTAATTTGTATTTATAATTTTAATTTATTTAAAAAAATGAAGCGCCGCCGAACGTAAGCAGTTATCGCGTCCAGTAAAGGTTCCGGTTCTCATTTATTGCTGATTACGAAGTAATGTTGTGGCGTTTTTCACGTGCCAGTTGTCTAATGGGGGAGCTTTGTTACTGATGAAATTTCTACAGGAGATGGATTCTGAGTTTTTGGCCTATTTTTTTAGCGGGTGAACGCTATATTAGAAATGTTTCCCGAAGGCCACAAAAGAGCAGGATTGATTCCGATCCTGGATTTAGCGCAGCGTCAGCACGGCTGGCTGCCAATATCGGCTATGCATAAAGTTGCCGAAATTTTGGATATCCCTCGAATGCGCGTTTATGAAGTAGCAACCTTTTACACAATGTTTAATCGGTAAGATGTCAGTTTTCCATGATTAATTTTAGGTTTTTGAATGCGTAAGATTCTGCGTCTTCGTATTTCGGGGAAGCGCACGATATGCCTTTTCTACATACCTTTACATTATACCTTTACATCATACACATTTCCGATCTTCATAGTATGCAAAAGAACAAGAAATTTCTCTGATAATTAGCTTTGGGTTTGCAATTTATTTCGAAGCACGTTTAACTAGGTATGTGGTTTAAAGAAAATGACCAGATAAACGGTTATAACGCGATAAATGTTCGTACGTTTGTTTTTGTTTGTTTTATCAGAAAACCGATGGGCAAGTATCACCTACAAGTATGTACAACAACACCCTGTATGCTCTGTGGCGCCGAAGAAGTTCGGGATCACATTAAGAAGAAGCTGGGTAAGGAAAGCGTTTGTTGTGCTGCTTTAGATTATATAAATTTACAAATTCTTTGTTGTAGGTATTAAAGTGGGTGAAACAACGAAAGACAAATTATTTACCCTTAGCGAAGTGGAATGTCTTGGCGCCTGTGTGAATGCCCCTATGATCCAAGTTAATGATGATTTCTACGTAAGTGACGCGGTACTGGTTTTTCCGTGTTCCTTGCAGATTTTGATTGCTTCTCGATTTTGGATATGTCAGAATAATTTAGGCCATTTTCGGGGTGTTCGCGTATAATAAGTAGATGTATGTCTGTTTTAAAATGCAGTCCCATACTTGTTTGCGGCGCTTTCCTTTATGTGATAAGTGCAATACCTCAGTACTTGTTAAGGACAAGTACGTTTTCCGGACGGCTTTTTCCGGTAATAAAATTGCTGCGCCACTTTTACAGGAGGATTTGACCCTGAAAGACGTTGACCAGATACTCGACGAGCTCAAAGCCGGAAAGCGGCCGAAACCGGGTCCGAGAAATGGAAGGACATGTGCCGAGCCGGTTACTGGATTGACATCTTTAACGGAAGAACCGAAAGGTCCTGGGTTTGGTTTGCAGAAAGGATTATAATGAGACGTTTTTCACTAGAGAACTCTAGTAATTATTACATTTCGATGGAAATAAAACATTTTATTATGTGTGTTCAGTTGAAGTGCCGTAGAGGATGAGTACGCTGGTTGCGCAGTTATGTTTTTGGGGATGTACAAAGTCGCTGTATCTGTATGAAGTTCACTTCGAAAAGTAACAGGATTTTGAGATTGAATTAAAGTAAAGTTAAGGAACAGACTGGAAAAATGCATATTTCGTTTGTCCTTTATTCTTTTACTACAGTATAATAATTTCTTTACTAACAAACATTGTTCTTTTTGAAATGAAGGACATGGTAGCTGCACTATCCATTATTACATACTGTACGTCAAATACCAAGAAAGAATCACAGATAATTTGCAAGCCAACCCAATATCGACAGATCGGGCATCAACAATCCGTACTCGTAACAAAAAATATGGAAGCCTAATTATGGATAATTGGCCATGCACAGGGGCGTGTGTGGCAGTTTCGTGCTTCCGGTTCTTTCAAGACGTTTTGATTAAGTCATTCATCACTTTTTTCGTGCGACATTCCGTCACCGAAGCAAGTTAAAAAGTGGTCAACCAGCGTGTGGTACAAATGGGACCGTAGTTTTCTTATTCCATGGTCTTCGTCTGGATACACCTGAGCATGCAAAGTGCAAACATTTAAACACTCCGAATAAAATGTGCACTAAAGCAGGAATACGTAACAGAAGCATAGCAGTTTATTTACTGGTATAATTACCTGTGTTTTGAAAAGCACGTCGGATTTCATTAAGGCTTTAGAGAACTGGGCGGCTTGCTGAAAGTGCACATTATCTGCAACAGAAATAGCCACTCATTAATACGGGGTACATCTGATTAGGCTAATGAGAATAATTAATAATGCTTTAACAGTTAGTAGCACATAGTGCAGAAAAATTAACCGTTTTACATTACCATCGGCAGTTCCATGGACTAGCAGGAAGGACGTTCTGCCAAAGTGCCAGTACAACGTGTCAAAATTAGCAGACATTAAATTGGATTTGTCGTAACCATGCTTGTTCTCGGCCGGAAGTCCCATGTAGCGCTCAGTATAAGCGGTATCTGCAAATTAATAATAACGTGACTGCACACTTGAAGAAAAAAACTCATGGCTGTACATGTAAATTTCTTTATTTTACCCAGCGATATGAGTAGATATATATAATAATCTAATGTTATTTGAAAATTAATGTTATTAATAACCTAATGTTTTTAATTTGCATTTAAAGAAAACCTTATAAAATACCGCTCTACTGAAGGATCACAATTAAGTAATCTTATTTAAGTGCCGTGAACAAGTAGCTGTAATATTTAGCGTGATATCCTTATTCCCTTACCATAAAACCTCCAGTCGGTCACAGGAGCCACTGACGCTACGCATTTCAGTAATTGCACGTTGTCGAAAAGCACTGCTCGTGCGCTTGCATAACCTCCGTAAGACTACATTCAACAAAATTTAATCAGTTTCATTGGGGTGCATTCGTATAATTATACAACACCTAGTTATGGCACTATGCGCAACACATATCTTACCCATCCCCATATCCCGACCCGGGATGGATCCAGGTAGCTAAACTGCTCTAGAACTTTTTTGATAATTTCTAGCTGATCTTTAACTTCATCGACACCCAGATTTTTATACACGGACGCTTGTAGGCGATGACCTTGGTATCCACTCCCGCGCGCATCAATGCGAGCAACCACCACATCACGGGCACTGGCCAGAAATTCTTCCAGCTCCATGCGGTAACGCGAATGGACTTCCTGGGATCCAGGTCCGGCATACACCTTGATCAGCAGTGGATAGCGCTTGTCGGCATACTCCACAAGTCGCGGCGGAAGGAGCAGTTCCACTTGGGCTTCTGTCAATTAATGATATTCCCATACATAATTTCGGCAAGCAATAAAAATACAAAATCAGTTTATATTATTTATATATTTTAATTTTGATCGGCAAGAGCCAACGTGATAAGAGATGCATCCGCATAAAATAAAATAAAAACAGTAGAAATGCAGGCAAATCAGTTAGTATAATCAGGAAATCGGCAAGCGCAACAAATACCATCTTACAACGTTAATGGCGCACAAAAATCAAGTGCCGACTTAAATTTTCAAATCGATGGCATTGCATAAAAAACAATTAATTTGCCTAATTTGAGTGATTAAAATACAAGTAGAATAAGTGTGAATAGATTATGCTACGAGAAAATGCAACCTCAGTGTTATTATTAACAAGCTGGTATATTTACCAAGTTTTTCAAAGTAGATTATTGTGGGTACGAAGACAGTTGTTGTAGCATTTAGAAAAACTTAATTAACACGTTTCATACTTGGTCCATGCGGCGCAGCAGGAATGTCGTATTCCACATATTTCCGATGTGGAAGTGCCCGACGATTAAGCCGATTCTGCAGTGCTGTATTGGATTTCAGCACATCCAGCGGCAGCGTGGTTTCCGTTGCGTTCAGCAGGTCATTCAGCCGCCACACTTGGGAATAAGGGGCATTGGGGCCACGACAATTCCAGACGAAATGATCCTGACTGTCGGGACTGAAGCTAATATCCTCGAAATATGTACAATTTGACTGCAGCCGACATGTTAGGCAGGTGGCATTGTTGCCGATAATCTGCAGCAGGTGCCGGTTTCTTGGATGGTCGTAGGTGGCGGAAACGTACCTGTAAAATGCGGTAAATAATTTTACTCTAAACCTGGTTGTCTCATGCTGCCTCGCCAAAAAACATCGAAGTGTTTTAATTAATCAATGTCGCTAACAGTGTTAGGGGGGACGTGTTGTGCACAGCCAGAATACTCAAAATATCGTAATCAAAGGTCAAACATGACGGTCGCACATCGGCCTGCATGGGCACATTATAGGTGCATATTGTTCTGTGCATTTGCGGGTCGGCATTTTGGAAATTGGGTGAAATCATTAAAAACTGACGTCCAGCGTCTACAGGTTTCGGCTCACTGTCCTGCGAAAATACGAAAAAAACCTTCATCAAGCGTCAACACAATGGTATACGTAACAATACCAGTAACATAAGTTGATTAGCTGCATAATATTCATCTCGAAAGTTGTGCTGTAGTGCTGTGCTGTCTCGAAACTAGTCCTTGTGGTTATTTCTACATTTTGTAGTGTAAATAGGCGACTGCTCATCGATTGTAATTTTTGTTTAGAAAAGTACAATTCGTAATCAATTGTTACGGTGCAACATTCCCCTTTTGAATGAACATTCACGGAAAGTGTACTTACATCTAACCAACCGACTTCAGCTTTCTGGATGGAAATTTTTGTACAGCGCATTTGTTCTGGAGAACACTGCGACAGCAGGGACACATTCTGGTGTCGATTGGTCCAGCGGACAAATAAAGAATTAGCTGACAGCCATGTCATGGATGTGATGTAATAATCACTAGATCGGAACAATTAAATCCCGTTATTGCGATCCGACGCTGTAGGAAAATGCCAGCTATGGAGAGCTTACTCAAATTCAAAGCCGGAATTCTTATCCGGCGGCGGTATTGCCGTATTTGTGGACATTTCCGATAACGGTTTTTCAGTGTCCACGATGTGTAATTGTACAGTTGGGTTTCGATGTCCCGCCTACAGTCAATATGAATACTCACAAACGGGAAGTTATGTGAGCAGCATGTAAAAGTGATAACTTGAACTGTAAAGCAAAAAAATTAAAAAGTCTGTGGTTTGTGAAAGTAAAGCCAGATAGTATCAATCTGTACATTATTTTGTTCTGTTGTATTCGTATCACACATGCAAACACTTATTATAGAGTACTTTGATCATATCGGGCATAAATAAAGCTGATTATTACCTTTGGATACCGTATTTTTGTGCTGTTGGTGTATTGTTGCAGCATAGAATCCCCGCCATAGGTATCAAACGAGAATGTCTCCACCAAAGTATCGTTAAAACTCAAAAATGCAATATATCGGCTATCGGGCGACCACCATATTGCATTGTCTTGGCTTAGAATTTCCTCTGTAATATTGTACGAAGGATCAGTATTCTCATAGTAATCAATATAACACAGAATGGGTACAACTACAGACAACGATAATACGGTCTACAACATAGTACACTTCACGAATATAAAATGCACAATAATCACAGCGCTCGCTAAAGATTAAATGGTTGGTGATTAATCCAGTCTGTGCTTACCAAACTACATATACTGCCGTAAGAAGTACATATTAAGATAGCAGCATCCTTTTATAATTAAAACATTTTTCCGCGCTCGGAATTGCTCCATTTTCAATCAAAAGTCACAGTTATTTTTACTTAATTATTCCTTTTTAACTCTATACTACATGCAAGGGGTATATTAATTGTTATGGTTTGGTTATTGTTACATTACGTGTACTTGTACAATACGTATCGATTGAAAATAAATTCTCGATCTTAGAGCAAGTGCACCGTACCTTCGTATAGCCAATCAGGGATTCCATTATATACGACCACTTCATTTTCGTCGGTAGATCCAGTGGATGTTAGCCGTTTTTGGACGGGATTGTTTGGTTGCGTATAGTTCATAAAATAAACATCATTCTCATATACAAAGACCTACAAAAGAACCGCACTGAATAGACTGTCAACCATCCGTGTGACACAAATTAAAATTTTTGACATAACCGGTGTATATAGTAGTCCAAAATAACCATAACTGCGCTTTTACCAGTTTGTCGGAGCTGGGAGCCCACTTAGCATATTGCAGTCTGACAGGAAGAGAGACAGCCTCCGGGCCAACTTCCCGTGAGTCGTTAGGGAAGGCGTGGTAGTGCAAATCAAAAACTTTGTAGAAGGCTTTCTGTGTGTGCCGATAGACCTACGAATGATATATACGGTTAATACAGTTTACATTTCAACCGCGGCCAACGTACACAACGCTTCGTTCAGCCATCAATAATGCATTCAGCCCGATGTCATTAATGCAAATCCGCGTGCTAATAATAGTTTTCCCTATAATTCCCGCTTTGATAAGCCCCGTCAACCTGGACGCGCGGATGCAGAAAAACGGTTTTGTTCCACGCAATATTACGCACGGGCAATTACGCAATTTTTAGTGTACAAAAGTGAAATTAATTTGCTTCGTGCTCTAGTTGTGCACATGCATTATTAGAAATAAATGAGAATCGAACATTGATAACTGTCCTGCATTAATTATTGTACAATATTATTGTAATATGTTGGTGCTGCCGTACACCATGCGGATGCAATTTGCACTATTTGAAACAACCAAAGAAGTGCCTAAATTTTACGCTTGACCTGGTAGCAGAAATTGTAAGCTTTTTATTAACATATGCAATGGTTTAAAATTGAAGTTTTTGCACTAACCTTTAGTGGATCTTGCGAATATAAAAGGTACCGCCTGGATGGTGATACCAAGTAAGAGTTAATCTTGTCGTTTGTTTTCTGTAAAATAGAGAGTGAAATGTTGTCAGTAATAATTTTTCATAGCTATATTCAGGATGTAAACAGAATCAAAGGACAAAGTTCTTACAACATCCACTAACAAAGATTTGGTATTGTTTTGCAGATCAAGTAATATGATTGATTGGTTGGTCTCTGACTGGAAGAGCAGTTCATGACCTAAACAAACAAAACGGAATGTTACGAGTATAATGAAAAATTTTGCTTCTTTTTTCACATCTTGCCAAACAATGCAATTGAGGTGATTGTAATAAACTATTGCACACTTTATATCTTAAAATTATTACATAAGAATTGTTAATAGCAGTATTTTTTCCACAATAGTACAAAGCTCAACACAGTCTTCCACCGGCTTTATAAAAAAAAACTTAAAAGAATTATCACAAGAAAAGAATTACAAAAATAACTTAATGCACAATATATCGTTTTTATCTGCGTCATTATTAAGTTTGTGCTTTAATATACTAGATAAGTCGAGGCAAAAAGTGTGGCATCGTGGATATTCATTTTACTGGCTTGTTTTAACAATCTCGCTCTTTATACCGGTGCCGTGAAAAATCACTGAAGAAAATCATCACTCGTAACAATATATTCAGAAACTGAATGGATTTTTCAATTAAGTTATTACGGTAATAATAATTTCAGGCTTATTAATACACCAACCCGGATTTAAGTACCTGATAGCCACTGCACGTCGCGGTAGGACGCCGACAGACTTCCGTCCGTCACCTCATGAATAGCTAATGGTATTCCGTCTCGAAAATGCTCCTCGTGTGCTGTTGGATGGGCAGGATGATGATAAGTGCACGTCAATTTAATAACAAACGCGGTAAGCAAACTATCAGAATGCTGACTCTTACACGGTGCTAGTAACGTTATAGCCAAAATGACCAGTGCGCAGATGACAGCGATAACCAAGAGCGCGATTCCGATGCCCTTCCAGTTCTTTCCGCCGGTGGATTCCGGTCCGGCTAATTCCTGAAATTGTTTGCGTGGTACTTTTTGCGGTATAGATGTGGGGTGCATTTTTTCTTACAATAACACAGATCACACGCGATGTGCAAACATATGGTTTTGATAAGAGATGGCATAGAATAAGAATTGATTTTGATATCGATGGTGCGCACGGTAATTTTGGCTATAACTAGCAATCACGAGAATGATGAACGTTGATTTTACTATAGCAATGCAACTTTAAAATCAAAGAGCAACATATACAGGATGATCGACCCAACCGTGCGCCGTCGAGTCGTCGACATATATATGCGGACTGTATGGATAAATCTGCGCAATTCCCTTGCTTCCAGCCGTCAACGTTAACGGTACGGTTATATATCTCGACATACAGATTTTTTGTTATAGCTGTCACAAATTGTTAGTCCCGTGGGGATCTGAGCCCAGCTGGCAGGGAATGCGGTAACAAACAGCAGTTGCCGGTAATCTGCCAACTCGCGGCAAAACACTATCATTTATATGCGTAGCCAGTTGTATGATACTTTTTGCAAATATACAGATGTTCGTATACAGATACTCCACTGAAGCTTCTCTAGCTGTAGTTTATCTTTAACAAAATGCAATATGACTCTCAGTAAGACAACGCTAGCGGTTCTTTTCAGATGGTTTGGCATTATGCGTATAAACGTTCCAAGCACTTGATTACGCAGTAATTAACGCAGTCTTCTGCAGGAATACAACATGCTTAAACGTTTTTCCTGAGTGGATGATAATTCAAACTGGAATGCACTGATACTATAAGTACGACTACTACAGTACTCGCACGTAAAAAACAAAAACAATTAGTTTTATGAATTTTTCTTGAATACTGAGGTCAGTGCTAGCAAGGATGTCCAAAGCAAAATTGGAAATTCGTAGGCAATTAGGTGCTCGTCTAATTCTTGCTACGTACGTCTGATCTAAACGACTGAGCGGTACGTAAAAATATGGATACCTATAACATTATTTATAATCACGTAGATATGGAAAACATGTCAAATCGCCTTGCATTTGTGGAATAGTGCAGTGCTTACTGGGAGCACAGAGCTGTACTGGAATTTGTGGATATAAAGCAAATGAAATTAAATGTCGACAAGCAGAAATTTAGGTACATCTTTCCGTCGTGAATGATTAGAAGATCGGTATCACCGTAAAGTTTTAGGGTGAGCGACTAATAAGATGATACTAAGGTACAGTAAGTACTAGTAGCGCTTTCAGTCTGTAACTATACATTCGGATGACCATTCCCCATAAATTTGTTCTTGGGAACTTTTTACAGAAATAAGCTATGATGACTTACCGAATCCATTCTAAGATATATGCTTGCTACAAAATGTGCGCGGTCACGTTTTGTAGCAAGACAAAACACCAGAAGCAGTCGAGATTCGTCTAATCATTCACCATGATAGATTTTGCATAATTGCTACTGCAGCTAAAATATTATTATCTACGGTAGCAAATTTTATTAACCGAACAACAATTAAGTGCTCATATGTGCGGGCAGATTATAAATGTAGCGCACACGGCACGCTGCACTCCGAAAGAAATAAAAACCGGCAAGGAATAAGTGCCTCGTAGTGCGATAAAAGTAAGCTTAAGTGTAAGGGCAATCAATACTGTAGTGATAAATATTTAATAATACTGCTAAATACATAAAAACGACTCTGCTACAATCAGAAAAGTTAATGAATTGATGTGGGTATGACAGTACAACACATTTGCACGGTATGAGAGTTAAAAGCCAGTTAGGTACACTCGTACTGTAACGAAATATCAATGCCCTGATAAACTTGAACCAGATCGACAAACCCATCCAGAACTGCAGTTACAAAACATACAGTTGCGAAACGTGACATTCCAGTTGGAGCTTCAACAAATAGCCAAATGTTTGGAGTAATTTATATGGGAACACCTACTTGATTATTCGTTTGCTCATTGCGTGAAGTGAGAACAAATGTGCCACTTTGCTTCCTGTTAAGCATTTCCAGTGCCTGCTTGATAATGACTGTTTGTTAAATCTTTAACGTTTAATAAAATAGCTGGTTCCGTGATTTGAGAAGATTCGGTCCCATATACATACACTTCCACTCAAATAACTGCATGGAAGAATTCTGCGCGCGCTCTTATAAGCCCAGAGGGATCCAAAAAACAACAAGCACTGTTATGGGACCCTTGAGAAGCACTGGAGCACTTGGTACACGATAATGAAAAAAATAGCACGTCCAGTATTTACCAGTGAAAGCACCAACACTGATATAAAAATGTAAAGTGGGTTGAAGAATTTCGCATTAGCCTGATTACTTTGTATTAAATTATCAGTAGATAATTATTCTTTGTTCCACATTTTATCATCTATCAGCCAAGCAGCCAATGCGCATAGTTGATCTTTATTGTTTTCTTATCAACCAGCTCATTGTTATTTCGAACCGTTATGAAGGCAATACCAATCGACAGGTACGTAGACTGCACAAAATGCTCGTGTGCCCGTGCGTATTTTGGTAAGGTCCCGTACGAGCCGGTACGACTCATAACTTATTAAAATTTTAAAGTTTGTTCGCAATCAGTGCTTCTAGGACAAACTTACAACCAGCCCTTTTCTAATGTTTTCGGGATGAAAGTTTAAGCACTTATAGCATGAGCATGCATTGCATAACAGTATTTGGCAAAACAGAGAATAACTTATCATTTTCAGAATCTGCAGTAGAATTTGTGATGTTGCTTGCTCTGTAAACCAAAGAGAAAAAAAAAACAACATATACAGGTACATAATACGAATTAATATCAGTACTCGTATGTCGAACGTTAGAAAACATTTGCGCAAACTATTATCATAGTTCTATGAGGACGCTTTGACGTTGCGGATTTCTTAAACTTGGAACAACGGCAAAACAAAATTTCCCTGTGAGTTTTTAAAAGAGGAGAAACTTTTTTGGGTTAGCTCATAAAAAGACTGCAAACGTGATGGAAATGCACACGTCTACCATGTCACAATCATATCACGTGTAATCATACGTAAAAATTTTGACGAAATCTGGGCTGCGTATTCGATTCATGATCAGCAGCTGACTGGACAAAAAATTGCGGATATGTTAAGTGTGCGAACTAGGTACAGCTCACGAATACTGTCCGCCATGACATGCGGACGTTTCAGGTGGGATAGAGGCAAGCCGAAAATCTGCATATTGAGGGACATGAGACTTCCGGCTACCGCCGCGTGGTACATACTGTATCTGGATGCACGACTCAATGCATTTATACCACGTACCCGTACCAGCAGAAACGAAAGGCCCAATAAGTCTGCAATAAACTATATAATACAGTATGTGAATTGTATGGAAATACAAAGAATATAAGGATAACCAAAGTTAAAGCCGGATTCATGACCTTTCCACATTTGACTTCACGATATGATTGAGCCTAGGGAGTTCTAGCGATCCACCAAATATGAAACACGTTGTATGAATTTTTCGATCAAAACCGTTCTGTTTTCTTCCATCTGCAGATAGTTTAGATACTTGTTGTGTAATTTAAGAAGGTACGTAAAAGCTCCGCATATCAACTTGTAGCTCTTTCAAAAGAGAAGATATGCCATTTTCTACCGTCGAACGGAAGTTTGTGTACTTCTCGTGCGCAGTCACCTGTACGAACCATTCAAGTGTTTCAGGTAGGTATTTAAATTTAACAAAAATAGTTAAATGGATGGTGGTGTGCGGAGCCACTGATGGCGTTGCAAAAGCGGTGTTAGAAGTCAAAGATGAGCCAGGGAACCAACGGTGGTAAAAAGGTGGTGTGCGGAACCTCCATCATTTAAGAATAATCTGTAGATTCAAAGCCAATTAAAAACACGTGCACCTACTTACAAGCAAGCCTAATAATTTTATGTGTCTTTACAGATACTGTCTCATGGACTGGTCTGTTTCGGAAAATAACTAAAGAATCATACAAACCCAGAAAGGTCACACTGTTTATATGACTAGGCAAAATCCTCAAATCTGATTGGATTGATAAAGTATGAGAACTGCATAACGCTCGTTCGACCAGCTATAAATTTTCGGACGATCCTCGTTGCCGACAGGCAGGTCAAATCCTATGCCCGTACGTTGCAAAAATTTTCGAATTCAAAAATATATTTATACTTGATTTTCTTTTGGTAAAGCGACATTTGAATTAAATCATTGTGTATTTATTAATGTAAGCATGCATACTAGACTCCTTACTCAGTACTACATATAAGAATTGTTTTATTTGTAGAGTACGTTGAACAAGTACGAAGTGCACTACATATCCGAGAAAGTACGAATATTTGGCTGAAAAAGAAACTGTATCCACCGGAAATATGTTGATTAAATGTCAAAATTAATTAAACTAAAAACCTAAACTTAAATTTGTGGAGAATGGAAGGGTATGTGCAGTTTGAACAAAATCGCCCGCCCCCCAGACACTCTTCAACAGCTCCTCTAATGCATTTTGTCCAATTTTTACCAGCGCATGCCCATGGAACATTTATGATCTAACGACATCAGAATCACCAGACCGCATACAGACACACAAACGGGCTACTTCCGGTTGAAAATTTGTACTGTCCCTGAAAATTTGTTTCTCGTGATGAAATGCTGTTCAGCACAACCTGCTTCCCGATGTGCCGTTTAATAAACTTTACCAAATCTAGCATCATTTACTTATTTGACAGTATAGCCGAAGACCTAGCGCGGAAACTGCCAAACAGTTCCCAAAAAAGTACTGTACCCACATGCAAGGATTTTTCTGTCTTTAATCATCTAAAACATATATCATAAAGCCAATCTTCAGCTTGCAGTTAAATTTCTCACAATTTCATGGCCATATTCGGTCCGCAAGATGATTTCCGAAAATTAGCCGGAAATTGCTGCGAAAACGTTCCCCATAAATTTTTATCTTGAGCAGTGCCCTTTTGTTACTACTTTTGCATGTAGGATTTAGGCTAACTCCGTTGCAGTAAAGGGAAGACAACAAGCAATAATTACTCTGTGCTCTGACTTTGTTTTATTATAACAATTACTTATAATTCGACGCAAAGCGCAGCATCTCTCTGCACCGGCGTGGAGCCTTGGAGCTTGCGTTAAACTTTTGCATGCAGTGTGAATCATCAAACTGCAATACATAAATTTTTCACGCATCGAATTTTGTTTCAAATAATAAAAAATTCTAATCCGAAATACGAAATTTTTTTGTTTACTATTTCTTATTATACTCTTATCGTAGTACGAGTCGCAGGGGTCGAGCCGTTATATGTCTACAAATACGATATTTCAAGTATATCGCAAAGGAAAGTACCTCTACTAGAATGCAAAATTTTCTCGATTAAGTTCTCAGCAAAACCGTGTAGAGCTGAAAACACACAGGCATTTTATATGTTTTCTTACAAAAGCTAGCAAAACTGTTTTCTTAGCCATACAGTTAGTTGATGTGAATTTTAATTTTACAACGAAATTTATGTAAAAGCACGCTGATACAAATTAATTTAGCAATCAGCAGTCAAGCTTGCATCGGCATAAAGATCGGCAGTGGCAGTACCAAAACAGGTCGAACTGCTGATATGCCGATTTCCGGTCGCGAACCTTGTTGAACCCAGGGATGCCGGCGCGCTGTACTGCCTAGGCAATTTTTTGCTACTTGTCGAAAAAGTAGCAACAATTTGGTCAAATAAGCAGCACCTAAACTTCTGCATATACTGATATACACAACGTTGCAATCCGAAGTATCAAATGAAATGTCTAAATCTATTTTTATCAATTTCCACCCGGGTGTCCGGGCTTCGAGGGAGGAAATTGACAATTTCTTGGGTGCGTTATCTACATCCGCGTAAAATTATACGCGGCGTTATTTTGAGTGATGTCGGCAATGTCTGTCGACATACAAAACATCATGGCTTAAAAATAATTACAGCGAGCTATGCAGAAGTGGCAAACTAATTACCAGTTTTATTCTGCAACATTTAAGCTTGTGCAAAGTTCTAAATCACTATAAATTTTTTGTATTATACTAAACCATCGATAATTATCATATTACACTACGCCATTAATATTAAACTCCGTACTTGAAAAGCTAAAAATATAATATTTTATCACACGCTTACCTCTGCATGCATGCCTATGCTTCAGTAACACGTGAGCACGCACACACAATACCGTGCACCAAATGTACACAAAAGCAAAACCATTCAAAATTCACCGTACAAAAGTACATGCAAATGTGTAGTCGTAAAATATTTTTGTTTTGTGCATATGCTTCATTTAAAATTTTAACATAGAGGAGTGTACTACTTTCTGCACGCTAGCTTGTATACACCATCGCATAAAACTGTACAAACAACACAGGTGTACAGCTCACAATCACCATGTCGGCATTCGGGTACTATAGACGATACAAATACGATTATCGGCGTTCACATCATTGTCTGAATTGAAGCACCGGGAACACAATGGCAAGATTCCAGAAATGTATCTCCTAAGTATAACATACCTCAGAGTCTTCGAAATTATCCATAGACCTTTATCCTTTATTGGCTCAATCGAAATCGATTCTTCCAGCTGGTTGAGTGATTTTCCTAATCGGACAAAAATTCGGTAGCTAATAAAAAATTACCAAAGCACTTGAGCGCACAAACCTTTTCTTTCTGCTGATGCGTTTACTTGAAATCAGATGCCGGTCACTGCGGACGAACGCTGTACCATTGTGGTCTGCGGTTAAACAGTAGATCAAAACAGAAGACGGTGCATGTGCAGTGGACACAATGCAATCAGCCAAACAACATTTGCGCGGCATGTGCGGATCGCCGTTACATTGGAGTATAAAGAAAGAACGACTTATCCCCTACTCATGGGGTACAGCCTTCGACAACTCTTAAAAAAGCACTTAATTCCACGGCAATCTTTGTAGTGACAGCGGGAGGAAGAAAGTGGATAAAGCAGTTTAGACTTATATTACGCTACAAAGGGAACATCACGGCTAATTGGTTGGTACACTACGGCGAGGGAGGGTTGCGCATACAACACCGGCTTACAATTGCGCACAGTAGTCTGTATAATCGACTGCTAGGCGGATAGCGGCAGTTGACTATACTCATGTACGGTTTCCGTTGTACACTTGATAATGTCTAATTTTAATCGCTGATCATGACTTTAAACAGCTGTTTCAAGTCCCAGTTTCGATTGCTGTTTTTGCGGTGGGGTGTAGATTTTTTGTATATACAAACGGACGCACACGCGGAGCAGACCGGGATTGAGGGATGGATAAACTTGTCATTGGATAGAGAGGCAAACAGTTCATGCGAAAAACATTGGGTGGAGAATATTGCTGTACTGCTAGCAACCGCAACGCTGTCAGCAAGTGATGCAGGTTGCAATTGATTGAAGCCTGACACACTTGATCGGCAGTGAGTGAGAGAAATATACTGCCGGAGAAAAAAATATAAGAAGACAAAATTCTTCCCGGGGATTCATCGATAAATCTGTTAATCATTGTGTGTGTAAGCGCGACCATCATTTGATAGCCGTCGTTGTCTCGACATGGTTGTTTCCGGTGTGCTGAATTTGCGGGTATTTTCTTCCATTTGACTGCGTCCTTCATCGCGTATATAGTTGTCCCCCTTTAAATATCGCGTGCGACAAAATAATCGGCAATTAGGCAGGCATGTAACCATAACAATCCCGGCGGAAAATGTTTGAGTTATACTTTGCTAGATGATCGAAAATTCTGGACTAGTGTGTTTGCTTGGCATAGAGTATTGATGGGTAGCCGCGGTGCAGCTGTATGCTCCAACATAAGGGACAGCATGCCGCTTGATCATTAATATTTCACAGGATTTCTCTCAAATAAATCGATGTTGTAATTTAAACCGCTTCCAGCCATTCAGTCCAGTATGTACTCAAGTAATGTAACATTGCACAACTATTCAGACGCACTAATACCGGCATTGTTAAAGGTTGCTACGACCTACAAGAGGTGTCTGCTATCGATGCAGTTGGATAGTAACCGGAAGAGACATATGTTTAATTTTCTAAAGCATAGATCAAATGGTCTGGAAAATTATGAGAAAGATCAGCAAAAATTAAAAGCCACAGAAATCGTTAAGTACGTGCCGGCGAGTTTTACAATTTATTTAATTTATTTGGCCAAGTTGCCAACAATCTTTGATGTCCGCAGTCATAAAGAAATACTAGATACAAAACATTTTGTTTAATTTTTTACTGGAAAATGAACTACAATGTTTTAGGAATTATGTTTTGCAGGAATTATTAACATTTGGTATAAGGAAGCCTCACAATTCCGTGCAGTTCATTTGTTCGCAGTGCCCACACAAACCAACCGACTGTTGGCCACCAGTTAATATTGCCGGCAGCAGCAGAAAACTGGAGTGGTCTGTTTAGCATGTCGGCTACGTAACACCCGACCGGAAGAGCGTATTTCCATGAACAAACGCCATCAACCACTTTCGATTCTGCATCAAATAACAAAATATATAAACAAAGCTTGATTAACATTATGCAAACGATGCGACGTAATTACGGCACACGACCGAATGCCGCCGCACACCACTAACCTAATTAACCCAGGCAGCCGGTCATTCGCTAATTATATAGTACCGAAAAACTTTACACGGCTGCCGCGCAAAACCAGACCATGGGCAGTTTCACTGGTGCACTGCTGTATCTTTCATTGCTTGCTTTTTTTGCTGCTCTCCACACCGTGTCCAGTTACGGCATCGGCAACAACTGGCCCACGCCAGCGCCGCCACCGGTGACCCCGCCACCCGCGGTCATTCCCACGGTTACGCCGCCGCCCCTCTTCCCTGATTTCACATTTTACCCTACACCGGCGCCACCGGCCACACCGCCGTACATCCCCATTGTCGTCAATACACCGACCTATGCCCCGGTAACCACATTTCCCACGTTCCCCACCTTCCCGACCTTTCCAACGTTCGGTACATTCCCGACCTTTGCCACATTTCCCACCTTCCCAACTTTTCCCACGTTTCCGACCTTCCCAACGTTTGCGACTAATCCACCGGGTCCGATCACACCCCATGTGACGCCGGCGCCGATTGTGACACCCATCACCCAGTTTCCGACGCCCCCGGGCAACCCTTGTATCAATATTGTGCCAGGCACGCTGACGACGCCGCCGACAAACCCCTACAGACCGGGTGCGTACTATAATCCCATTCCAGCGGTGACGGTGGCGCCGGCGCCGCCCAGCCGGCCATCCGTTTTCTTCCCCACACCGCCATCATTTCCTCTACCATCCCCGCCAGGATTACCCCCGCAACCCGTGACCTGTCCTCCGTCCACGGATACGCCGCCTTATTATCCGGGTTCATATGGAGGTAAGCGAAAGATGTCGTTTGTTTGTAAGATGCGATCAGATTCCTTTTGTGCCGTTTTAAAATTTAGTATGTCCCAATTAATGAATTATGTGGTAGCAAAACAGGTCAGATTAAAAAATAAACTGACTTAAAAATTGTACAATAAGACTAAAATTCCTCGGTTGGGCGTGAAACGACCTTACCCGTGAATATACCTACGCATGCTATATTTAACCTCGTTACCTATGACAGTTCAAAAGTTTGCAGAATAATTTTAAACAGTTTTTAAAGAAGTATTAAAGAAGTATTTTTAAAGAAGTTAATTAGACAAACTAATGAACTAATGAAAACTAATGAAATATACTAGTTACAATGCGGTTATTGTGTGCATTTAGCTATGTTTGTCGCTGTTCATTGGTGAAACCTTTACGTAAAAATACCAATATAATTTCGCGAAGCAGCAACTACGACCTGATAGTGTCGTAATAATGCTTTTGTGCGGCTGCACGTTAATGATTTCTTACGCTTATGTGGAAACATTATTATATGAATGCCCGATTTACTTATCCTAATGAAATCAGCGGAAGTACTGACAGAAATAGCTCTCCACCTGGTGACGGCGCATTTCCATGATTTACAGGATCTGGTTACGGGATATACAACTACCATGGATCATACGGAGTGTCGGTGTCTGTCAGCGGCGGATCACCACCCTCGCAAATCGACCAGATAACGCTGCTGTCGCAGTACATGACGGACTTCCTGATGACACTGACCAAAGAGCAATTAATTGCGTTTTTCCGTGTGTTCTACATGTCGCAGGCACTGGGAGCACAGTTACTGGATCCCCGCACAGCCTTACCGCGCTCCATACAGCAGCCGGATCGGCAGGCTATAGAAACCGCCAGGAATATTCCACGTAAACCCACAATAATTAACTCGTTAATTTTATGCTGGTATAATATGTGTCATCGTAAACATCAGGCTCCAGTATCAAAATTTTTTAGTGTCCTTGCCGCAGTTACAAGCACTGGAGTTCACGGAATTAGGGAGAATTATGAAACGCTATGCGGCACAGATCAATACCGCGCCCAAAAAAGAACGAGGAAGTCTCATAAAAGAGTACCATCGCGTTGTTAATGAACTAAGGCTACCGAAAGGTGAAACGAGTATTTATAACTTACGCCATTTCTGCGATACATGTTTTGATATGTATTGCCCTTTATTCGGCAGCTGCCAAAATACGTAACAAAAAGCGTGGTAGAATCTACCAAAAACTATTTGATACATGTACAATATGTGAAGTAATTAATCCCAACGTGCACTATCGATCAATACTCTTAAGATTTAACATGTTGCTGTTTTTCTTTTCTAGGTATCAAATATGCCCTTAAACAGGCTGTTTTATAGCCTGTAAGGAACCTTTCGGCAGAAATTGTTTTTTGTCGAAAATCAAAGTTTTGTGCAATTTGGTTTATACTTTATACAGAAATATTCATAAAACGGAATAAATCTGATTTTCTGTGGACGAAAATGCAAGAAATAAACGGCTGAGTTTTTATTTGTCCATCTATGCGCCAGTAAAATGCGTCATATTATCATGGAAAGAACAAAAGGTAAATCGTGAAGTTTGTTGCACTAAAGAGCTGGAAGCACATATCATAATCCTCTCTCCGAGAAACCTTACTGTAACCACTCTGCAGACGAATCAATCAGTCTGAAGGAGCAATTTAATTAGCTCAGCATGGTTACCTACTGTACACCAATCTGCAATGCCAGCAGAGGTAGACGAAATATAAATATTCCTTTACGTATAAAAAGCAAACCAAACAGCAGAAGCACAATTAGTAACGTCACAACATATAGCGCTTTAAAAACGATTAATAACGCAATAAATAATCCGAATAAAAGAAAGAATGTTCATGCCCTTACAGCTTACTGTAGACAATGTAGAACAGAAATCATCTTGGAGCTTGACAAAAAAAATTAAAGTATCGATCACCGCTTTCTTTTCTTATTGGTCGGTCGTCCTTCCCCGTTTCCGCCTTCTGCTACATTGGCATTTGCACCCGGCGAGGGCGCCGATTCATCAACGCCTGCTTCTAAAACGGTGTGCGAGACTTCTCCACTGCGGCTCTTCCGTGTGGACGGCGTCCGTTTTGGCAGGGGCGGCACACTAACGAACGCATCGTTACAGTACTTTGAATTGGTTTTCCGCTGTCGTGTCGGCCTGGCTTCGAACGTGCTGCCAGCAGGAACTTGGGACTCCTGAGACGCTTCACTTTCAGTTTCGTCAGCTTTTTTCGCTTCCTGGACATCTCGTTTCTCAGCCTTCACAACTGGTGCTTGCACCTTCGGCGGTTCCACATCCGATTTATGCGGTATGTCAGATTTTTCTACGGGCTGGAGGCCTCCTTCCTCTTTCGATGTCGAAGGCTCCAGAGTAAAATCAGTTATAACAGGAACAAATTTTGGACGCTCTTTAACAGGAACTGGTTTCGGCTCCGGCTTCACGTCCTTTTTGGCCGCAATAGCCGCTCTCTTAGGTGGTTGAACCTTTATTTTGGCAGCGGGCCGCTTTAGAGATTTAGCTTGAGAGATCGGAAGTTTTTCTGTAGAGATTTTTGTTATTCTGGACTGGAACTGCTCAGGAGGCCTGACAACAGCCTTGGGTTTTACTCTGGGGCCTACTGGAACCGGCTTTGGAGAACTCGACGAGGTAGTTGGAGGAACAACTTTTTGCGCTATTACGGTTGGAGGGCGCTCTACTTCTTTCGGTTTGTCGGGAACAACTGCAAATAACAGACAAGTAACTTGAGCTCAACAAATAGCCGAAAAAGTTTAAACAATGATAATGTACACACTGTTTAATCATGATATTAATGCACTGCACCTTTCTGTTCGGTTTTAACATCCTTTGCACTTTTCGCTGGCTTCTCTTCGTCCGAACCACTTTCAATGGGGTCGAACAAAGCATCCAGGGATGGCGCTGCTGGTTTCGTATCCACAACAACATCCTTCTCCGTTTTCGTTTCAGGTTCTTCCTGTCGTGGGGAACTTTCCGCGGATACCGGCTCCGTGGTCACCATAATATCAGATAAGCGGTCTTTGCCGGGGCTATTGTCAGGAGGTAAATGTTCAACAGAATGGGTCGATAAAGGCTCACTTTCCGTACTCGACGGATGTTCCACCAGTGTTACGGAGGAAGCTGGTTCACCATTATCCGACGGGGATAAGATCTCGTCAGTGGCCACGCTCGGCACATCGTTAGTACTGCTAGGCGGCGAGGAGCCCCATTCTTTCCCCGATGCTAGCATCAACAAAACCAGCGCCCCTTCCACACGATCGTCACGACTTTGCGCGGTGGATACCGGGGGACGCGGTGACAATGATGGCGGCTCACTGGAGAATCCCGTGTCGGGAACATCCATCGAATGCGGCAGGGGAACATCGTCCAGATCCATCGCGGAGCCTTCGGGACTGGAGATTTCCATGTCGACCAGATCGGGGGATTTCGAGCGCGAATTGCGCAGGTCTTTTCTCCGCACTTCCTCCGGTTGCAATCCGTTCGGTGTATAAAGATTATCGCGGTAGGAAAATGGAAGAGACATCGGAGGCGCAGGTAAACATTCCTCGTCACCGTGCATTTTCCGCAGGCGTGGAAAATCAGGCATAGAAGATTCGATGCACTGCTTAACTTTTTCGCCCACAATACGGGCAACAGAGTCCTCGAAACGCTGAATGGGAATCGGGTTGGAATAAACGCCCGTGTTGATTTCTTGCAACAGGTCTCGAATACCTGTATCTACGAAGCTTAACCTAAACAAATAAATACAAAAATAATTAGGAAAGTGCCCTCTTTTTCTGCGGGCACAACATGACCAAAGTTTAGCAAAATTACTGCCATTGCTGTACACGAGACAATTTTGGAGTTAACTGCTAATGTTAGCGTGGTTTTATTTTATTTTCTTTTTGTCAGAGCATCTTGGGGTTTATAAAACAAAATATAATGACAAAGTATATAGTACATACAGAAGCAAAACAGAATTTGTCCATATTGTATAGAAATCATAGATAAAGAAATAATGAATAATAAATCTACCAAGGACTGAACAAAATAATAATTTATTGCAAAAGTTCCAGCTAACGTTAGTCAATTACCATTACCAGAGAAAATACCAGCTAACTGGAATTTTTTTCTCTGCCAATACGGTTATTTGTTCGTACCCTTCAATGAAATGCTGCAGTTTGTCGCGCAACTGGGTCTTATTCAGGTCGGTGGACCACTTGATAGTTTTCAAGAATTCGGAGCAGCGAATCTCCACCCGACGAATTAGGTTCTGAAACTGAGGCTACGAAGAACAAAGATACTTTTACTTAAGTTTCCAAGACCGATGACAGCTGGTTTGCTTACCTTGGTTTCCAAATCTTTCAGCCATGCTCTACGAAAGCTATCGAATATTCCGTCGTCTTTCACCTTCCTCGCAATATCAGACGTCATCCTCTCTTTCGCTCGGGCCAACGCAAAGGCCCTCAGATCAGGAGGTGGGATGCGTCTATATAACTGCAGCAGTTCCCCTTCGTCGACATCAAGACTATCTTGCGCTGTCTCCGGAGTTGCGTTAATAATGGGATGCGCGTTCTCTGTGAGTGGCACCCCCCCTACAGGGGACATCTGGGTAGGCAAGGAACTGAAGGAAGTATCGGATGCAGGCTCCGAGGGCTCCACACTCTGGGGTGTGCTCTCACCTTCCATGAGTGATGTTGCAAATGAGCGAATGTATAGGAGAACGTTAGTCGTTACAGACGAAAAAATTGTCAATCAACCTGACACACCAGCACGGAGGATGAGTGTGCACTGGAATGACTGGATACTCATATGTCAGCCACTACAGACAATCCAAAGGCCAAAATTCTACAACAAATCCACCTGAACATTTAACGACTTGGGTTGCCATGAAATAACTATAACGCGGACTTACTATTGTCAAAACTGAAGTTGTTAACAAAACTTCAATATAGCGAACAAAAAATCGTATTTACTATTTTACTTGCAACTAAAAAGCTTTCATTACGTACAGTAATCGACAAGAGCAAGACAGATATCTACTGCATATGCTTTCATGCGCTTTCGGTGAGTGCTGACTACCGAGTTCTGAAGCTGGATTTGCGCCTTACCAGTTAAGTGCATTCACTACCCTGGTACAGCTGCTTTTATACAGTACAAAATTTAATATATCTATATAATATTATAGAATAATAAATAATTATATTTAATAAATAATGACTTGTTAGCTATTATCATGTTATGTTTTACAGTATTTTTACTTCCAGAATTTACTTGGATTTTACCATACATTACTTAATCGTTTGTCGGCGTATGGTTAACGGTATCCCTATGTTTTTGTAGCAAGACCAGGCATTATCCAGTACCTCTCCCGAATACCCAATCGATTTTTATTTGCTGATCGATATCGGATTTTGTGTAGTTGGTGGATGCCAGCTGTGCGGCGTCTTCAAGGTGAGGAAACGCTCTAGAATAAATAAGCCTCCGTAGTCCGTGTTACTATTGCTCAGCATTTCGATAGAATTATTCGTATCGTCATTTCACTGATTGTCACAGCAGGGGATCTTGCAGCTCTTCTTTTCTGTCGTAAATTCGTAATTCGGAGAAAGCTTTTAACTGAGCAATCTTTATCTTTCCAATTAACAGAGAAGTTGTACTGTAGCAACTGTGAATTTTTTGATATACGGTGAACCGTAAATCGGTATTGGGTAACACTCCACGCCGGCCTATTTAAATCCGTTTTTATCTTCTCAGTGTAAGTCACACTTGGACCTCGTGCCGTCGAGCCTTAATGGCACTCTATTGATTTTTGTTGATAAAATTGTCATACTAAACGATAAAGCGCTCAGTATCTCGGCCAGTGTATTGTAGATATAAACTGCGCGGCGGAAATGTAATAACTGCCAGTTTTTGCTTTAGACGCTGACCGGAAGATGGAGGCCATTAGCCACGCTGTGATTGTAAGTTAACAAGTTAATTATGGCGGTATGCAATATGCATCAGGCAGATGCCCGAGTACACCTTTGTAACACACTTATTGTTTTTTCTGTGCACCTGACATAATAATTACTAGCGTCAACAATTATGTGATAAGAAGCAATTTGTCTTTTTGGACAGATTCCGGATAGTTTTTTGTCCTATCCTCCTAGTTCGTTCTGCATTCCGTCCTTCTATGCCAAAGATGTGGATTCAGTAATAATACCTGAAGGTCTCATTCGTGATAGGTGGGTCGCCATGAAATATCAGAATTCTGTATAATAGACTAATAGTAGAGTATTAGCACGTTATTCACGTTCATTACATGGCATTTTAAGGGTTTTGTATTTAAGTTTGTATTAATAAGTTTAGTGATAGCGAATCTCGGTAATACTTGGTAGTACGAGTACATTGTAGTACACTTGCGTTTTTTACTATGCATTATGCATCTGACATACTGTAGTAATCAGCGGATTTCGGTAATTAGTGCGAAACGGTGTCTTCGGGCTGGATCATAATTCCATGCTTTATACAGAAGTGAGCAATAGAAGTATAGCTAACATCGTACCCGGAAATCGTGGCTAGTGTTTCTCAGTAATTCTGCGTTTTATTTTTAATTGTTGGTTATTCCCACCCGAGTGGTGAGGTTTTTATTTATCAGGTTCTAAACCATTGTTGTTTTCATTCGCTTTTGTTGTATTATTGTGACGCACCCTAACAAAATTTAAGCCTGTTGTTAATATCGTATACTAAATAGCAGGCAATTGATTTTTGCTATTTTTAATAGCGTTAATATTAATATGGCTACTAGTTTTAATATTTCTTAAATAGTACATCGTGTTTTGCAGAATTAAAGGGCTTGCCAGAGAAATTTTCAATGTCTATGCATCATCGGCAGCGGAACCTTTGGTTTTAGTGTGTGTTTTGAAGTCAGCGTTTAAATTTTTCTCTGCACTTCAACTGGAAATTGAACATCTGAATGTGGAATCGTGCGGGACATCTGACTTCCCACAGTCCCTTCAGATTAACGGTGAACCAAAGACAAATGGCAGTAAAAACAGTCATCCCGACGGACAGACTCGCCGTTCCCTGCCGCTGTTCTGCGAATTTATCCGCGTTAAGAGCTACGTCAATACGCAAAGTGTAACCGGTAGTGATGTTCAAGTTCAGGGCGTGCTTTGTCCCGAAGAAGCCTTCAGTCAAAAGGTACGTTAATTTGGCTCGCTTGGCGAAAGCCATAACGGTTTCGCGATAACGCGGAAATAGTGGAGTTTATCATTGTACTTGTGTATGATCATAGAATGTATTGATTGTGGAGGACATAATCGACAGCGGTCGAACGATGCAGGCATTGATCCAGAATTTAAAGCAGCATAATCCCAAAAGCTTGCGAGTTGCAAGGTAAGGTATTGTGTTTTGCCCTCTGTATACTGGTGCACTTGTAGCTGGTTCCTGTTCTTTTACAGTATGCTCTGGAAACGAGTAGCACATGGTGGAAAATCCGTTCCTTACCCTCCAGACTGTGCGTGAGAACGGAATGTCTTTGTTGCATAAGCCAGTGTGACATTGGATGTATCCTTTAAGTTGCTGATTATTTTCAGTCTTTGGATTCGAGATACCCGATCGATTTGTGATTGGTTTTGGAATGGATTATAATGAAAAATTCCGTGACCTTAACGTAAGCCCAACGCTGCGAAATATATGTATTTTTATGCATTACACCGTCATCGATAGCACTTGTTTTCGCTCGCAGCATCTTTGCATCATTAACGAGGCTGGTATCCAAAGATATGCCGTCAATCCATCAAAGTAACCAGAAATTCCATCCTGCTTCAATTCATTGAGCGCCGTCTGTCATATTATGACGTGATAAAGAAGCCAAAAAATGCAAAAATGAGCAGTGATCCATTGCCGACGTGGTATTATTGCGGATACTGTCGATTAGCTGTGCTGTGTTAATGAAAGAATATTTATTAGGGTTATTTTCTCCATCACGAATACGTTTGCGTTAAAAAATGCTTTGATGTCATTTCGTTCCTCGATTGTCTACCATAGTACAGTACCACTGCGAGCTTCACACTGTGCCGGTGCATAGTATTGTGCAAGTTGTACTTGGGGTTGCATAATGCAATTTTACAGCTACGCGTTTTTGGGTTCGCAGTTTATGCTTAAGCCCCGTTTTGGTTCAAAAACCTATGATTAAAGCGTTTTCCATTATGACTGTTTTTGGAAAACAGAGTAAAAGCAGTATCGGCTCTTGGAAACCCCATAAATTGTCCATTGTCTAAAATCATCTGTATACCTGGACGATGAGGCTCAGAAGTCAGAAGCTCGCCTTAGAACTTCGTTGACTACGAGTTTCAGGCAACGACACTGACTTTCCTGGTGGAAGTCACCAGAAGCATACCTTTGGTCAGTAAAATCTGCTAGCCAGTCGCTCTTTCAGTTTTAATGACGTTTTTATTTTAATTTATTCGCCTAATACCAAGATAACGGTAACACGAAAAGGTCAAGAGAAGTATGTTCTGTGGGTTCACACGACGAATAACTGTGCCTGCTCGAAATTATGCAGCTCTGCTGGAGTACGAGTACTGATAAAACCAAGAACACTTCATTCTCGGAATATTTGAGTTTGTGCTCTATTAAAAGCATTAAGCACCGAAGTTTATTTTTGCAGACGGTCGGACAGTGTGGGACACTGACTGACAAAACTCGCGAGAGAAGCTCCAACAACAGAACACAAATTCGTTAAAAAGCCTTAAACATAAACAGGTTACAGTTTATCACGAAAGCAAAGTAAAAAGACTTAAAACAATTCAAATATAGTAATATATAGCATATTAATCATCAAATGATTTGAGCGACACAAAACGGAAACATGTAGAAAGTATTAATTTTTTGTAGCAGACCGGATGATTCTTAAAGCACCGCGGACATATTGCGATATTCATTGTTATCGTATCCAGTCGGAACAGTCCTGAACATGCATCATTATCCTCCATTTTGCATGTGTTCCTCTTTCATGTTGGCTAATGGTTCGAATCCTAAGAAGAACAATCATAACAGTATAACATAAAAATATTGTAAATATTTCACCCCAAAACTATTATCGTATTAAAAAGCCTGTACGCGGTACGAGCACAGTCAGCAGGCAGACCACATACGTAATTACAGCACGTACAGATACACAAGATAAAACTAAGTAATAAGCCTATTACTACTGATTTCCCGTGACATCGAATAATATCCTACTACCTATATACACATTTTACATGAATTAAAAAACTTATTTCAGCAGTAAAATAACTGTCACGTAACGGAAGCAGAATTCCTAAATGAGTTTTGTCTATGATTTTATCATTTACAATCAAACAACATACAATTTTACACAATATGGAACACCAAAGGTTTCATGCTGTTACTGTACCTTCAGGATTTCGAAAAAAATAGCCACCGCGTGAGTAAATTCAGAAAATCAATTCCCAATGCACAATTTAGCTTAGAACAAGAGAAACATAACAGATTTCACGACCCTGATTTTATTGCAGTATTATGTCCTAATTCATAATTTCCAAGATTACCGAGAAGTTCCGATAATTTTCGAATCGTCTGGAGCGCTTCAGGAATGCTTTCATTGTTGTCGACAGACACTTCGATTTCTCCTACACGATATCCCAGCTCAGCAGCTTCTACCGATATTTTCGCAGGCAACAGATCTTGAACCGACGGAACCCCAAACGTCTTGTGTACTGCTGTTATCGTGGCAAAACTCCTAAACGGTTCACTGTTCATCACATAAGCCAAATCATCACTTTCCACGCTATTTTCCAACAAGCCCTTTGACTGCAAAGTCTTCAAGATCTCCTCCGGATTATGCTGTTCGTGGTAGACGGTCCGGCGCAACTGGTCCGTGCCTTTACTTGGCACATCCAGATTATCGGGTTCTCCGTAACGCAGTTCCCATTTACCGTCGCGCACGCGCAACCACATATCGTTCATGGTGAAAGCATAATCATCACGATCAAAATACTCATCGGTAAAGCTCTCCTCTACGAGACAGCGTCCACCGTGCTGCTTCAGACGCTCATGAAAATCGACAGGCACCAGGAACTTCCTCTCCACTTCCACTGTATCCTCATCATCCGAGACATTGCCATCATCTTCCTCTTCTACGTCCCGCACGAAAGTCTCACTACTATGCTCATTCACAGCCATCCTTAATCCCAATATATTTTCAGAGTCAAACAATTTCCACAAATACTTTAGTTCTTGTAATTTGAAAGCGAAATAATTGCAAATATGAAATTTACTGCGTGTGCAGGTTGGTTAGAAAAGGCTGAAAAGTAAAAAGCGAACGAAAATGATTGGACGTGGCATGTGGTTACTGCGGAATGTAGCGTAACGGACTCATAGTGTAGAGGGGGAATGTCTCGCAGAAGTGTTATGAGCAACCGCCGCGGGTGCGCATTAGAGCCCTGCAACGGACTGGGAAATCCGATCCACTCCGAACCCACTCCGATTTTCGGACCGGATTGGACGGATTTCAATCTGGAAAATTCGGAGTCGGAGTGTTTTCGGAGTTTTTGTGCACCTGATCGGATCGGGTTTGGATGCAATCGAGACTCCGAATAATCCGTAATTAAATAAATATTATTAATTAATTTTGATTGAATTTCACCGGCCTTCAAAACAAAAACGTCGCGCTTCGCGCGATGCTTTCATTTGTGCTTAATTAATTTGCACCGAAGTATCTGCTTTTGTTTAGTAAACTGTTGTTAATTCTCTTTCATTCCCTTTTATTAATTCTCCTGACACTTTTGAATATTTAGAGTGTTTTACGATTGTTATGATGTCGTTATTTGTTATCGTCTTATCAAATAATTTTAGTATAACTACTACAGTACGTTAAACGGACCACATGTGTAGTGCAGCTCAGTCAGTTTCACTAGGCACCGGCTTCCCATTTTTATTTGCAGCACTTGTAATTGGATTAATCCTGGAGATTAAGATAACAGTAATATTATATACGTTCAACTAACTTACTCTAAGGTCCTAAAGAATACATGGAACTACCAATTATTTTAGTTCCGGCCGTGTAGAAACATCCCTTCCTTTAATTTTCTCTCCCTTTTTTTGATCCTGGCTAATATGTGGGTAATCCGTGGGGTGAACCATATACAACAAAAAGATCTGATACAGATTCCCGACACCCGACAGTGAGGATAGATAACTAACCTCCCCAGATGCTTCGACACTGTAGTGCTAAAAAACTAAATTTATCTAAAACATTCTTGTATATGTAAATCCTCCAGCGTACCCTTTATTATGCCCAAGAAAATTGTACTTCTGAATTCTGAAGTCTTTTTGCTACCGAAAACATGGCATTAAAAATTTTTTAATGTAGGGATGTGTAATAAAATCAAATAATATTCTTTTCGAAAATTTTTCGGATCGGATCGGAGTGGGTTCGGATTGGCCAAAAATATTTTCGGATCGGAGTGGTCGGAGTACGATGTTTAGAATTCGGAGTCGGACTGGGTTCGGATAAAATTTTTAAAGTTCGGATCGGACTGGACGCAGTTTCGTACTCCGTTGCAGGACACTAGTGCGCATTTCTGTGCCGGCAGTTTGTCCTGCACCAGCTGCGCACTGCTGATGGCGAGCTTTTGTATTTCCTGTCAAAAATCGGAACTCAGGAGTTACGCAAGCACCAAAACAAAAGATTGATCAGGAACGGAGTATCTGCTGCAGTAAAATTGCGAAACCGCAATCCATTGGGTAAAATCTTGTAAAAGGTATAAAATTTATAGTTACCGTCAAGTGAAACTACTTTTGCAGTTTATCATGCAGGTTAAGAAGAATCCGTTAGTGTTAGCGAAAAGCAGTTGCTTCTGCTGCTCATTCCTCGAAATGGTTTGATTCGAGAGTTTCCGTTTCCATCCGTATTTCCATTTTCGTTTTTAGGGCCCTGCACAGTCCTTGCGCACTGAAAACCGGATGCCGCAGTACCATCAATATCATGTCCCAGTATTAATCTGGAACGGCTTTGGAACTATTTTAACGAACAGTTTAGGGCCTAATAATACACTTTTTCGCCTGCTTAATTTTGGAAAAACTGTTACAGTAAGTGATTTAATATTGCCGCAGTATTACTGTATTACTAGCTAGTAGCTACTAGCTACTACGGAATACGGATACTACAATAAAACGCTAGTATGCAAGTACAAGTTGTACTTGCATACTAGCGTTTTATTGTTTATTGTCATTTTTTTAATACTACCAAAAGGTGTGGTCGGCCCAGGTCGGGTGTTGATAACTTAGTCAAACTGGCGCCTTGGTTGATTATTTGAAGAATTATGGTTTGCCAGTAGGTACTCTGTATTCTGTAGTCGCCGGCGCATGGTAAACTCAGTTTTATTAGTCCAGGATGTGAGACTTACGATGTTATTTGAATATCTTAATTTCTTATAAACTGTTAATAATTATTAACAAATGTTATTATAAAATGTTAACGCGATTAATATTGATAATAACAAATTCTTAAAATTACTTAAGTACAAGTAACTGAAAATTGCATCAGCCATTTAACAATTGTAGTGCTGTACTTGCGCTATATATCAGTCTGCTTCTCTTTTAGTCTTTTTAATTTATTAGTAATGCTATATCTCGAGCCGGAGGCATCTGATTTTGGTTTAATTGAATGGATCATATTGTTAACCTTGCTACTTACCTAAAATTAATAATGCTGTAAAATGTGTAAATGCTAATATTTTTTAAGATAATTTTGTTGGTATAACAGTACAAGTACTTCTATGGTTTATATAATTTTCGGTAAAACTACAAGTTTGCAATTACAGATACATAAAATAAGTGTGTACATAAAATAAGTGTACTGTATCTGTTTTTCTCTATTCTCTATAATTACGTACGCTATGACATTGCAGTATATTATTGTACCGCGGTACAATGTACATGTAAATTGTCAAAAGTAAGAACTTTACTGTAGCTGGCTAAATACGTGTTGAATTACGAGTGGAATTTTCGTAGGTTCAAGGTATAATGTTTATATAAATCTGGTTGAAAAAGACCAAAAATCAGCGGCGGTCGAAGGGTAGTACTGTAAAGACAGTAAGACCCTGTTTACTAGGACTGTTCCATCTCAGGTGATATTACAATTGTATTTTCGGATAGTATCAATAGAAATGCGGATTGGATTTATTATGTAAGCGGTAGAAATGTAGTCGCTTCTTTGTTATTGACAGCCTAAGAATAACTTTTTCAAGTTGCTAGACATTACCGAAAATAATGATTTTTAGTCATCGTTAATTTATTAATAGATACATAACTGAATTAAACCGCGTGTTAATTAGTTGCGTTTATTCCGTTAAAAATTTGAAAAAGGCCAAGGCAATCATTATTTTAATTATGATAGACTGGATGAACTGTATTTGATTCAGACCGATATCTGGACATTACGGAAAATTTAAAATTACGGAAATTACGAAAATTACGGAAATTCTGGACGGTTACGGAAAATTTACGGTACAAGATTTATCCAGTAAAGATTTGCGTCGTGATCTCCAATTATAATGTGCCACCAATTGTAAATAATACTGGTAGCGTTCCGTATTATTAATGATATTTCTTTTTTCAGCGATTTCCTGTTGTTATCTTGTACAATTGGGCAGCGTAATATTATTTCGATTACTGAATAAGCTACGCTGGACGTCATTAATGCCATGTAGTGTTTTTTTCGGTGTACATATTGCTGCGACTGGGAATAAGAAAGATGAGAAATTTCAGATGGTAAAGAATTGTCTGGCAATTTATTAAGCGAAGAAGGAACGGCCGGATCATTATTAACGCCATACGGCACAGCAGTTCGCTTTCGTATTGTACATAAGCCGATATAACCAGATGCAAGTAAGTAATGAACGAGAGTAGGAGAAATTTTAATTTGGCTGCCTGCCTAGCCTGCCCTGGCGCTCTTATTGGGGGAAGCCAATCGCGTTTCCTTTAGTTTTAAAGCGGGATGATTCTCATGACTTGTGGTTGGTCGGTATGATCCTTTTGTGTTACGATAACATAACACTGCTTCTCGTAATTAGACCATACCAATATTGAATACGATTAATTGCTCCGAGCGCGGCAAAACGGCTGAGTGGGGGGAAGGAAGCGATCGGAATAGCCGACGAGTCGTTCGCGGACGACAGTATTAAACTGCTTTCCCGCAGAATTATTATGGTTGCACATCTCATTAAGCTGACGGCAAACGATCCTGTTTGCAGTACTTAATACTGCACAATCTTCCAAGCTTGTGTATCGTTACGCCGGGTTTAATCGTTAGCACTTTTAGGCAAATTCAAATGCGTAGACAGTCAACTCGGCCTCATCAAATTCTCCATAACAGTGAGCGTATTTCAGGAAATAATTTTCTGTATGTACCGGCGTATATTTATGACGTGGTATTACTGATGATATTACAGATGCTCACTAATTTTGATTTTGCCTTATGTTTATAGCCAGAGCGACACCTTGAATAGCGGCAACACAGAACCGACGGATTAATCGACCTTAATCTGAAGGACTGGGGTACGTTTATATATATGTTTTACGCGGACATAATAAATTATATTCGCAGATCAAATAATTTATAGATTTAGTACTTCTATTTAAGTTTCTAATTGCGCTTCTTGTGAGCGGTAACTCTATCCCACAATCGGAAATCACTCGAATTCCGGTCGCTTGAATTCTGATTTCCATAAAATTGCAATCAGTTTTCTGTCGGATAGAGTATATGGAAGTTTTTGTAGCTCTATTTATTTTCCATATCTTAAACTGATTGTAAGGAAAAAGTTTTATTCTGCCTGTGTTGATCCATATCAGAGTTTGACATACACTGCACATTTCTGTTCTTCGTTTTGTAAGTAATTTATGCGTAAGCACTGAATTCAGCGTCACAGCGTCGAAGATTATTGCGCACCGCTTGTGCAAGAACACACAACAGAATTGGACATTTCCGCGTGTTTCTGGCTACCTAGCTGACCCCAACTTACTTCCGGTCACATCAAAACATTATCCCTACGTTTCTTTTCTCGTACAGTTTCGTTCTAATCACCAACGCCGGGAATGTTTCTGATTCAAATACCTATAAAGCAAAAGAGAACTGTTGAAAATGTTACGGGCATTGTTATAACTTTTATTATACGTTTTGGGAAATTGTCACAGTATTTAAAATGAAACGCCGTGAACGCCTGATATAATCGCCCTTGTACTTTATGTTGCTTAACGAATCTCTAAGAAAAATTTAGGGCGAAGAGATGTTTTAAACTAACTAAGACATGCTA